GGTGAAGCGTGGACCACTACTCCTTAGTCCAGAGGCTTGCGATCTCGGCTACCTGCGGTGCCTACCTCTGGTAAGGACGAGTAGCAACTAAGCGCAAGTATTGGATAGATTACGACCTGTAGGGTGACACTTTCCACGAACCTCATCAAAGGGAAATCAAAAAAAGATATTATAGCCAGGCTGCCACTTCAATGATTGGGGGTCCAAGCTCCCTGAGAGCCCCAATTGCAGTCCGTCTCTCTTGGACTACTTACTACGTCCAGTATGTACGGAGTGACGGAGTAACAGCAGCACAAGTAAACGGGGTGACGTTGCCTGGCGAGGGTTAGCCTTCTTGCATTCTGTCCTGTCCCAAGTACTCCTACTCCAAGCGGTAGGCACAGAGTAGAGTTGTCCTGGCCTGCCTGGTTCCAAACAAACCTCGAGTTAGCCTGTCACGCCCTGTCCCGGTAAATGGTCCGCTTAGGACGATCACGTCGATCACAGCATTTGGCCGGGGGCCAGGGTTGAAGGGAACATCAGCACCTTTCCCACCCCCCCTTTGATCTCGCTCGCATATCACACGTACTTTCCGAAACCAAAACCAAAAAGGTCCCAGGTTGGACCCTCGAAACGAAATCCGTTCACCGCTTCAGGATTTCAATTTGCGCATCCTGGTGCAGCCAAATGATCCCATTTTTGTGGATCGCTCTACATACAGAGTACTTGTCATAGGTACCCACGGAGGGGACTGACCCCCTTGCCAGCAACCCCCGTTAGGCGGATTTCGCTAGATTACCGAAATAGCGGCAGGCAGGAAGTTCTGGTAAGCTTCGGATTTATCAAGAGGCACAAGAGTTGTACGTGTAATGCGATGGCTTTGGTGCTGGTGGCATGGAGATATTTGGTACAGTGGTTGGTTGTCCGTCTCTACTCACTTTGTATGTATCTGGCTAATACAATACAGAGCAAACGCCCCCAATGGCTGTCTGTCCTCGTACCGCCCTTGAATCCTGTGCGTCGATGGCGACTATGTCATTGTATCCCTTTTGGGACACGTACATACGTAGTAGCGTGGTGGGAATCCAACGGCCACTCTTTTCCCTCTCAAGGTTCAGCCGGGCTGCGAATGGAAGAATGAGCTTTGTTCAAAGTTCGGCCGCCTTCCGTGCTGCAGTGCGAAGAGATCGTTGGATTCGATACTGGCGCCTTGATCCACAGGCAAAGGAAATCAACGGACAACGTGCAGATCATTACCCCGAAATGCTCAAGTTGGACGTCAAGATCGCTTGTCCCTGCCCACCACTGCCACCACTACCGCCATTGCTTGCCATGATGAGCCCCAATCTATTGATGTTTAGCCTCGACACCACTAGTCATCTTCCACACTAGCCTCATTGTCGACCACTGCGCAGCCAGATATGGTGGATGTGTCAAAGCCATGACAAAAAGAACGCTTGCTCTTTTTAACAATCCTGCAAGCTGCCTGCACGCCCTCTTGGAAAATTCTTGGGGCTTGATATTACTTGGGACATACAAAATTTCCGTTTGGCTGGCGACATCTGCAGCTACTGCACTTGCTAACGCCTTTTTCCCTGAGAGCGCGCAGCTGCAAGGTCTATCTCGACTGGGTGTTTTGGTACAAATCTCGTGTTGCAGCCACCAAGCTAGAAAAAGCCGTTGGTGCCATACCATTGGGACAGGTCTTTTTGTTACACCCACCCACCCACCAGAGAGGCAGGGGATAGGCGACATGCAAACGAGGACTCCTGTACCGAGTAGACTCGGAGCGGTCTGGTCGTCGGGGAGCACATGATTGTGACTGCCTCCCAATGGTGTCTCTTTCTAGCCTTGTGGCTGCCCTAACACGATAACTCGGTTGACATTGACGTAGTGGGATACACATTGGTCTTGTGGTTTGACGAGCCCCGGGGATGAACTCTGCCAAAGCCGCATTTCGCATTTGTGGTCGGCTATGCATAGCTGCTGTGGCTGCTGCAGCTGCACCTTCTGGCGTCATGCAGCACCAGACCAGACCAGACCAGGACTAAATCACCATCCAAAACGGCACCACCACCTTTCATGCATGCAGGTAAAGTGTGGGAAGGCACCACCAGCAACCCCCCTTCATGACTAACGAGTACTAGCCCAGATCACGGTCAGAAAAAGATCCCAATTGGCAAGAGAGGAAGCCTCTACGAGTTCTTTCCCTCCCTCGTGACTGTCCTTATCGTAGTATCTTGCATCTTGGGCGTGGGATGGACGAGGCACGTTTTTGGGGGAAATGATGTCGCCTTCCTCAAAAGAGCAAAAGAAAAGAAAACAATAATGAGGGCAAGTGCTGATCATGGAGACCTGCAGACCTGCAGACCTGCAGACCTGCAACACCGTTGAGTTGGCTTGTATTTGCAAAGCCAAGGAATTCGCCATCTGTCTTGGATGCGAGTGTGTACCTTCCTCGTATTTCTGCGTGAGTTGACAGGCCAAGTGCTATCTCTCCTTGCCTCGATCAGCAATCCAACTTCCAGAGGCGGTATTTGCTTTTTCCTCACATACTTTTTGTTCTTTGTCACGTTCTACGGGTGGAATCTCCGAAAACCCTCGAGTTGGTCTCTTGGGTGTCTTGGTGCCGCGACGCCAAAGAGGGAGCTTGTGGTGGAAATAGCATTCCACCTCTTCCAAAGTAACAGGCAGGTCCCACAAAGCAGAGCTTATTTGTTGTTTGTAGCTTTTGGTCCATTGGGGTCACTAAGAAGTGGTCACTTGATACGATGCAAAAGCAACAAAGCAGCCAAAGCCATCGGTGCTACCTGACCGCCTTGTACAAACTCCAGCGTGAAGCTCCTTTTTCTTCTGCGAGAGCGAGTGAGGTGTGAAGTGAGTGAGGGGTAGTTTAGCCCAAGCAAAGCCCCAAGTCAAGTTGTTGTCCAAAAAGAGGGTCCGTTCCAGCATGGCATGGGCCACGTGGGAAAAATGCCATCCCGCGCACGCCCGGTGAGGCTAAACACCAAGGGACCCTGGCCATTGCCTAGTCTGGACTGGAGGCGGCAAGTGGGCGTTCAAAACACCCCCTGCAGCCGCCCACGCCGCTCTGCCTCGGTGCTGAGCTAGCTTGTCGATGGTCCGTTATTCCTGATGACGCCTGCCGAGCAAAAAAAGCCACCACCGGTACCGCTTATACCGCTTGACACTGGTTTCGTCACAGCCTTCATCTCCCTGTTGCTCTGCTTTGGGAGTTGTGATCCCCACTGTGGAATGGGAAGAGGCTGACTGTGGGAAGCAGGCAACAGGTTCACCAGGGGTCGACCCCTTCTCTTTCTGTACTACTTGTACCACCATTTCCCCCCCTTCCCCAGACAAGCACGAGCAGAAACCTTCACAGAGTTTCCCAGTCCAAAAAAAAAGGGGAAATTGGAGGATCCGTTTCACAGGGTCCAAGCTCGCCAGCCACGGCCTACACTTACCGGCGAGTCACCAAGTGCTTCAAAGCATGTCCCCTCACACCGTCACCATCACGTCTATTTCCGGGGCTGGGAAACTAAGCGAGAGTGTACGAGTAAGACAAGTTTCAATGCAGACCTTTGTTCGGATTTATTCTCTCTCTCCTGAGAAACCCAAGACCTAGACGACTGGCGAAAAGAGAAAGGCACAAGTCAACTACCTACATACGAGTACTTGCTGCACGCAGCTTGATCCGGACTTTTGCAGATGACAGACGGCAGAGGGTGCGCGCATCCTTGCCCTTTGAAACGGTACACTCGTAAAAAACCCAAGCTTGGCCCCTCCATTCCCCGAACGCCGTTGTGCGGCATCATATGACGAGCCGATGTCGACTTCTAAGCCCTTTTTGGCCGTTAGAGTCGCAAGCTAATCACGTCAATCCATCCACGGCGAAGAGGGTGAGTTCCGGTGCCGTGGGACGGGGATGGTGGTGGATGCAATTTGCGCAGGGGGGGGACTTTGTAACCACTGGTGCACGGTGAACAAAGCAGATGAGCCATGCCTGCGGATTATACAGCGTACTTGCACAGCGTAGTAGTGCTACGTACAAGCACAAAACGGCGGGAGGTAGGTAGATTGGCACAATCAAACCTTGATTTTCTAGCAAAGGGGGGTTTTGTGTGTGTGTCTTGTAACGAGCACTCGGTACTGCTTGTACTTACACGTCCCCACGAGTACTTGTACTTTGTACCGAGTACAAGCACAAGCAGCAAGTACCTAGCTAGCTACGTGTGAATGTACATAACGTAGCCCTCGTTCAACGTTTTAGTGATACCCTCTAATACCCTCCTCGGGATCTCCCCTTCCTGGGATCCTCTTTCTTGGATCCAGAAAACAACCTCGTCTAAGTGTTCGGTAAATAGCTATCTACCTATTTATGATCACCGACCGACCTTGTCCGAGACCCGGCCAGCGAGACTAGGCAGGGCAGGGCAGGGCAGGGCGAGGCAAGGGTTTGCTAGGCAGCCTTGTCGCAAGACCCCGGTCAGGTCAGCCCTGTCATCTACCTTGAAGAGATGAAAGGATCCTTGTCGGGATTTTATTGATTTTATGAGACAATGACAGCGGGAAAAAAAGGTACCGAGTTACCAAGTACAAGGATGAGAGCGGGCGGACAAACACCAAGGGATACAAGGGAGACCAGGGAAGGGAGACTGATTGTATGAGGTACTACTTGGTACTTGGGTGATTGACGTCGCTTCCCCTTAGGTACCTTACCTTGCCTGGGCGGGTAGGTGCAGCCCTGTCCTCGAAGGCCTGGGAAACTACGAGGAACACAGTGCGAAGCGAGGAGGTATGTGATTAATTGCCCCAACTCCGTCATCTCTTTTTTGCTCAACCGCCGGTTCTTATTGCCTTAACTCAACAGGGCAACTCTTCCCGTTTTTGCTCCTAATCCGAGGTACCTAGACGAAATGCCCAACCAAATCAAAACCTTTTAATCTCGCGTCTCGGATCACTGATTGTTTCTAGAAAACACGAACCCTTGCACACGAACAAAAAAACCAGAACTGGGGTCTTTAGTCCAAGCGAGCCCTGTACTTGGGCATGCCCTCGACGCCGACGTCAACCCTGAACAAATTTCCGGCGAATTTGGCCGAATCCGGGTATTTGTCAGGCTGGGACTCTTTGGCGCTGGTGATGAACAGCGCAGTGCCCGCAAAGGTTGGGCAGGTGATGTTCCGGGTCGGGAGGTGGACGATTCCGGTGACGGCGCCTTGGGGCGAGATCCGGATCACCTTGGAGCCGCCGTAGCAGGCGTGCCAGATGTTGCCGTCGACGTCCATGGCGTGGCCGTCCGGGTGCACGCCCTCGTCGTCCAGGTGGAAGAAGATGCGTTTGTTGGATATGGCCCCCGTGCGCGCGTCGTAGTCGAACGCGTACACGTTCTGCGGTGGCGAGTCCGTCAGGAACATCGTGCTGTCGCCGGCGTTCCAGGTGATGCCGTTGGGAATTTTCATCCCCTCGTGCATCGTGTGCAGCGTGCCGTCGTGGTCGAGCCGGAACAGGCACCCTTCGTCCGTCACTTGCGATATCTCCGGGTCGACGAATGCTTCGACCCAGAACCGTCCTTGGGTGTCGACTGCGCCATCGTTCGACCGCATTCTGAGTGCTGGTGTGAGTGACATGTTCGTCGATTGACCCTGTTCTGGGAGCTCTTACCTCCTCGCCTTGTCCTCCGCGTCTGCTCCCTTCCAGTACTTGGCGACATACTCATGCTCCCCGGTTTTCAGGTTAAACTTGGTGACACCGTCCTTTGCGCCGGCCAGGATAACTTCTGAGGGGTCAACACCCTCGATATTCGCCGTGACTCCAATCGGCTGCGACGTGTCGATGATCTTGACCGACTCGGGTCCTTTGGCGAGGTCGATGATGAAGAGCTTTTTATTGTTGATGTCCTGGATTAGACTCGTGGTCAGCTGGGGCAACAACGATGCAAGTGGTCATGTCATTATCCACAAACCATGTATCGAAGCTCATTTCGCTCTTTGGTATAATACGGACCTTCACCCAAGCTGCATTTTGAGGGATAGTATGCCTGGCTCAAACCTCAGTAGAGTCCTCGAGGGGTTTTTGGGACCCAACAAACCTCTGTAACGGTCCACTCTTGTATACCCATTGTGTTGCAGAGCGACTGGTCTTGGGTGTTCTGAGAATGTACGAATGAAGTTTTCTGCTTGCAGGCAGTTCTCAATGGCGAGGGAGTTCGTCTGTCTTGATTAGATGCAGGGCGTACGACTTTACATCATCATGATATATGATAGAGTGGTGGGTGAGTGGTTTCGGGCTGCCAAGACCTTCAATTCAATCAACCGTAACAGTCGATTTAACAGCCTGCAAGATCTGAACTACGCTGCATGCCATTGGCTTTGGATAAATTCAAGTGGTCCCAACAACAGAAGAACGGAGTATTTGCCGTCGACCGTCGAAAGCTATCTCATCAATCAGCGCCGCTGTGCCGAAGATGACCCGAATCTCTGCCGGAGCATAGCCTGTAGTGCCTGTCTACAAAATGGCGGCTTCTGAGACGCGACTTGTTCGAATCCTCGATCAGCCTTTGTTCGAGTCTCTATATCATCCCTCCAAGTTGATCCTGGCTCTCGAAAATGTGATCGTGGCTCTCGAAAATGATCAATCTATCACTATCCCCGCGGCGTACCATGCGTTCCCCACTATTATTGAGTCGTCGCTCTGTGAACTGTGATAGGATCAGTGCACGGATTTACTTATCCTTTGCAGTCGACTAGTCCTGACAGCCAGACTCGGGTGCATCTTCCCCACGACTTTGGGTGTATCTGGACGGAGGACTTGAGTCGATCACGGTGCTGAGTCCAGGACCCTCCGTCCACCAAGCCTGTAGCAACTCCAAAGAGTGCTCAAGCTCGAGCAGCAGGGATGATAAAGGCTTTGATTGCCAACGTAGCATTTCCGTCGTGCGAGCGTAACAGCTCGGTAGCCTTGGTCTTGGAAAGATCCAGCTCTTCGACCTGTGCCCACGTATCAGCAAGTTTTGGGACAGCCCGAAAAGAAATCCACGGTAATTGCGCACCAAAAGATTGACATCCTCGGCCGCGATTTTGACCTTCTTTTTCACCTCGACCTCCTTCTTCGCCTGCGTCTTGGTCGTGTCCTCCTTTTTCTTTCCCACGCCGCTGGCAATCTCCAGTCTCGACATGGCCTTTCCCAGTGCTTCTTGGTCGGCCGCAGAGGGCTGTCTCGTGCCACTCTCCCCGTTCTCGGTGGACATCTCGTTGGCATTGAGAGAATTGAGCGCCGCCGCGGCCTTGCGGTCCTCGGCGTTGTTGGGCAGGTTTTGGGAGGTTTCGTCGTCTGCGGCGTCCGCCGCGGCGGTAGATGCCGATGGAATTGGTTCCGCCATCTCGACCGAGTTGTCTGGCTGGTTTTGGGGGGGGGGCACGAAGAAAATGGGTATTGTGTCGTGCGATGCAAGAGGCAAGTGTTTGAATCTCCAAGTCCCGCACTCTGCAGGTCACAGCCCGCCGTTACAAGGCGCTAGCCTAAAGGGGAATAGCGTTCTATCAGGGCCTTTCAAGACTCGAGGGACGTCGAACTTCGCTTTTTCAACCCACATCCGACGATAGGAAGCAGTGCAGTCTTTTGGTCTTTAGGAGAAATTTCATCCATTGAGTTGCTGAGCATCTTGAGAGTCTACACGTATCTTTGCTTTCGGCCACGTCCCCACATTTCCTACCAGCGGTGACTCATCCCTTGTATACCTCTCGCATATTGATTCTTGGAAACCACCTTCTAGACGTGCTTGCGAATCTCGGCGACTGTTTTTGTTGGGGTCGACATCTTGCAGAGCTGTCTCACATCCCGAGGGAACTCTCACTTCCCCGAAGACTCGACCCTGGGGCTGTTTGACAAAACCTACAAGGGCGGTAGATACACCATGGAGACAAACGGCCCGGCCAAGCACGCCGCGACGGGTCTCTGGACGCCGTCGAGCTGGAAAGCCAAACCCATCGTGCAGTCCGTCCAGTACAGCGACGTCAAGTCCTTCGACTCCTCGGTCCAAAAACTAAACACACTGCCCCCGCTGGTCACGCCGCAGGAGATTGTCAAGTTGAAGAACGAGCTCCGCGAGGTCGCGACGGGGAACGCCTTCCTCCTCCAGGGAGGCGACTGCGCCGAACTGTTCGACTACTGCAACCAAGACATGATCGAGGCCAAGGTCAAGCTCCTCCTCCAGATGTCGCTGGTGTTGATCTACGGCGCCAAGAAGAAGGTCGTCCGCGTGGCGCGCATGGCCGGCCAGTATGCGAAGCCGCGCTCGTCCCCGACCGAGGTCGTCAACGGCGTCCCCATGCCCAGTTTCCGCGGCGACATCCTGAACAGTTACGAGGCGGACCCGGCCTTGCGAGAACCCGACCCCAAGAGACTGGTCGACGCGTACTTCCACTCGGCCGCGACGCAGAACTATCTCCGCGCGGCGCTGGCGAGCGGACTGGCCGATCTGCATGCGCCGCTGGACTGGAGTCTGGGCCACGTGCGCGATCCGACCGTGCGAGACAAATACCAGGTCATCGTGGAGCGGATCACGGACACGCTGGACATGATGCGCACCATCGGGCTGGACACGGGCGGCGGATTGGAGACGGTGGACCTGTTCACGTCGCACGAAGGCCTCCTGCTCGAATACGAACAATCCCTCACCCGAAAATTCAAACATCCTCCAAACCACCATCACCACCATCACCACCAAGACCAAGCCGCCGCCGCCGCCGCCCACCACCGCCCATCCTCCCCGACCATCACTCACAAAAACCTGTCCAAGACGCGCAAGACGTCCCTGCCGACACAGCTGCCCCCACCCCTGCCCCCGACAAAGGGCTACTACGACACGTCGGCGCACATGCTCTGGATCGGCGACCGCACGCGGCAGCTCACGCACTCGCACGTCGAGTTCTTCCGGGGCATCGCCAACCCGATCGGCGTCAAGGTCGGTCCCAGCATGCCACCGGCGGATCTCGTCCCGCTCCTCGACATCCTCAACCCGGAGCACGAGGTGGGCAAGATCGTCCTCATCACCCGCTACGGCTGCGACAAGATCGCCGCGCACCTCCCGGCCCACATCCGCGCGGTGCAGCAGTCGCGACACCACGGCACCGTGGTGTGGCAGTGCGACCCGATGCACGGCAACGGGCGCAACGCCACCGTCAGTGTTCCTCCCCCCAACTCATCATCATCGTCATCGCCATCATCCGCAGACGCAGCAGGAACACCCAGCGGCGCCACCACGACCATCAAGACGCGCCGCTTCTCCGACATCCTCAGCGAACTGCACCAGGCTCTCCAGATCCACCGCGCCCACGCCTCGTACCTGGGCGGCGTCCACCTCGAATTGACGGGTGAGGCCGTGACCGAGTGCATCGGCGGCGCCGAGGGCCTGACCGAGGAGCACCTCAGCCTCAACTACGCCACCTTTTGCGACCCGCGCCTCAACGAGAAGCAGGCCCTCGAGCTGGCCTTTTTGGTCGCGGGGTTTTATCGCGATGCTTCTTCTTCTTCTTCCTCCTCCGCTGCGGCGGCGGCTTGATGTGCTGTGCTGTGGTGTGTTCTGGTGTGGATGCAAAATTCGTCAAGGAAGGAAGAGAGGGGAGTACATACTTCTGATGGCGGCAAGACACCTGGCGCAGGAGATGAGATACCATCGTATGAGGAAATGGACGGGACGAATCTAGGTTAACAAAACGGAAACAATGACAATAGGTCTTCATGTTCGTGTTCATGATCATTCTCGAGCTCAGTCTCAGTCTCAATCTCAATCAATCTCAATCCTATCCACTCCACACTCCACGCTCCACTCCACTGTGTTCTGACAATTGATCTGATCAGCCTCTCCCAACCATTACTATCAATCCCCTGTCCAACGCTCAATGCCTTTCGTGACCCGAAACGCCAAATTCACAGTCCAATCTGCTTCGCATGCATGCATGTATATATCACACGTCCAAGTCCAAAACCCCAGTCACATTCTGTTTCACTCCTCGAACTCATCAGTGCCACATCACTCCTTTCTCAGGGGACTCCCGAAACGAGGTTGAAATCCCATCCCCGCGACACCCACCCCCAAAGTCTTCCTCCTGGCGTCCAGCAAGCCCTTACCCGATTTGCCCTGCATCTTGACCTGAAACTTCTTGTCACCACTTGCTTGCGCTTTATCCGGCGCAGTGCTGTCGTCGTCTTCGTCACGATCAAATAGGCTCTTGTTGATTTGTTTTGGAGGGGCGCTCATTTGCACCAGCTCTCGTCCCTTGGCCACAAGGTAGGGAGTCAGCGGCGTCGCTGCGGTGCGAGGATCGTAGTCCACCTCCAGGGAAACAGACTTTGGAGTCGACACGTTTGTGGTGAATTTTTTGGACACGACTGATCCAGGCGTCTCCTTGTCCTGCTGGGCCATCAGGGCACCCACGTTGGCAGTATCACCACCTCCCCACATTGTCGCCGCAGTCGGAGAGTTGTATGTCGAACTAATCTCCGATTCATCTTCGACCTCGACGCCGTTTCCACGGTCCTCATCTCCTCTGGCGGGAGTTTTGGTCAAGTCCGTCTTCATCTCCCCAGTGAACCCCATGTATTCGGCAGAGAGGCTCCGTCTTTGGTCTCTGCTAGTTGACAAAAGTCCATTGGCGTTGACGAGCATTCTGGGCTCCATGGACTTGCGTCTGCGGGAGCCACCCCGAGGCATGATGCTTGCATCGACAGCGAATGCGGACTCGTCGAGCCACTTGCCTTCGCGCATGCAGTCGAGCACCCAACTGACCCCGACGCAGAGCACTTGGCCTTTGGCAGAGCGGACCTTTTCCAAGGTGCGTTTTCCACCATCCTTGTAGACGACGTGTGTTATGCCAACATTGCCGATCAAGTCACCCGAGTCGGTAGAGTCCTGGTCGGCGGGAGGAATGCTGGCTCTGGGATTCCACCTCCACTCTTTGACCACTCGCGCTCCCATAGTTGTAAGCAGGTCAATGTAGAAAGCTGAAGCGTCCATCCCCTCGCTGGTGTGGATGTCGGTGTGGACAACTGCACCATGAAGAACACCATTTCCAACTGGCTTCAGGGGGTTCCGGCCGGTTTGTGGAGTCCTCGCGACAGACTTTGGCTTCACTGAGGTGCTGGGAGTTTTGGCCAGGGCGACAGTAGCAGGCGTCTTAGGCCCGGAAGTTCCTTTTGAGGGCGTGAATTTAGGGGTGGCATTGAGTCTGTTGGAGCTTGACTTTGTGCTCATTGCGTAGCGAGGTGTTGTAGCTGTTTTTGACTGCCCAGTAGAAGGGACAATGCTGCTTCTCTTCGACGCGGCGGCTGGCGTTCTGAACAAGGCAGAGCCAATGCTGAGGACACTCTCATCCTGTTCAGCGATTTCCGTCTCCTCAACATCATCAGACATCAATTCTTCCTCCGGCAAATCGATCCCATCAAGCGTGCTGTCGCCAAAGTCGTCGGCGGTAAAGCTCATTTGGCCAGGTGTCGTCAAGCCTGAGGCGAGTGAATTTGCTGGACTGGGTGCAGCACTGCGAATTCGTCTCTGAGGTGACATGGCCACATTCGCCTTCGGGGTTGCAACAGGGTCCATGTTAAATGAGGGAGCGTTCAAGATGGGGCCTAAGCTACGTCGCTTGACCGCTTGTACATGCGAAGAAGAAAGCGACCGCGGTCTTTTCCTCTGAACTTTAAGTGGCGATGAAGCAAGAGGAATCTCTCCTTCAGGGCGAAGCGGGACCTTGGACACCACAGTTTGAACATATCTCGGGAGACCTGGATCCGGACGGACAGGAGTTACGTTGAAATCCATTTCCTGGATGACACTCTCGACATATGCAGGAGCGTGGTCGTTCTTGGGTGGGGAGGTCTCTATGCTGGCAGCAGTGACTTCATCCAGCTCGTCCTCTGTGTCAGATGTGGCGTTTATAGCATCCTCGTCTTGTTCTGCACCTTCAGGGACACTTCGATCGATATCGCCGTACTCTTCTCGGGCTTCGTCAATCACTTTGGCGTGGCATTCCCCGCTTCCCTCGGTAGGCGACTCTTCCATTTCATCCGTCTCAGACTCATCTGCCGACGACTCAATGGGAGCTGTGTTTTCATCGCCATATGATCCAGAAGAAGTGGAAACAGAAAGCATAGATTGCTCTTCATTCACCGTCTCGAGCAAAACAGTGGGAACTGTCACGTTAGCCTCCTGTTCGTCGAGAGCAGCTTCCGTATCGTGCCCATCTTGAGCCGCAAGATCTTCAGCTTCATTTGCCAGAGCCTTGAAATCGACCATGGCGGTATCGGATGCGTTGGTAAAGTTGATCAAGTCAGTCGTCAACTCTGCCGTTGTCTTGGCCGCCTCGTCTCCAGATGAGGCTTCAACCTCTCCGTCGAATTCATCAGGCGTATTTTGCTGTGAAACATCTTGTGCCATCAGGTTGTGAAGATCTTCGTCTTCTACAGCAGCATCATCGTCTTCTACCTGATCTTCAAAGTCTCGCGCAGCCATCCCATCAGCGAAGAAGTTAGGCCCGGCGGGGCTTTCGGTAGTGGAAACAGCCAGAGAAAGCCTGCTGGCTATTGACTTTCGTTTCGACGATTCCCGCCCTGGAGTATTAGGCCTGCTCAGCTCCACAGCCCCAGTAACGTGCATCTGAGCAACAGGCGAAAACAGTCCCCGTGACCTGGAAACGGCAGAGGCCTTCTTTTCAGGACTGGCAGCACGCCAACCTTGGACTTGGGCGGCCAGGGGAGTGAAACCCAGATTTTTGGATGCACTCTCTGGGACAACTCCAGTCGAGAGACGAGACCGGATGTCCACGCCGCCGGTGCTGGGTCGAAAGATTGGTCTGAGAGCTCGATTGTCTGGTGTCTGTTCTTCAGCGAGTTCATCTTCCGAGTCGTCGTCGATTTTTCGAAGGCGGCTGAAGAGACCACCCGATATTCTGGGTTTCTTTACAGGGCTCTCCACATGTCGTTGGGCGTCTTCCGAAGCGTGAGCGCCGACGTCTTCGACAATGTCCGAGATCTCCTCGTCAGATGGCTCGTCAGCTTCAAACTCAGGATCCACGATAGTCTCATCTGCATCGACTGCGGAATCTGGAGCTGTGTTGTCGGTGGCATCAACTTCCATGTATTCCTCATGATCGTTCTCCTCCGCAACTGACTGAACATCATCCTCAACGGCCGGTTCCTCCAGAACCATCTCCTCGGCCAAGGTCTCCTCGACGGGCTTCGACTTGTCCACCTTGAGAGGACTTCTGATGTTCAGCACCGACTGGTCGAAATCGACGTCACCGTCCCGTTCCTCGGCCAGCTCATCCTCACTCAATCTATACACCCTTGCCAAACGCTGTGGAGAGACTGACGATCTGAAATGCGAGGACACTACAACTTCTTCACTCTCTTCATTCTGCAGCACTCCCTCGTCGACTGACGATTCCGGTGATCCTTGCTCGGAAATCTTTCCAAACGATGGCGACACCTGAGCAGGCGTCCGCTGCTTTGAAGCCGAGAAGAGGCGTCGGGCAGGCGAAGACAACAAGGAGGTCTTGAGTGGAGTGGTTCGCGACTTTACAGCGGATGGCGGGAACACTAGTCTATCGGACAGGCCTCTCTTTGGAGACTGATGAAGCATGGACTGGGAGTTGCAAGGGTCCAGAACCAGAGCTGCGGTATTATGGATGTCTGGAACATTTGCCCGGAAAATCGTAACGCCCTCGGGCGCTCGTCGAGGGGATTCTTTCAACGAGTCCTTGGCTGGAGAAGCCTGGCGGCGCGGCGGGCTCAACATAGCCATAGCCTCTGATACATGGTTTTTCTGAGGTGATCCCAGGTGGAATGCGGGTGAGAAGTCAAGCTTCTTGATGGGCGACAACGGTCGTGTCGCCGAAGCCGCGAGTCCACGTTTAGGCGAGAGGCTCAGATCGCGAACTGGTGTCTTCGCGCCAGCCAGTTCATCTTCTTCCTCGTCGTCACTTTCCATGGGCATTGCCTTTGCGACTTGTGTTATCTTTTTCGGCGTCAGTGCTCGGGCCTGCATCTTTTCTGTGACCTCGGTCTCTTTCTGAGGTTTGGATGCCACAGCTTTCGAGGCACCTGCTGCTCGAGTGGCTTTTGTTGTTCTGGCGGTGGCAGGCTTCCGAATCGGTTTGGCACGCATGCCGGTGGCTGTCGTCTCGGCCTTCTTTGAGGCAGTTGACTGTGCCTTTGTGCTCTTGGACTTGGCCGTGGTTCTGGGTCGTTTATTCTCTTTCTCGTCGTCATCCTCAGGGAGAGCTTCGAAGGTGACTTTCTTCTTCACGGGAGCCACAACACTGACAGCAGGCTCTGCAGCGACAGATGAGTTCACGGACCCGGCCCTAGCTCGAGTCTGGCGAGTAGTGACAGGCGCAGGTTTATGCTCTTCCGCCGATGGTACAGGAATCTTCTCCTTCTTCGGCCTCGCACGCGACTTGGCTGCTGTCGACGTAGAGACCTGTGGAGGCTCTTCTTCCGGCTCCGGGTCGGTCTGCACAGCTCGACCCCGTCCTCGCTTTTTGGGTTCTGGATTCTTGCCCGCGACATTTGCGGTCTTGTTTTGTTTCACAGCCGCAGATTCCTTCTTACTTCGTGATGTAGCTGGCTTCTTCTCTTCTGCCGAGGTCTTTTCCTTCTTTGCCTTTGCAGATGACTTCTTCGCCACAGTGATTTCTTCTGAAGGGGCTGTAACGACTGGTTCAGGCTGACAGTCATTCTGTGTTAACGGCGTGACCTTTACTCGACGTCGAGGCGCTGCTGCCAGACCAGCAGTCGCGATAGGGGCGGAGGTGTTTGCAGTGGTTCGCGTCGAGGTCCTCGATGGCTTGACAGGCGGCTTGGTAACCGTGGCTTCCAACACTTCTTCATCGTCGTCATGATCACTGGCATCCTCCTCTAGCACAGGCAGCACCTTGGCCGACCTCGTGTTTGCTCGTCCACCCTTTGTGCCTTTACTCGTCGTTGCCTTCTTGGTAACTCGGGATTTTGCCTCCAGGGCTTTCGCACCGCTTGTCGTGGGTATGGGCGCGGCTTTGGTGGTTCGTCGCTTGGACGTTTCTTCGATTGGTGTGGTCGCGGTGGTGGTGGTGGTGGTGGTGCCGGCGTCAGCTGCTCGGGCGCGGGTGATGCGGCGAGGCTTCGCTGGGCTTACAGCTTTCCTCGGCGCCATTTCAGTGGTTCCAAAGTCCCAACACCGGATGGAAGGAAAATTGCAGTGCTAGACACTTTGGTATAGCACAATTGCCCGAGAAAACCTGTTGTTAGTAGTACGGAGAAAGAGAATGGGTGGATGCGGGGAAGAGAAGAGACTGAGACTCGATACACAAACCATTGTTTACAATCTGAGATGTTGACATGGCCAAATCAGGGTTAGCGTCACGACTCACCCAATAAGCCTGTTGATTGGCTGTCTCGCTCGAGACGAGGCTGATCTGAAAACCCCTTCACTTCACTGGCCCAGATGAGTCAATGCAGCTTTTTCTCGTCGTTGTTGACTATGTATATATCTTCATTATTAGTCATTTTTCTATAGTTATTCGTACCCAATCACATCAACTTTTAGCCCAGTCTGATGTACCCTAATCTATTACGTATATTGACATCACCCCTAATACCCAAACATTATGCTTAGCAGCTCAGAGAGTACAGTGGCGTGGTTGGAGGAGGTGAACCAGCGCCCACAAGCCCAAAACTGGGACTGGCGCCAGTGTCCTGAAGAATGTACCACCAGGTGTTGACGCCTTCACCGAACGCTGTGCATCCGACCTCATCATAGTAAGTCTGTGCATTCTGGACCGAAGCAACAGCTTGTCCACTGGTGGGACCCGACACGGGCCAACCTGTTTCAGTGATCCAGACAGGCTTACCCTGAGCGGCAGCAACCGTCACGTCATAATCATCCCAAAAGGTAGCGTTGGCGTTGTCGATGCTGTTCGCTTTGGTCGTCTCATAATAAGGATATGCGTCCACACCAAGGAAGTCGCAAGCTCCAATCAGGTCGTTTTGGCTGGAGTTGGTCCACACATTGTAGGTGTCGACGTGACCAACGGGCTTTCCTGCGGCCGAGGTACCAGCTATGGCCGATCGAACTTGGTTGATATAGTTGATAATGGTGGCTGGGCCCACTCCGACACCAGAGTTGTTCTCGATGCCGATCGGGGTGATGCGGTAGATGTCTTCACTGCCCACGCTGATGCCAGCAATCAAGTCGGTGAAAGCTGAACCATATTGTGCGATGGCGGCATTGAGTGCGGCGACCTCGTTGGCGAATATGGCGTCCCCAGCAGAGGCCCACAAGCCGAGCAAGAGGGATGTGCCGGTGCTGATGGCTGCCGGGATGGCAGAGATGGGAGTGTTGGTGGTTCCGTCTTGAATCATGGTGTACAGACGGGCAGAATCAAAGCCCAAAGCCTTGGCCGAATTGAATTGACCTTCAAAGGCAGACTGGTCGTTGCCCGCGGAACCATAATTGAAGCCCTTGTATGCAGCGAGAGTGGAAGGCAGGGCAGCCACAATGGCGAGAATTTGTGAGGCTCGCATATTGTAAATATTGTAGATATGAGATGTATGCGAGGTTTGATACGAGCGTAACGAATGGATAGATTTGGGAAAAGGAACAAGTTCTATGGCTACAAGGAAGATCGGAATCTGTTATAAGCAGCACACGGCAGGGCACGAATAAATGGAAAATCGCAAAGGGACGAATATGGTTGGGGCAAAGCTTGAACAAGTCGGGGAAGGTTCTACCTCGAATACTGACTTCAAGGTGGCGGCAAGATCGAGGCGCAGGAGAAACAGATGATGGTGGTAGAGGAGGTGGTGCGAGTGGAGGTATTTTCGTGAGAGAAAATGCTGCCATTCGACGGGATGATCAGGGCAAAAAGAGGGTCGACATGCTTGGTTCGTCGCTTACGACTCTGAAGCGACGCACAGACTGGCACGCATAAGCAGGCACTGGCAGCACCATGGGTGCCAGCAGGGTTTTTGGCAGGGGAAGAAAAAGCCGTTGCCGAACGATGGGTACGAATAGAGAAAATTCTGATGGGAGGTGACAGCATCCAGTGGATTGGCGTAGCAGGGATGGTGGGGGTTTAGCATGATGATGGTGACGTATGTTCTCAAGGATGGTTTCGGAGGATTCCTCTGGTGTCTATTACAGGCACCAAGTACCGACAACTCAGCTGCACCTGCCAACTGCACAATTGGCAGTCGTACCTGCATCATACGAGTCCTTACGAGCTACCCAAGTACCAACCAAAAAGTGGGCCAGTCAAAAACTTGCTCCGCGTGCTTCCATTGACTCTTCCGTCTGAAACTCATCCATTCAGAGTCCCCCTTGGTGCCCTCACGTACTTGTACTCGCACAAGTTCCTCACAAGCCCTGTTCCTTCCACGGGTTGGTGTCGTGACTAGCAAGTCAGCTCGCATCACCCGCCCAGGCAAAAGAGAACACCCTAAGAAATGCTGTATTGTGTACTTGTATAGCCACCTACTCCGTACAACCGCTGTACATGCAAACAAAATCACAGCTTCATGCCCAGCGCCTTGTGCACCTTCAAGCTCTGTCGAATACTTAGATCCAGCATGATTTCCTCGCTGCCTCCTGGGATCTTGTACGCCAGAGTATCACGGTACAACCGCTCAATCTTCCCACCCTGCCCACCGCGCGAATAAGCCAGGCCACCAAATACCTGAGCGGCCTCCTTGGCGCAGAACTCGAACGTCGTCGTAGCCTGAGCCTTGAGCCCTGCAATGGCACCGCCCAGCCGCAGCATGGCCTCCGTTTCGCCCATTCGCTGGCACTGGTAGATGATGTTCTCCAGCCAGTTGTAGCTGGCCTCAATTTGGCGTGCCATGTGCGCGAGCTTCATCCGGATCACAGGGTGGTTGATGAGCTTCTGTCCAAACGTCTTTCTCTTGGACGCATACTTGACACACTCTTCGAAGCAGACGCGGGAGAAGCGTAGGCATTGGATGACGATGCCGATTCTTTCGTGGTTGAAATTGGTCATGATCACTATTGCGCAGCCTAATCAGCAGCTGATACCTTCGACAGTGGTAGGCGTCTTCTTACCTTGGAACCCCTTGTTGACCTTGCCCAGAACATTTTCCACAGGCACCTTGACGTCCTCAAATGTAATGTAGGTAGTCCCGCTGCTCCAGACGCCCTGGCAGTCCATGCGTCGAGTGCTTACGCCTTCGGTGCGCTCGATCAACAACAGACTGATGCCACCCATTCCTGGACCACCGGTTCTCACGGCAGTCGTGAAATAGTCGCTCCAGATGCCGTTGGTAATCCACTTCTTCTCTCCGTTGACGATGAAATGCTTGCCGTCCTCCGACAGCTTGGCCTCGCACGTAAGATTGGCAACGTCAGAGCCGGCATCAGGCTCGGTGATCGCCAGGCATATTCTCTTGTCTCCGGAGAGAATACCCGGAAGAATGCGATTGAGGAGCTCCTTCTTGCCATATTTGACCAGCGGCGGACACCCGATCCCAAAACCTCCGATCAGATTCCAAACCAGTCCACCAGAACCGGTTCGTGACAGCTCATCCGTCAGGAGCAACTCGTGAAACAAGTCCCATTTCTCCGGCGGGACGGACTTGACGGGGTTCTTGACCAGATGCGCTGGGTACTTGACACCCAAAAGACCAGCCAAATAGCCCCGTTCGCCCATCTGCTTGTAGATCTCCTCAGGTACTCTCTTGGCCTCGTCCCACTCGGTCACGTAGGGCTCGAGCTCGGTGTCGACCCATTCTCGAACTTCGGCACGGAGGGCTGCGTGGGTCTCGTTGTAGTATGGTGAATGGTACTTTTGCATTCATTTGTCAGTCAGCGTCCCAATTGCGGTTGAAGGAAAGCAAGTCAAACTTACGCCTTGATACCAGCTCGGATCACCAAAGGGAATCAGAGACCCAAAGGGATCCAGCGCCTCGACTTCTTCCGACGCAGCCGGACCCGGTGCAGGAGCAACGGTCCCAGGTTCTGCTTGCGGGCGGACCTTTTCCGCCGGCGGTGGTGTCGCCGGAGGTGTCGGTGGTGCTGCTGCTGCTTCTACCTTTTTGGTGTCCAACGACCCGACCTGCAACTTTGCCTTGAATTTCTTGAGAATGCCCTCGTTGTGGTATTTCCAGAACTGCTTCGAGGCGTCTTTACCAGCCACGCGTTGTAGGACTGTCCGAAATCGAGCGGCGTTAGTCTTTTTGAGGGGGGGCGCATTCGGGGGATTGGGACTTTTTAGCCCCGGCAAGGGAGGGAGAGGGGAGACTCACTCTTCTTCCCACCTATATATGCAGGACATCCGCCAGGTCAGTGAAAAATGACTTCTTCCAAGAATGCGGATGGGGAGGGGGAACTAAATAACTAACCTGGATGCTCGTCTTGGAATTTCGTCAAGTCATAGACGTCTTCGTCGACGATGATGTAGAGGTTGTCGGCCTTGTTGTGCGACGCCACGTCGGCGGTCGAGAATCGTTTCGACATTGTAGCACGGACAGGTTCAGAATGGGAGTGATTGGCGGTTTTGCGAGTCACTGAAGGTAGGTAAGTACGTGGTAGGTGGTAGCACAAGCACTCAGAGGGTGTGTGTCTCTCTCTCAAGAACAAAAAAAAAACAAGATTCACTGGAAAGGAGATCACGGAGCGTTAAGAAGTCCAAGGAGAAAGGAGAAACAGAAGAAAAGGAAGGAATGCAGTCCCTGTTTGTAAAGGTTGACATTGTATGTGTTTTTTCACATGCCCCGGCATTCTGACACGAGGCAAGGGCATGATCAGTAACCGCAAAGCCGGCACGCCGTGCGCCGCCTGTCGCACACATCATCCATCATCATCATCATCGCGGTCACGCTCCTCCACAAAAAAGGGGATCGAGGTTAACTGGAAACCGGAGACTCCGATGATGATTTGGTGTCCATTTACCCAGCGTCTGATTCGTTGTTGGGGTCGGTCAGATGATGTTTTGGCGGATCGCAGACACTTCCCTCCTTGTACACACCAAGGTGCCAAGTGCCGAGGCATTTGTACAGCCAATTTGTCTACACCAACATCATCACATGTCATTGCTCCCAAGGTAATTGGCATCAGCACGTGCTTTTTTGTTGCCATCTTTCATCTACACAATTTCCCCCACAAGAGCCTATTCTCCGCCTGTACCTCCAGTATTTGCCCGTTCTCTCAATCGCCGCCCTTCCATTAGTCCTCGCAGACCCCGTTTCTGGAGCCCAATCACTGAGCTGAGATCGCCCGTCCATATTTCTTGCGATTCCCTCTCTCCATGTCCATTGTGCTCGGCGTTGTCGTCTTGCCCCGACGTCTCGGTGTCCGTTCGGGACATGTCAGTCGACGTTGACGCCGAAGTGGCCGTCGATGCTGAATCCATTGAACTCGACTTTCCATGCCCTCTTTTCTTGCTGGGCTCTTCGTAATTTGTCGCCAGCTTGAGTCCCGCAGTCTTGTTCGTCAGGCCTACAGTCGCTTCTGCAATGGTCGTGGCTTCGCTCTCTCGTCGACCCATGCCCATCAGATTGCTGCCGGCAACACCCCGAAGGCCTCGGCCACCTCCTGCAGCCATCGCAGCCGCATTGAAGACCGCGGCAGAGTTTCGTCCGTCTAACACCTCATGCAAACGTTCGACTGTAGCTTCCAGCAGTCCGTCGACCTGGTAGGGTCTGGCCATCTGCAACAGAGAGCACAGCGTGTGCGGTGTGCACAATGGTGATCCCACCGGCGGCAGCGAAGATGTGTAGAGGAAATGTAGCAACAGGTGGATCGTGGGAGCCATGTGAGGCAGGTACAAAGATCTCGGTCGACTTGAAGGCGGGATGTTTATGGTGTTCGGCAGCTCGACCAGTGTTCTAGCCGTGGATCGACTCAGTGATCTCTGGGGATCCAGGATGCCATCACTTCCTGCCGTAGCCACTGCCAAGCCATTCGCTGCGGCCGGCGTGATTGTCAGCGTAGAGTTGCGGCTGGCCTGCGACCTCATACTTGGCTTCAACGTTGCCCCATCCGATATACTGACATTCTCGTGCGTCGACACAGACTCGGCCAGGAGCTGATTGAAGAACGGACCCCAGCGTCGGGACAGGATGTATGAGTTGCACGGAATCTTTTCTCCGCCCAATGCCACAATCTCCATGTCAGAGAGCTCTGGCAGACTCAAAGCTGCCTGACCGAGTTGTTCGGCGGTACTGTTGTATGGTCTTCCGCCAGCGGCTTGACCCAGCAGACTCGATTGCATCGACGGAGGAATGCTCGGAGCAGATACCGAAACATAGCCTGAGGTCGGAGCCACTTTTCTAGGGTTGTCATACAGGCCAAATGCTTCCAGCTCAACCATGCAAACGTGACTGAAGTTAATCCGTCGATGGTTGTAGTCGTCTACCAGGCTTCGCTTCCGGTTCCCAAGAATAACAAACGTATTCCTCCGATTCCACAACACGCCCCGGTTCCAGCTCCCTTGGGAGAAGATCGAGCCATTCGTGTCAATGCGTGCCCACGTTAGGGTTTTGAGGTCCAACGCCCACAGTGCATACTCGTGTTTCGATGAAGTCAGGTATGTCCCACTGACTACAAAATGACCATCAATGATGCCGCCATTGGGAAAGCGCAGGCCAGGCGGGGACACGGAGCCAGTTACAGGCTTCTCCATCAATGAACCGTCTGGTAACCGAACCTGCAGCTCCAGCTTGACGTCCAGGAAATTGTAGTTGGAGTATATCAGCATCGATGTCCCGGGGCGCGAACTGGACCTTTGGACTTGTGGATCATTCAGCGGAACCCCTCGACCAATCAGCTCTGCCGATAGTCCTGTCATGGGAGCAACCATGCTTTTATATGCTCCGCATTTGCGGTCCCAAGCTGTCGTGCCTGTCCACCTCAGACTGCGCAGGTTGAAGACGCTAAACTGTTCAATGTAACTGTTCGTGCTGTCTTGGCCTCCGGCGACAACCATTTCTGCGCCACCAGTTCCGTCCATTTGTATTCCTAGCGTACCAGAATGAGGATCGGCAGACGGCGGGTTATGCTGGATGGCGGACAAGGGAGCATTGGCGGATGTGAACACAGCAGACGATGGCAATATCGCCGCACAGTGGGCATAACGGCCTTGGGGATTTTCAGGGGCCTGGACTAGAATCCATTTTCGCGTAGGTACATCGAAGACATGGATATCGGACATGACCACGACCTCTGGTTGGCCTTCTGGCTTGCCCGGTTGACCAGTTTGCGCAGGCCTGCTGCTGTGCGGTGCAGGTGACATGCCACCGTAGCAGACCAGCTTCGAGTCCCCGAGGGCACATACACTGTGAAAGTAGCGAGGTGGAGGTACATCTCCAAGTGCATCGACCTTGACCCAGTGCCGGCGGATGAGATCAAGCTCGTAGAGGTCCGAGGACAACTGTGGTTTCGTTCGAGAGTGTACCCTGCCCCCAAAAACATACAGCTTGTCCCCCAGTATTGTCGTCGTTGCGCCAACCAACCCCGGGGGCTCTTCACCTGTCGTCCTGTGCACATTGCAGACCAAACCCGACAAATTTGTCGGAGTTGAGGTATGCTGAGTAACCGAAGATGAGATGCCGATATTTCCCCCCGTACCATCCACGGGTTGGTTCGAGCCATTTGCGCCCTCATTGCTTGCCTCCGAAGCAACGAGGCTCACCTGGCTGTTGTTCATGTCCGCAGGATTGATCGTGGAAACCGGGTGCCTTTCCTCCTCGCAGTCTCGTAGTTCCGCCGTGACAAACGGACCAACTTCATCCAAATATCTCGCAGAGCGTGGATGGCTGTTTAATGTCGGGGTTGTTGGCGAGGAATTCGTGGTAGTCCGAAGATCTGGTTGCGACGTGGTAGAGTAAAGTTCTCTAGTAAATGACGGCTGTGCAAACTCGGGAATTATTATGGGTACATATCGTGGCAATCGTGTGGTACTGGAAGACTTCGTAGCCGGGTTCGGCACATAATCATGAACAGGTAATCTCGTCAATCGATATCTGGAAACCTCGCTCGGTGTCTGTGGCGAGGTTGCAGAGATATTAGGGCTCTCGTTTGTCACCGATGGCAAGGACGGACTCTGCCAGAGAGCGAAAACGCTAGACACCACCGATTTGGAGCGGTTGTCTGTGGCTAACGGCGGTATGGACGGCCAGTGGTGTTCCTCAGGTGATGGTGGGTCAAGATGGGAGGTGAGGAACCGCGATTCCCTCAACCGTGGGATAGAACCCTGTTTCCCAGGACTTTTACGTCGGAACCTAGCCATGACTGTCAGCTCTAGTCCCACGAGGCCAGAGGCGGAGGGCAAGCGAATAACAAGGGACACGGCAATGTGACAAATGAGCAGACAAGATAAACAAGTAGAAAGAACAACATTGGCGATAGGACATGATGGACAAGTTCCCCTTTCTCGGATCTTTGTAGGCCATGGCGATAAAGGGTACAAGCAACGCGTTCGTTTGTCCCGGCGGGCAATGCTGAGCCAAAGGCAGGCGGGATCGAAATCGGGCAGCAGAGGTGGCGCAAAGATCTCAACGATGCAGAGGGAGAAAAGATAGACCACTGACCGAGAGGACAAAGAACCTGTCTCGGGATGTCGCTTTTTTCGTGAAGGGTCGTTTTCTCTCCCGTGTCACTTTGGCTGATGTCAGAAGAAAAGGGGGGGAAGTTGGTGGTGAGAATGTCGGAAGATGGAGAACCCGAACGCGATCAGAATTGAAGATGGAAGTGCTCGCAAACAGCAAAACATTCATGCAAGATTGAATCCAAGACGAAGTCGATGTCCAGATCTGTACAACTGGGTCTCTCTGTGGAGGACTCTAGGAGAATTATTAGGACGCTGGGGGTGAAATTTTGTGTAGCGGAAGAAGAGTTGTTCCATGTCAAGTCTAGATGGACCTACGTGCCTGCGCCAGTCGCAGGGAGTTGGAGCTACTGCTGGCACTGGCACATGTCACTGGTGCGTTCAGGGCAAGGGGGGCCGCAAAGACATGGGCGCTCTAGGCGATTGTAGGCGATTCAGGCGGTGCCGGCGGTACCAGTAGCAGTTAGTTAGGAGGGAGTTGCCGCTATGCCAAGCCGGTTATCAGCAGCCCTAACAGCTCGTGACAGCCAATTGTCCACGGGAGTCAAGTTCAGGGCAGGTTGATTACCTCAGTGACCAGGTTCAGGGGCTAAATGGGCAATGGAACAAAGTACGGGGTACATACTGCTGCTGTGGCTGATTGACGTGTATCCAGTGGTACGTGCATTGAGAGCAACAGACAGGACGCGTCGCAAACAATTTGAAATAACTTCTCTGCAATTTGTTGGGGTATGCACGTCACAAAATGACCTTGAATTGGTATGGCACCGAGTCAAATCTGGTTTCTTCCACAGTGTCTCTCGAGCTGCTACATTTTCGGTGGTATCAAAATTTACTTTCCCTTGCTAACTTTGCTTCCACCACTCCTCTAAGCAGCACTAGTCTTCTCCTTGGGAAGAGGTGTGGTTCGCAGGTAAGGCTTGATGATTTTCATCTCGGGGAAGATCTCCTTCGCCTGCTCGGTCTTGACGCTGGGATGGACAATCACGTCGTCACCTGGCACCCAGTTGATTGGGGTGGTGACCTTGTGCTTGTCGCCGGTCTGGAGGGAGTCGACAATCCGCAGAACTTCGGCAGTATTGCGGCCGGTCGAGGCAGGGTAGGCCAGGATGGTGCGGATGACCTTCTTGGGGTCAATGACGAAAACGGATCGGATGGTGAAGGCAATGCCCTTTTCATCCACGTTGGTGGCATCCTGATGATCAATCATGTCATAGAGAAGCGCGATCTGTCTGTTCTTGTCTCCGATAATGGGGAAGCTCAGGTTGCTGCCGCTGATCTCATTGATGTCCTTGATCCATTCTCCGTGACTGTCAATGGTGTTGGCCGAAAGCCCAATCAATTTGACGCCTCTTCTGTTGAACTCGGGTTCCAGCTTTGCAAAGGCACCCAACTCGGTCGTGCAGACGGGAGTGAAATCTTCCGGATGCGAGAAGAGAACGACCCAGTTGTCGCCGATGAACTCGTGGAAGTCAATGGGTCCTTTGGTGGTTTGGGCTTGGAAATTGGGGGCAATTGAGCCCAAGCGGAGACTGGAGGGCGCTGATCGTTAGTTATGCTCTTTCTGAAAGTCCACACAGCTTTGGAGAGGGAAGGGTGCCACGTACGGTTCAGGGCGGTCGGCCATTTTCTCTGACGGTGTGTATGGAGTGTTGCAAATGGATGTGTTCAGCAGAGAGCAGGCGTGAGGACAAAGACTGCGATTGCGCAATAATGCGATGGGAGGGGTAGGCGAGGAGTTTTTATACTAGTCAACCAGAATGGCAGATTGGGGAAGAAAACTTGAGAACTCTAGGCTCAAGCGGCGACGACAAATCTTTTTTTCCTGCTCTTCTCGAACAAGCCTCTGACCTCGAGGGACAAATCCCTGGGTCCAGCTAGTGGCATGATTGCTTGCCCCTCGTGCTCCCATGATGCGGGCGGGATCCATAATGGCATCAGCACTTAGCAGCAAGGCAAGCAGACAACCCAACGAAGGGCGGGAGCATGTCAGAGGTTGAAGAATGGTGTCCACTGCGTCGAAGCCAGACAATCAGCAACAGACCTGATCACGCAATCGGCATGGCGCTTGGCCTGTTTGACACTCGTGGCTCGGCATCCGCAGCCTTGCGTGTGCCCCTCCATTCACGTGCGAGGCTGGATCTTGGTGCTCCTCATTAACTTTTTGTGTGGACAAAGAGACGGGCAGGTCCGCATCTTCTTCCTAGGGCTCCCTGATGATTTTGTAGCCCGGGCTGACAAGGGAGCGTGCTCCTGGCTAAATGTTGTCAACGTCCTCTTTGAGGTCTGTAGAATGTGGAAAACCAAACTAACTCGTCGACGTCATTCCGACGAATTGCCGATTACAACTCAATGTACTAGACCTCACAATGACAAAAGTCCAGAGTAGGCATATATACCAGCCATACTTCTCTCGAGGGTTGGTCTCCCCAACTGTCAGCAATATACACAGACTCCCCAGACAATGGAGCCCGTCTCACGCCCAGCACCGAGTGCCGATACCCAATCAGCCGAGCAGCTCCCGCCAGAAGCCGTTGCTCTAGCAGGAAGGTTCTTCGACGCCGCCCGGGTAGGTCAGACGGATCTATTCGAGCAAGCCTTGCCAAGGGGTCTACCTGCGAATCTGACCAACGACAAGGGCGACACATTGGTAAGTGCTTAGAAAGGATAGGGAAGCCAGTTTCAGGGGCCCTCTCAGTTATCGACTGCGCTAGGTTGTCCAGAGCGACTTCCGCCAGAATGACTAACTCCCTCAGCTGATGCTTGCCTCTTACCACGGTCATGCACCGTTGGCCTCGATGCTTGTACAGCACGGCGCAGACCCCAATCGCCTGAACGATCGAGGGCAATCGATCCTAGCAGGAGCGGTCTTCAAGAACGAGACCGAAGTGATCGACATCCTCTTAGAAGCCGGGGCTGATCCTGAGGTCGGGCAGCCGAGCGCTCTGGAGGCAACAAGAGTATGAATGTCACGGTCTTGTCACGATCTCCAGGTCTACGCTAACAATGAAAAAGGTCTTCAGACAAGAAGCATATGAACTAAAGTTCAAAGAGCAGGTGGAGAAACTGAAAGCCGCCAAAGACAGAGCCATGGCCGGCAGTTCATGATGTACATTCATTGTCTCTACAACTTTCATTTCAATGCCATGGTACAGCAGAGAGAGGTCATAATTCATGCTTTAATATTTCAAAACGAGATTTTCGTTTGTCCAAAACGCCCCAACACCATGCTAATATGCAGACAAGGCTATTCGTTCGATGAAATTCTACTGGTATGCATGACCAGGTTCGTTGCTCATTCTCGACTGTTGCAGCACTTTCTGTGACGGGATTCTGATTGAGCTTGGAGCGGGTGGAGGCTTGGGATAGCAGCTTGCACACCAATCGTATTTTCGTTGTTGGATCAAGTGCATTTGATGGCACCATTCGGCCACCGGGGCAGTTGGCTGCAACGACGTGGCCGAGGAGGTTCGAGATGAAGTGGTCGAAGAAGGTGGGGATGTTTTGGGTCGTTCAGAAGCTTTCTCGAGCGCCCGTTCATAGTCAGAATAGTATCGGCTGGATGCTCTGGCGTGAGACATTGTAGACAAAGGGGACGATGGGCTGACGGGAGTTTGACAGGAGGTTGTCGGTCAACAGCTCTCGAGGAAAGGTTGGGTCCTAATATGTTTACTGGAGAGGCGTAGGTCCGGTATAGCAGGAACAAATGACGTGTAGTCTGAGGTGGGATGCGCTGAATAAGTGATCTTTGGAGAACAATGCATAAATCCGGAGTGCTGATGACCACCAAAATGAGGGTGTTGAGATGCCGAAGGACGTATCAAGATGGAAAGAGTGGGATGATGACCGAGGATCAAGACGGAACACGTGGGAATGAGTGGATGAACAAGGACAGCACAATTAGACAGGATGTAGGAAAAATGATCAGCAACTGGGGGAAAGAGACGGAAAGGTCTGAGATATACGTAGGACATGGACGTGGAACGACGTGGTGTTACCTAGTGTCGATTGTGCCATCTTGTTGTCTGTGGATATGAGTGCGTCTTGGAGCATGCGTGGCATGCAGGGTGAAACGAACAGCCCCGAAGAACAGCTTTCCACAAGCCATGGATCCCAACATTCTGAGCACATGTGTTGTGTGAGGACGAGACAAGCGATAGGAGGGAGCCACTCGGTGGTGGTCGCAGAGGTTTCTCAGCAGAGAAAAGAGGTGAAAGGTACCAGCCGCTGACCATCCACCCACAACAAAAGGGCACCGAAAGACCAGAAATGGGTTCGGGGGCTCGGGTAGAAGAAAGTAAGTGTCGAAAAGGGAAATAGGGGGCAGTTGTTGATGGATAAACAGAGGAGAAAAGGCAAGAAAAAAAAATTATGCATATTTTGCATGTGAGAGTGAGGAGTGAGATGTGAGACAGAGCCACAGAGGCCAATGTCACGGTTCCCGCATCCCAATCCGTATCCGGTCCGCAGAAGCGACTGGCAAAATGCGGACTGTAACTGCGGCTGCGGCTGCGGCCACTTTGCCATCAATAATATCCATGACTTGGTTCTAGCCAGACGCCTCCCCTATTTTTGGCCCTGCTTGCAGAGCACCCACACTTGGTATAATGTGTTTACCCATCCAGCAGTCTTCATTCTCATTACCATGATCGTCTTCTGAGCTTGGTGGTGTCGTCTCCCAGAGCATGCTATGGTCCAACGTCGTACGCGGCTGCAGCGGTGGTTAGCCATATCCTCTAACCGGATCTTCGCCGTTGCCACAACCACCCTTGGCTGAATGATGTGCCATCCATGATTCCGAGATGATCATCCCGAACACAGATCTCGAATCTGATCCCTTCTCCTCTTTTCTTCGTCACCAAGTCCTCTCCAGAAGTCCAGCGATTGGCTGCACCCCGCAAAAGATGTTCCTCGGGCACCTCAGGTCCGCATGCGGGGGAAGCAGAAGGACGTGGCATTCTTGACAAGGTAGACGCATAGGTAGGTTGATGAGGTGTCTATGAAAAGCCCGTTTCGCTGTTCTGTCGATCGTAGGCATAGAATCTCGCGCACTTCGCTCACCGAAGCTACTATACACAACCCTCTTCTCGAGCCACAATGTCCGCCACAAACGGCGTCAACGGCCATGTCAATGGCTCCTCGAGTGCCCTCTGCTCTGTTGATGAACTGGTGTCTCGCAAATATGACTTTGTTGTGGTTGGAGGAGGTACTGCTGGTCTAGTGGTCGCTGCTCGCCTCACCGAGGATCCAAATATCTCTGTGGCGGTCCTGGAAGCTGGAGAGAATCGAATGGACGACAAGGCAGTGTCCACCCCTTCACTCTATCCCACTATGGTGAGTAGAACGACGCCTCATCCCGCGCGAGGTTCCTGACCTCCTTTATAGATCGGCAGGAAAGAATACGACTGGTGCATGACGAGCACACCACAACCCAATGCAGGCAACAAGGTCTACTCGATGCCTCGCGGAAAGGTGCTCGGCGGCAGCTCTGCTATCAACTATCTCATGTATGTTAGAGGGTCAAAGAATGATTACGAGGGATGGAAGTCAATGGGCAACCCTGGCTGGGGTTGGGAGGATATGCTTCCTTACTTCAAGAAACACCAAACATTGGACGATTCTGCTCGGCACAGTGATCCACAATTCATGCCTATCGCGGGAGGGGACAAGTATCATGGATCCAGTGGGCCTGTCCATACCAGCTTCAACGACTGGTATATGCCATTAGAGGTGGAATTTGCCGAAGCTGCCTATGCAGTTACCGGGACAAAGAAGACCATTAATGACGCGTGGAGCGGCGACCATCTGGGCTTCTATTCGAGTCTTGGGGCCGTGAACAGATCCGATGATCCTGGAAAACGATCCTACGCTGCAACCGGATATCTTCGTCCGAATCTGAGACGACCAAACTTGAAAGTCCTGACGGAAGCGCAGGCCACCAAGATTGTCTTGGATGGAGACACGGCCAAGGGCGTTGAATTCGTCCACAAGGGTCAGAAATACAGCGTCGACGCAACGCGCGAAGTCATTCTGTCTGCCGGCGTGATTCAAAGTCCTCAATTGCTCGAGCTCTCGGGAATCGGCGATCCCGAAGTTCTCAGGGCGGCTGGTGTTGAGTGCGTCGTTGAGAACAAGGGAGTGGGCGCCAATTTCCAGGACCATGTTCTCGGAGGACTCCTATTCGACCTCAAACCCGGCATTGATTCCATGGATGCTCTGCACGGCGAAGAGTTCATGAAAGCACAGCAGGACGTATATCAGAACAGTCAGAAAGGACTGTATGCTAGCCCAGGCATGATGATGGGATTCGTGTCGTACGCGTCCCTGGTCACTCCTGACGAGCTCGACGCAACGATTAAAGAAATCAAAGAGAAGTCGCTTGCGAAGACGGACTTTGAGAAAGCTCAAGAAAAGGTAAGTGACTAACCGTCGTCAACAACAGATCAAGTCCATAGTACTTCTTCCGTTGACTGAACTGACACAACTTCATGCTGATGCTAGGTAATTGTCGACCAACTCCGCGACCCAACCTTTGCCAATCTCCAAACCTTCTGCATCCCATGCCGTCTGGACGTGGCCAAGGGCTCCGATCAGACGCAGTTCTTTGGCAAACCACCCAACGGCAAACAGCAGCTCTCGTTGCTCATGTGCCTAGAACACCCTCTGTCAAGAGGCACAGTACACATCAAATCGTCGGACCCGTTGGCGCCTCCCGAGATCGACCCGGGATACTTCCGGAATGAGGTCGACGCCAAAATCCTCGCGGCCGGTATGAAGTGGATGGACAAGGTCGCCAGGCATCCCTTGCTGGCGAAATCACTCGCCGAGAGAGAACTGCCGCCCGAGAAGGAGAGTCTCGACAGCGAGGAGAGGAGGATCGAGTATGTCAAGAACCACATCAGCACACAGTACCACTTGATCGGGACGTGCGCGCTCGGCGAGGTTGTGGACACAGACTTGAAGGTCAAAGGGGTCAAGAACCTGAGGGTGGTGGACGCCTCCATCTTCCCTGGCCATGTATCTGGGTAAGCCCCGAATTCTGTCTTTTTGGCTGACAAGAGAGTGTCCATGGATCAATGCTGATTTTTGACGACACAGGAATATCATGGCCACCACTTACGCCGTGGCCGAAAAGGGCGCGGATCTGATCAAGAAGGATATTTAGCTGCGTATGACTTTAGCCAAAAAATTCCACACTATTGAGAAAGGGAGTTGATAAAATCGTGGTTTTGCTTTTTTCCTCCCCGGTCTGACTTGAGTTGTACGTCTGTCTAGATGTACATGTAGAGGTATGCTGAAACTAGCTAGGTAACAGTCTAACAACGCTCAGAGGAGAGTAGAGTAGAGTGGTAAGTAAATACATAGGTACACAAGTAAGTAGGTAAGTGGTAGGTATTAACACATGCATGCCCATTGGCCCTCGAAAAGTACCTTGTACCTAGCACCCAGTAGCCCGTACCAGGTACTTTGTGTAGGTAGGTATCATGATGATGATGACATTATACGACGCCGAATCTTTTTTTCCCCCCCCAACTCCTACTTTTTTGATGACAACAGCAAAGATGTCTGACCAAACCCCTGGACAATATCGTTGCAGATGCTGGGATTTCATACCCCGACCAGGACTTGGTATTCGTGTTAAGATGAGGCGGATGATGTGATGCGTGGCTTGTGCACACACGGCCAGGTATCCATCAAGAGGATCCGCGCGATGACCTGTGTACTCCGATATGTTGGCCTTGGCAGGGTCGACAGATAATTGTCACTTGTTGCACTCCCAGTGGTTGGCACGATGCTCTGAGCTTGGGAACTCCAAACGCCGTGCTCTGGTCGCTGGGCGGTGATGGTCTTCTCTCGCCCGGGATATTCGTTTGCACGGGCCGGCAAAAGCTGAACTCGGCCTCATTCCATACGGTCCACGTGGAGAGAAAGGTCACAAGGTCAAGGGTGTGCGAACATGCTTGGGTGGGAAATGCTGGCCGCAACGCCTGAACGCATCTCGTGCGCTGTTGGTCGTTGGTCGTTGTTCATTTCTTGTTCCTCTCCGCCTGGGCCTTGAGGAACTCGGACTGGAGCTCCTTCTGCAGCTGCATCGGCGCACGCTCGTAGTGGCTGAACTCCATGCTGAACTCGCCCTTGCCCTGTGTCGCCGCACGGAGGTTGCCGCTGAACCCAAACATGCCGTTGAGACTGGTGTCGGCCCAGACGGTGAATTCGTCCACGCCGACCTCGGTGTCGTTGATCACCGCATTCCGCTTCTGCAACAGCCCGACCACGTTGCCTTGAAACTCGGTCGGGGCTGTCACGACCGTCTTCATCATGGGCTCCAGCACCACTGGGTCGGCGTCCATGAACGCCTTGCGGAAGGCCTGCTGCGTTGCGTTTTTAAAGGCCATTTCGCTCGAATCGGTCATGTGGGTCGCACCGTCGTTGATGACCATGGTCGCACCGAGCACTTTGTGGCCGACCAGAGGACCTTTTTCGCAAGACAGGTGGAAACCCTTTTCACAAGCGAACAAGAATTTCTCCGAGATGGCGCCACCAATAATATGTTCTTCAAAGTGGTTGCCTTCGAGGTTACCCTTGGGCTCCATATAACCTGCAACACGTGCGTAATCACCTGCTCCGCCAGTCTGTTTCTTGAGCAAATGGTTGAACTCGACGCGTTTGGTGATGGTCTCTCGGTAAGCAACGCGCGGGGGGCCGGTCTCGCACTCGACCTTGTATTCTCGGCGCATGCGCTCGACGTAGACCTCCAAGTGAAGTTCGCCCATGCCCGAGATGATCGTCTGTTCGCTTTCGGTGTCAAAATGAACTCTAAAGGTCGGATCCTCGCGCTGGAACCGCGCAATGGCTTTGGAGAAGTTGGGCAAGTCTTTGTTGTTCTTTGGCTTGATGCTGAGGGAGATGACGGGTTCGGGCACGAACATGCTGGTCATGGTGTACCCCAATTGTCCGTCCGTGAACGTGTCACCCGATGCACATTCGATTCCAAACACCGCACAGATCTCTCCGGCGCCGATCTCGTTGACTTCTTCCATCTCGTTAGAGTGCATGCGGACGATACGGGGAATCTTGACCCGCTTGTCGGTCCGGGCGTTGAACACGTTGAGGCCTTTTCGCAATTTGCCCTGATACACGCGGATATACGTGAGTTGCCCAAAGTTTGATTCTTCCAATTTGAATGCCAGACCGACAAAAGGCAACGAGTTGTAAGGGACAAGCTTGACGGGGGCCTCCTTCTGTCTTCGGTCGAGAGCGGTGTTGGACACCTCGGAGGGGTTGGGAAGATAATCGCAGACACCGTCGAGCATCGGTTGGATAAATTTGTCGGCGAGGGCAGATCCCATAAAGACCGGAGTGAACTTGAGCGAAATGGTAGCCCTCCGAATGGCGGCCTTTAGCTGTTCAGTCGTAGGCTCCTGTTCATCCAGAAACAAGTTGGCAATCTCGTCATCGACGTCGGCAAGTGTTTCGATCAGCTGTGCCCTCTTCTCTTTTGCGAGCTGTTGGACCTCGGCCGGGATTTCATCCTTGGTGACAATGATCTCGCCACGTTCACCCTCAGCATAGTTCGTCTTCATGGTGATCAAGTCGACGACGCCGCGGAACTCGTCTTCGGCGCCAATGGGCACCTGAACAGCCGCAGCGGCGATTTTGAGCTTCTTGTTGATCTGGTCGACGGCTTTCCACGGGTTTGCGCCCATTCTGTCCATTTTGTTGATGAAGCTGATTCGGGGCACGTTGTATCTCCGCATCTGCCGGTCAACGGTGATGGTCTGACTTTGGACGCCGGACACCGCACACAGAATCATGACGGCACCGTCCAGCACCCGCAGTGCACGCTCCACCTCGATGGTAAAGTCAATGTGTCCGGGCGTGTCGATCAAGTTGATGTGATATTTTTCTTCCTTGCCATTCTCCTTTTTGACCCAGTCACAGAAAGTGGCTGCGGATTGAATGGTGATGCCCTTTTCTCTCTCCAGTTCCATCGAGTCCATTTTCGCGCCGACGGCGTCTTTGCCGCGAACTTCGTGGATGGACTTGATCCGCCCCGTGTAGAATAGGACACGTTCCGTCGCCGTCGTTTTGCCAGAGTCAATATGTGCCTGTCGACGTCAACCAACTTGTACCTAAGCAAACCGAGACCCGTGACTGACCGCAATACCAATGTTCCGCACTCTTGATAACCGGTGCGCTTCCTCGGGCGAAAGGTTGTGAATAATGGTTTCTTGAGAGAGGGCGTCGGGGTCATCCTGGGCTTCTTCCAGCCTGTCACGTATTAGACGAGGGACAGGGGAAAGCAGTGAGAAGTGCTTACATTGCAGCTGCGGCGCCGGCGGCACCTCGCCGTTGCTGCCACCGTCGATCCAGCGGCCATTGTTTCGACTGCGACCGCAGGCTCGCGGACAAGGTCGGGAGAACTGCAGTGGAAGCGCAGCGTCGGCCAAGCCAGTGTCGCGCGAGACTCGAGTTGTGCGAGCGTGCCAAATTGCCGAGAAGCCTCGAGGACCCTCCGATAGCACGCGAGGCACTCATCTTGACAGGTGGTTGATGGTGAGGCCACGAATGCTGGAATGCAGATCCTCGAACATTCAATGCTCGGATCGGTCGACGGGGAACTTTTTTTCTTGAAGCTCAACCCTGCGTCGCCAAGACAGACCCCGGTCGTCCACATCAGCCAATCATGTTGGTCTTTATTGAGCGAGTATCACAAGGCTGAGAACAGTGTTCGTTTCGACGCCCACAAGATAGGAAGAACATAACAATTGCTGTTGCGGTAAAGTTACGCTAGATTTCCTCTCATAACATGTTCCAAACCCTGTTCATTCTTCAACCTGGCCTTCTGGGAAATACACAACATCACCAAACTGTCCGGGGTAGGAAAAATGAATTTGCGAAAAATCATGTCCAAAGTCTTGGGGGCCACCAACCGCTGCAGGATGCCAATCACCTGCAAACAACGGTTCAAACAATGCATCGATGCTCTGTGAATCAAGGCGACTTTCTTGAACTTGTGAAGTGGGCAGAGCGTATCCAACATCGACATGTGAACCCTGAAGATTTTGGGGCAAGATATGTAGAGCCGCGGCCACGCCAGCAGCAATATCGCTCGGAGATGCTTGCTGTATGTTTCTCTCGATTGTCTCTAGAGACGTACTGGCCAGCAGAGATGGCGCTTCGACGACATTCATCGATGGATCTGGACTTTGGGCACTGCTGCGGATCCGTAATACCTCCGAGATGGGAACTGGACGGCATAAGCGAGGCATGGATCTGTGAGCGATGTGTTGGAGATATCTCTGGCCTGCCTCCTGTTGAATTTCTTGAAGTAGTCGCTCTTGGCCGTCAGGGGTCAAAGGTGTCAGAAGACCTGTTCGCTCCTGAACAGCTGGTATCAGTTGGCCTAAAGCTCGCTCTGAGAACAGAAGAAATTGGCGGAGATGCTCTGCCGCAGGTCCTTCGTAATCTGTTGGGATAATGAGCGGTGGTCATAAAGCTGCTTTCATTGTCACTTACAGGGACTGACCGGACGTTCCTTAGCAGCACCGGGGAAGAAAGTGTCATAAATCTTGTGCCAGTATGCAATCCTGTCCGTGCGCGGGGAGTTTTTGCGATCGAGCCCGAGCTCCTCGGCCAAGTCCTTACTGATCTTCTCCACAAAGAGCGGTGGTTCAAGGACTGGGCACATCGGGGTTTCGCGCAAATGGGCTGCGACCATGGCCTGCGAAGAGAAATCGCGCCTACAGCATCGACAGCAGTAATATCGAGGGGCATAATGATTTCGTTGAAGGTGTTGCCTAGCAGGAGTTAGCCGAGTTCACGGATGCGACTTTAGAGACCTTACTTTAGACGTGCAACATTCATGAAGCTGGAAGTAGCACAGCAATGATATGCCTCGTCTGCCGATTCTGGCCCAAACAACACGTTGTCAAACTTGTTGAAGGGGCACGCAAGTGGTCGGATATCATGCTCGTCGGGACATGTTGCATCTATTCGCTTGCGTTTGGCGTCTCTCTCACCGTCTTCATCGTCCAATTCGTCTTCGGAAGTATCTCGCCTTTTCTTTCCACTCACTCGACTATTGCGAGATGATGACTTGTGTCCAAGGACATCTTTCGTGTGGTTCGGCCCGTCCCTGGGCTGCTGACCAGACTCGGAAGGTGCTGTCACCAACTTCAGGAATGTCCAAAGCAAGGTATAGCACGACAGAGAAACGAACAGGTTCACGTCTCGCTCTCGGCCATCCTCAGTCCAGCCAGAGCTTGATGTTTCTGAGGTAGAAGAGTTGAGCGTCCTGCTAAGGCTTGGGGAGGCGGGACCCGCACACTGCAACTCAGACTGTGATTGAGGCGATGGGTGCCTCGCACGACCGATGACTGGGAAATGCAAGGCTCTCGGTGCCATCGTAGTGATGTTGATATGTCGCGAGTCGGTCGTGGCAGACACAAAAACATTGCTGAACTCAGGTGTGAAAGGATCCGATTCTTCCGCAAGTCCGACTGAGATTACTTGAACAGGGGTTTGTCTCCCCTGAACCTGGGATGCGTTGCCGGGATTATCGGTTGATTTATCTTCAGGGGAGGCTTGATCATGGGCTCCAGATCGTGTATTATTGACTTTACGGTCGGCCAAGTAGACGGAGGGTCTAGCGAGACTTCCCGCCGCATTGGCAGCGGCCTTTCTGCATTTCTCAAGTGCCCCCTCTTCCTTTCCATGGCGTGAATAGGCTTCGGCTCCCGCAAATAACTGCTTACATCCACGGCAACGAACATATTCATGCTTTTCCAAAAGATGGATTCTGAGCGAAAAATTGTGCTTGAAATGCCTACCGCAGTGTTCACAAGGATAGTAGTTGCTGGGTTGAGGCTCTTCATTTTCCGGTAAGTCAACCAGAGGCCAACTTGTGTCTTGGTCATCGCTTTCTTGCCCTGGCCCTTCTGATACTGGTCGCAGAAATCCCCCTACCACCCTGTCATGCTCAGATCTTCTTCTGGGGAAGCGGTCAAGGGCGAATATAGTTCGAGTGTCAGCCATGACATTTGTAGTGGGCGGAAGTTCCTAGTCTGCAGAGGGCTTGCAGCGCAGGCGTGAAGGTGTTAGTCCCGTATACTACTCCTTTGACACGGTGTACCGCTGAGGTCCTTAACCAAAAACAAAAAGCCTCTGGGTGTTGACGTCGATACAAGAATCAGGGCGCCATTTTGGAGAGGAGTATGTCACTCAGGATGTCCCCGCAAGTGTCGCCTGGGAGGACTCAGATCGACATACGCAGGAGCAAGAAGAGTGAGGTGAGGTGAGATGTCGACGTTGAGTCTCGCACTAGGGCCGGGGGGGGTGTGCCTCTTATAATAAAGTGGTGGAGGGTGTGTGTTGTGCTCGAGTTCACAGCTGTGAATTGATTGATACATGTACTCGGCGTCGCTACGAACAGACATGAGGCCCAACCACGGAGAAACTTTGATCCGAGACTGCGGACTCCGCTTGTTCGTCTGGCAGAGACTCGTTTCAATCTGGAATGGCTTGCCACGACCAACTCTTCTCCTTTTCGTGTCCATGCACATGTTCCGCGTCTCTCACTCAGGTGTGTAAACATTGCGTCTCCTATCGGCGATCAAACCAGTAACATAAACCACTAACATACGCATGGTGTTGGTTCATTGGCCAATACTGCAGGCAGCCTGACAGCCTGATGCCTCGATATGGCCGACTCCTCGGCGAAATCGGCTCTATCGCTCATAGTCGCCGTTACAGCGGGCGATACAAATGGCTATATAACTGAAGTGACTGTCGTCTTCGAAAATGAAGAGGGCAAGCAGAGTCTAACAGAGATTTGTTTTAGACTTATTCACGAACCAGGATCTCTTCATCATGTCCCTCTACCAACGCGCTCAGAACATCGACGCTGTCGCACAATCCTCCCTGCTCCCACAAGCCAATACGGCTCTCTCCCAAGCTCTTTCTTATGCTCTTGAAAACTCCGCCGCAAACAGCCTTCCGCCCATAACCATCTCCCCTTTACAAGGCCAATACCTGGCGATCCAAGCACAGCTGATCAACGCGAAGAACATCCTAGAAGTCGGCACGCTGGGAGGTTATTCGACACTCTGGTTCTTGAGTGCCGGCGCCCACGTCACTTCTCTCGAGATAAACCCTCATCATCGTGACGTGGCGATCGAAAACCTAAGGCATGCGGGCTACGAAGAGGAGAAGGATTTTGAAATCATCCTCGGACCCGCGTTGGACAGCCTCCCCAAACTTCTTGTACAACAACAGAACGGCAAAAGGGCCAAGTTCGACTTGATCTTCATTGACGCCGACTGGGCCGAGCAATACGATTATTTCCAATGCGCCGTGCAGCTCGCGTGCCCAAATGCCTGCATTTACATCGACAACGTCGTTCGTGAGATACTCGAGGGAACCGATAGTGAAGATCTGGAAGCTGGGCGGAAGGAGAGTGTGCCGGTCAAGGTAGGGAAAGACGACAGAGTAAAGGCCACACTGGTGAGTGTGGTCAGTAGCCACAAGGGACGCGAAAGCGAGACGTTTGATGGCTTTCTCTTGGCCGTTGTGAAGGGGTAGGAGATCGAGCACCCGGCTTGTTAGAGGCGCCTTTCCGCTGAAGACAAGCTTTAGGAGAGTTGGTGACGCACCTGGCCAAGTCGACATGCTTCAAAGTTCAACGGCATTGTCTAATTCAAACCCTGCCCATCCCATCTCTACCTCTTTGGCTCCAAATTGCTCAGAAGTATTCTCACTCTACCACACGATCACACCTCCTTAACAAAGCCCACCTCGACAACCTTTTCCACCGGCACATTCAAGGCCTGGACTTTTGTTCGCGTATTCTCACGAAGCCACAAAAATATTTCCAATATGCCTCTGCGCATGATATACTTTGGAGAAAGTTTCCCCTCCTTCTTCACGCGCATTTGTTCTTTGCCCACGATGTAGACCACCTGGCTTTCGTACGCTCGTTGCAGTTCGGAGAGTCTATGAGTGAGCTCGAGATTTTCCAAGGAAGGGCGTCCGGACCCTGGTGTGGATGAAGCGATTTCGGCATAAGAGACGACAGGATCTCTTTCTTTTGCACCTTCAATGATCAAATCTGCATGTGGTGCTGAGATGATGTCCACATATTCGCGGATGAGAGAATTTCGGATATGCTCGTACAGCATGCCTCCCAAATCATCCGACACGATTTCATCATTGTATCCATGCCGAATGATGACGCGATATGTATCAGGCATGATTCGCTTGCTGTTTCCATCTTCTTCCCCGATATAGCACCGCGACACCGCGTATCTCTCGTTGGGCGGCACAGTGGGAATCTGCAAGGGTCGCAAGTGGAACAAGACAATGACATCGTTCGCAGCATGGAATTTCTGCAAAAAGTGGATGAACACTGTCGGTGTACTGGAGGGTAGACCTGACTTGTCAAAGAAAATCCCCATGCCTTCAATACGCCTGACCTCTTGACCGCCAAACGCGGGCGAAAGCTTCAGCTTTCGAGTATAGATATTGCTGCTATCCGTGACAGGAGTCGCAATGGCCTGGATTAGATGACTTGGTGGGAAGCGATCTGATGCTTCGGCGCGCCATTGCTGTTCCTTGCCGTAGCGCCAGAGGAGGAAGGTGGAAGAAAGAGCAACTGCCAGGACCAGCGTGAACCACGCGCCTTCGGGTACCTTTGTCACGGCCGAGGAGAGGAATGTGCCATCAAAGAGAGCGAAGATGAGCCAAACGGGCAGCACAATAACAGCTGGGACACGCCAGACAATCAAGGCTACTACAGCGACCATGCAGGTTGTCAACATGGTCACCAAGATCTGCGGAGCGAAGATGATCAGTTCGATCGCGCTTGGAAGATGATAAATGACAATCCAGAGTCGCTCACGTACCACGCATACACCATAGGCATGGCCCAATTTCGTGGTATTGGTATAGACTCCGGTCACGACGACGGCACCAATCATAAGAAGCCAGTTCGCAATGGGAATGTAGACTTGGCCGTAGAAGATCTTCGATGTATGCACGATCTTTATTTGTGGAAAGTAGCTTAGTTTCATGATTTGGGTGAGTAGCTGAAAGACTGCTGTGATGATTGCTTGACTCGCAACGACAGCTGCCAAAATCGCGACGATCAGCGACGGCCAGAAACATCCCGGTGGAACTGTATTGTAGAACGGATTCGACCATGCAGAAGGGTCGTCAGAAATATATGCTGCTTGGCCAATGTAACCGAGCAATAGGCAAGGGAAGGCGAACGTAAGCCAGGAGAGCTGGATGGCGCGTTGAGTAAATGCCCCCAAGTCGGCGAAGAGAGCTTCACAGCCAGTAAATGCTAGAAGAATACCTCCCAGGCTTTTCCAACCATCCGCCTTATTCCGGACCAAGTAGGCTCCAGCGAAGTAAGGTGAAAACGCTTTGAGCACCGACGAGTCGTGTCGAGCGAGATTGTATATGCCGAATGTAGCGTTGAGGAGGAGCCAGACAATGATAATAGGGGCAAACGTGTTGGCCAATTTCGTCACACCAAATGGTTGAACCAAAAAAAGGACGATAAGAATAGCGCATGACGATCCGATGACTATACTCTGTGATATAGTAGGGTGGACCACCTCTATACCTTGAATAGCACCGAGCACCGATTGTGCAGGTGTAAGGACACCGTCAGACATGACGAGAGCGACGCCAAACACTCCAAAGACTTTTAGTAGCCATTGCATCGTCTGTGACCGTTCCATAAGACCTCGAGCCTTTTGCGCTGGTCTTCCTAGATCACTAGCAGTATAGCGTTCTATTTTGACCAACTGCTCTTCGCGAGGATCACGTCTGACAATATTTGCGTATCTCGACAGGAGGGAGAAGAGGGCGAATGTTCCTCCCTCGCCTTCGTCGTCCGCAGAAAGAACAATCAGGCAGTATTTGATGCTCACCATGATAGTGAGAGACCAGATGATCAAAGACAGAGCTCCAAGAAGGTCATCATAAGAAGGGTCGTGCGTAAAAGTTGACGAGTAGACATAGAGAGGACTTGTGCCGATATCGCCGTAGATGACCCCGGTGGACTGGTATGCCAGCCATACCAGCTTGATGCCTGTGAAGGTCTGTCTCTGATCAGTGTCGTTGTGCAGCTGCGGAGACAGGCAGCCTGCCATTTACCTGTTTCCTCTTGAGGTCCCGGTCCTGGATTTTGAAGGACTCTGTATCTTCCTCACTTCTCACATGTCTTCTCGAATTCTGAGCACGAATGCTTCCAACCCCCGCCACTTCTCTGCTTCTTAAAGTGTAGAAGTGTGATGCCACAGGTTGGATAGCATCACCGGGTTGAGTGCTAGGGCGGGCCATTCGGTCAAGGCTTTGTCAAGTCGCACAGCCTCAGTGGGAGATCTCGAGACTTGTCAGTTTCGCCTAGACCTCAGTCACATCAACAGACTCTCAAAGGACGCTGGAAGAAGGACAGGAGCCGAGGGAAGAAAATGCCCAGCTTGTGGGATGCCGGCATGAAATACATCTTGTGTGCGGGAGCAACATAGGCGCGTGATAAGCCCGTTTCTGCTGGAGCGTCAAGACGTGCGTGGACAGCGCATGACTCTTGGGAGGCAGAAGTGACAGGGAGACATGTGGGATGGTATGCTGCATGGATCTGCATCGCCACAATGCCATGATCCCGCATACCCCACCGCCCAGACGAAACCAAGCGCATTACTGCAGAGGCAGACAGAGGGTGAGAGAGTCGGAGCCTGCGCCTGATCTGGTAACGGGAGGGAATACAAATGACAAAGGAAATTTGTCAGAAGCTTTAGAGCGCAGGGAAGGAACTCCTGGAAATAGGAAGGAGCTGCTCTCTGCCCACAACCACTGCTCGCTCGGTCAGCATCTCAGGTGCTTTTCTTCCACGAATCAATGGAGAGACGACGCATGAAATGACGAGCAGTAGCAACTGCTGCATTCCATCTTCGAGGCATGAACAACGACAACCGAGCGAGAAGAGTACATGGGATGCATGATGCACCCAAAAATGCCTCATGCAAGAAAAAAGACGATGCGATGAGGTTCGAGATACGCAGTTTACGAGGCGGGGAGGCCATGAGGTGGAGGCAACAAGGTAGAGAAGCCGCACGCTTGAGGCCCTCTAATGTCGGCACATGGTGCATGGACCAGTAGAAGATGGTCTCACCCGTTCAGCTGCTGTTCCGTCCATCCGGCATGTGAAGTTGTGGCATGGGGTTTCCTGTCGGTCTTGTTGGACCAGTTCAAGTTGTCACTTCCACAAACAAACCCATCAGTAGCCAGGGTGGGTGGAATAGGGCTCGTAGAAGGAGCATGTCTTGCGCTCTTCGGGTACTTCTCCCCGGGACTTGTCGAGATTGATATGATATATGGCATATTCGAATCAGGCCTCTCCAGTATTCCCTTTGTAACCACTCGGGCCACCAAAGAGGACGATTGAAACGTAAAAATAGATCGCCGCAGCCGTGGGTTCCCTCTATTACTCTATTCTCTTCTTGCCCTCTTCCATATATCCCATATTTGCCGCGCTCGCGTTCCTCAGTCTTCTATCCTTGCCGCCTGCCGAGGCGATGATCGGTCCAACGATCTTGTCCTTGTGGGCTCGTGATAAAGCCTCTGAATACCCTTCGCTCGCGAATGATGGCGTGTTGAGCTTCGGCCAATTCACATACAGCAGTCCATGTGCATAGATGAACTGGAACGCCCACCCTGCCACAACCAGACACAGAATAACAAAGATACGCAGCGGCCAGATTGCTGCATCTGAAGGTCGGCGAGTAAGAAGCGACACGAGAACGATAAACAATGACGCTGCCAACACATAGGGCACAGCTTGAATGATGAGTGGTCTTCGGTCGGCAAACATCAAAGAAGATCCGACACCATAGGTGGATGGCAGATAGGTTCCCAAGAAGAGGTCGAAGCTGTCCTGTCGAGGGCCATCAAGAAAGTTGTTGCGGATATAGCGCGTGGCCGAGTTGTTGAAATCCTGCACTGCCCCAGCCCTCGTGCGTTTTCCGGTGCGAGTAAAGTCCGTCTTCAGTGCACCGGTCCCCGAGTATGAATTCGACACCACGTCGGCGTTGTCAGCCCATACATTGCGGAATAGGAACTCGAAGGCTCTGTCGTCTTGTGCCCTCTCGCCGGGTTGGAGGATGCCGGCATCTTGGAACTGCTGGGTCAAGGCCCATCTGCCCAACATGCTCTGAACCACATTTGTACGATCTAGGCAGTCCATACAATTGGTGCGCACAACTGCGGTCTGCCGACATCGAACTTCGAGTGCTCCAGATGGATCTCCGGGCATTTCAACGCCCCGGAAATACTGTCCTTTCCTCAAACCATCTAGCAACTCGTCCAGCAAGAGTTCAGCACGGTGCCATTTGTACCCTTTGGTCTCGCTGTGGAAATCAAAGTAGATATAGTGCAGTTTGTCCATCCTCTGACGACTGCTCTGCGGCTCAATATCTCGGAACTTTTCGTCTGTTCGCAGATCGGCTTCGACGGACTCATCTGGAGAGCTGACGAGGATGCGGACCATTTGTTCATAAGCCTTCTTCACCCGTTCCTCCCTGCCGCGCTGATTGACCAGGTTGACCAGGTAGTTCTCGCCATATATTCTGATCTGCTCGTCAAAGTGCTTCCGCGCGGCATCGACTGCAGACTCGACCCCTCGAATTTGCAGCTTCGGTGTGTAGCGGAGATCATTGATTTCAGCCCAGAAGACAGGGACACTGCCTATTCATGACCATGTTAATATTGGAAACGACTGAAAAGAATGGCTTTGCTTACCGCGCGTCTGGACGTATGACATGACTTGGGTTTCCGCGGTCTGCCCTCCGGCAATTCCGTTCTGAATACGTTGTCCGCCGGAGTAGCCCACGGGGCCCGAGGCATCGTTGAGCAAAGCAATCTGTTCCGTCTCGTTGAAGTTTGCTACATGCCCATCCTCATCAACGCCCCGAGAGAAGTATCTTGTCCCACCGCGAAATCTAGATCTTCTAGTGATAAGGGCGAAAGTGAATGGAGTGTTCTTGACCTTGGCCGGTGTGATACGCAACATGCCATGCATGACCGGGAGAATATATGGATCGGCCCCAGGTTGTTGTTGTCCTCGCAACCCTCCCAGTCTGAAGTCGATGAGGTCTGTCTGAACGAATCTGTTCCAAAAGAAGCGATCATCTGCTCTCTTCCACATCGGCTGCGAGAGATCCGACTCGGACTGGCGCTGGAAGCTGGACGTGATATCGATCGAGTAGGAAAAGTACATGGGACTCGAGCTAAGTAACGCCTTGAGGTAGGAGAGGTAGGTATCTTCGTCGGGGTCTCGGACGGGTCGTTCCCGCAAAGGGAGAAATTCTGTAGCGACCACCTTATAGACCATATGGCCACGCAGTCTGCCCATGGGTTGTGCTTTGGTGATGATAATGATATATTTGTCCAGCTTCAGTTTGATGATGCCCAAAATTCCAGCGACACTCGTCACTCGTTTTGCCCCCAGGAGAGATCCATCGTTCAGTCGAATGTCCCCCGACGGCCTCTCCACCACCAGGGTGGGCGCAGAGGAGTTGGAAGGGGAAGTGAACGCATAGTGGCTGGTGGAAGCGTGGACATTGATGTCTCGAAAGGGCAGCAAGTTAGCCATTGCGAAAAGGCTCGAGGGAGGTCGCGAAAAGGCCTTGTGGGATCCTTGTTATCGTATCATGATTCGAGTGTAGGATAAGAGCTGAGAGATCGAGAAATCGAGAAATCGTGAAAGAGGGAGAGGCTGCGTAACCGTTGCCCGCTGTTTGTGGCGGTGATTTGGCTGCCTTCCGTCATCTTCTTGGCCCAGAATCTCTCAGGATCTCCTCAACTGTCCCGAACTTTCGCACTGCAAGGTAACAACACCACCGGCCAGACAATCATCAAACGTACCAAATTCTTCTTTAATCCTTACCCTAGTCCGAGGCCGACCTTTTGAGGCCTGTTGTACACGCGACCGCCAGGCAAATATCAACCACAACCCGATCATGGCCGCTCGAGCTCCCGCAGGCCGACCAGGCGCAGGCGGCAGATTCGCCCAATTCAAGCTCGTCCTTCTCGGTATGTTGAGGACCACTCTGCACTCGCGAGCGACTAATTAATGCCATACAGGTGAATCGGCAGTAGGAAAGGTACTTTGCCAACCAACTCCGGCGTTTCCCTTGCGAACCATTTCCATCCTAACAGATCCTCCTTTCCGCAGAGCTCGTTAGTCCTCCGGTTCGTCAAAGACCAGTTCGACGACTACCGCGAATCCACCATCGGCGCCGCATTCCTCACGCAGACGATATCTTTAGACGAGAACACGACGGTCAAATTCGAGATATGGGATACCGCCGGCCAAGAGCGATACAAATCCCTGGCGCCGATGTATTACAGGAATGCAAACTGCGCCGTGGTCGTTTACGATATTACCCAGGCTGTACATGCCCCCTACTGTCCTCGAAGCGATTGAACACCTACTAATCGTGCTTGCCAGTCATCTCTAGATAAGGCCAAGTCATGGGTCAAGGAACTCCAGAGACAGGCCAACGAAAACATCATCATCGCCCTTGCTGGGAACAAACTCGACATCGTTGACGAGTACCCCGATAAGCGAGCCATTCAGACGGCCGACGCCGAAGCATATGCCAAAGAGGCCGGCCTGCTCTTTTTTGAAACATCCGCAAAGACGTCCACAAACGTCAAGGAGTTATTCACCGCCATCGCAAAGAAACTGCCCCTTGACCAAGCGGGGCCCAGGAATCTGAGGGCGACTCCCCGACCAGGTGTGGATTTGAGGCCGGAATCGACTGGGACGCAGGGCGCTGGGAATTGCCAGTGTTGATTGCCCAAGCAGCCGCCAGGTGGCCGTTCTCTTGAGATTATTTTGTGTCCGTCTTCCAAAGGTTTTAATCTAGCAGGCGCAAGACAGGAAAGTATCGCGTGGGGACCCAATTTAGGGCACGGATGCTGGATGGAGAGGAATCTGGATTTTGCAAATGCTAGCCTAGTCGAGACCGACCATCTCACAGCACATTCGACACAGGGGGTTTTTGCTACCGACAGGTCAGATTCCAACAGGACTAAATCGATGAGGCTGTGTGGATAAAGGCGTCCCGTGAGAAACCCTTTCCCCCCAAATCGAAGACCATCCACCGACATCCATCATCGCGATATACTTTGCCAGGCAGTGCCCACAGGCGTTTCCGGGAACAGGTTGTCGGTGACCAGGGGGTGTGTGTGGCGTTTTGTTTTATGAAGCACAGTGCTCTAATGGCCTAGAGATACAGTTTTGTTTCGAGACCCTTTGTCCCAGCTCCCGCGCAACTTCATCCTTTTCCATCACTTTTTCGCGTGCGTGTCCCCTGTCGTGCCCATGGATATAGCCTTTCTCATCCTCCAACCTTTTACACAGATCCGCCGCTCCTGTTCCCAGCCTTGTCCCCGACCAGGCCGGCCATCTCCAACAGGGCCCTCGCGCCGTCCTTGTCCCCTCCAAAGTTGACCCCCCTGCGGCGCGCGGCTTCGGCCTCCTCCCACGCGAGCCGTTTCCTCTGCTTGGCCACCTCGTCGTCTTCCCCCGCGTTGTCCGAGAGCGAGCCCGTGCGGGCCAGCGGGAACGAGATCCCCCACACCTCGAGCGTGTCGAGGTCAAACTCGGCCCTCTTGGGCTGCGTGGTTTCGGGATGGTGTTTCTGCGCCGTCTCCAGGCCCGGGTCCGTCATGAACGCCCCGGCCCCGCCGTCCCCGTCGTGCTGGAACGTGCACGTCGACATGTCGCTGTCGATCAGGACGCTGACCGGTCCCAGGATCGGCGGCAGGGGCGGGCCCGTCCGAGACTGCTGTGGCGGGATGACGCAGCCTAGCGCGATGCCCGTTTTCGCGTTGAAATATGAAAAGGGGATGCTGCGGTTGTACTGATTCGCGAGGAAGACGCAGTGCCGCGGCAGGAGCTGGAAGAGGCAGGACGCCTTGGACGGGCTGTCGCTAGAGGTGGAAGAGGATGACGGGGGTGCTGGCTTCTCGCGCCACGGTTCGGGGAGGTATGCCCCGATGATGATGGGGTTGTTTGTGTCGGGAAGCGTGCCGGATATCAGGACCAGCGTCGAAGACTGCCACGAGTGGACTTGGCGGGAGAAGGAGGACAAGGACGTGCCGTGGGACGAGGTCGAGTAGAGCTGGTTGAAGCGGGCGTTGGAGGCGAAGATGTTCTTGAGGGAGGAGCTCGACGAGACAGACGTGGATACTTGGAGGGACATGGACAACTGGGCGAGGAGGGTGTCGGTGAAGATGGTGCTGAAGGTGGTGTCTTCGGGGGACTTGTAGATGGGTGATGATGGTATAGCCTCGACCGTGTCACCGGCGGCTGGCGCGGGGTCACGGTGTTTGTTAAGGTTGAAGTTCTTGCTGAACAGGAAATGCTCGAACAGGGCATTGAGAGGCTCGAATAGATCGGGTAAGGTCGTGGTGACGGTCTTGACGAAGTTGGAGTACCGGATTCCTCTGCTCTGAGGCTCTGGGTCGAAGGCCGCCACGATGGCATCCGCTGACGTGTTTAGGGCCTGCAGACGCTCTGCGTCCAGGCGTTCGCCGTAGGTGGCCAGTGTGGTCAAGGGTGTGACGCCGGCGACGAGCAGCAAGAGAGTGATGAGTTTCTTGAGGTTCTCCACAGGGATCATCGCGTGGTTGATTTTGCGGTTGGTCTTCTGGTCATGCTTGAACACTTCGATGGCGTCGAGCGAGTCGAGCGCAGCCAGCGCAAGGTCGTCGTCGTCTTCCTCCTCGTCGTCATTCACAGGCTCGTCAATGGCAAACCCGGCCACGTGGGAGCTCACACCCCGCTCGACTTCGCGCTCCCTCAACATGTCCTCGGGAAGCTGCTCTATCACAATCTCGTCCATGTCCGGCCTCTCCTTCGGCGAGGTCACGCTGTGGCGCCGGTCGAAAACGGCCAGGCTGCGAAACAACAGTTTGATCTTGTCCTGGTCGCCTCGTCTCAGGACCTTCTTGTACCTACCCGTCATGATAGTGATGACCTTTAGCATGGCCTCTCTGGTCAATATGCACGGCGCTAGACTGGGGAATGGAAACGCCCCAAGATATGTACACATGTGATACAACACGGGACCAGCCTTGAGAGGCTCCGGCAGGGCGAGGAAGCCGCATAACGTGTCTTCTTTCCAGTACTCGACGTCTTCCTGGTGATCTGCCAAGGTCTTGAAGTTGTCCTTGTAGTGCGCTATCTCCAGATGGGTGTAGCATTTGGAGGCAAAGCGGAGGGCCAACTCATGGCTCAATTGCTCTGGACGAAGTGAGTCTACATCTGACAGAACCCGAGAAAAAGGGTTGTTGTCGCTGGTTAGATTGGTTTCACTCACCGACTGGGATCTCTCTCGGCGGCGGCGAGGAATGCGATTGTCCCATTATTGTGACTTGCTATTGTCTCGATCTATATCGTCATTGGGAGAAGCGATATAGGAACCCTCGATAGAGTCATCACTGAGCGTCTTGAGATAATGGGTGTGTCAGGCCGTATCTGCCCAGGCAGCCAGGCACCACCAGGACCGCCGCCAGGTTGCATGGCCTATTATTACGTTTCTTGACAAACAAAGTCCCTTCATCAAGGAACCATAATGCTCCGCCATACACAGGCTTACGGGGCTCCAGGACGGACATGGACGCAAAATGCTTGTTTCGGCTCCCGCCAGAATATTTCTTCTTCGGGTCGGTCGCAGGAACCGCTGACGCTCGTCACGCCTGTTCTAGGATGAGGAGATGGATCCTCAAATCTTCCACGCCTCTCCGTCTCATTGTTCGCAACTCTGCGGCCAAGTCCTCCGCCATGGCACGGACGTACGCTGTGAGTTGTCACGAGCAGCAATGCATTTCACGCACAGAACTGACCACTCGACAGGATGCCGTGACCTCGCTGAATACCCTTCAGTCGAATTTTGCGATTGTCGACGCCGTCCGCAAGTCCGGAGGCAGGCTGAATGAGCTGTCGATCCCGGAAATGGTGGAATGGTGCCGCAAGATTGGATACGAAGTACGCGACGACCAAGCTTGCCAGAACTGCCCAACCAACTAACCCTCGTTTGCCTTAGCCCTCAGACTTCAAAGCGTTACAGGTCATACACATCGCCGGAACCAAGGGCAAAGGGTCGACGGCCGCCTTCACCTCGTCCATCCTCACTCAGTTCGTCGGAGGGAAAGAACCCAAGTCGTTGTCAAAAGTAGGCTTGTACACATCTCCGCATCTTCGGTTTGTTCGGGAACGCATACAGATCAATGGGGAGCCGCTGTCAGAGAGCCAATTCGCGCAATATTTCTTCGAGGTCTGGGACAGGCTGGAGAATGTCGCAAAAGAAGCAGGACAGGACCCTCACTCTCCGGAATCGAAACCCGTCTATTTCAGATACCTCACCTTGATGGCTTTCCATGCCTATATGCGGGAAAAGGTTGATGTTGCGGTGATCGAGTGTGGCATTGGTGGCACTTATGACAGCACAAACGTCTTCGAAGCTCCGGCCGTCACTTGCGTCACGAGCCTCGGGATAGATCATGTCGGCATGCTTGGTTCTACAATCGGCGAGATTGCCTGGCACAAAGCTGGAATCATGAAGAGCGGCGTCAAGTGTTTCACCCCGAGCACTCAGCCTGCGGAAGCGCAAGCGGTCATGGAGCAGGTCGCAAGCCAGAAAGGAAGCATTCTTAAGTACGTGGATGTCGATCCGGCCATCGCCAGCGGCGACATCAAGCTCGGTCTCCAAGCAGACTTTCAAAAGATGAACGCTAGTCTTGCTGTGGCTCTAGCAGAAACGTGGCTGGACCAGCAAGGGCTCGCGGATGACCCCGACTACAAGCAAAAGTTGACGCGGGGGTTGGAAAACGTTCGATGGCCAGGCAGATGTGAGACACGGTTTGAGACCGGAATCAAATGGTGCATTGATGGTGGCCACACCCTGGAAAGCATTGAGCTGGCAGGCAAGTGGTTCGCTTCTCAACTTATGCCTCACCAAAGCGCTTCAGCTCCTCTTCCTCCTCAGCCTCGGTTCTTGATTTTCAATCAACAGACACGCGACGCCGCTTCCCTTGCGATGGCACTATTCAACACACTGGCCAAGGCGCTCAATGAACCTCATCCGTTCACCCACGCTATCTTTTGCACCAACACGACATTCAAGGACAGCGGTTTCAAGCCCGACCTCATTTCGGTCAATGTCAATGCGTCAGACGTCGATTCATTGAAGGTTCAGAACAACCTCGCCGAGACATGGAGAGGGGTTGATTCCTCGGCTCGGGTTGAAGTTGTGAGGACAATCGAAGAGGCCGTCGGTATCGTCCGCGCCTTTGCAAAGGCCTACCGGCAGAATGCAAGCGAAGCAGATGGCGAGAAACAGGTGGCGGCCTTGGTCACAGGAAGTCTGCACCTCGTCGGGGGATTTCTGGAGGTTCTGGAAAGCACACCAAGCTCGGATTAACGGGGATGGACCAAGACTCATCAACTGATGCTAGGATCTAACGACTTTCGCGGGAGAAAAATGCCATCATGGCCTTCACCGCCAGCTGATTTACAAGATAGAAATGATACCCATGTAGACATGTATATGTATGAATATATAACACATTGTGACTAACAGGCAATCATGCAAGAAACAAACGCAGAACAGAAAAATGGGGGAGGACGTCGCTCTTTTCTCGTCGAACTCCAAATATTAAGCCGGAGCGCAGGTGACCCCCTTTTTTCTGTACATTGCTCTAGAGGGGCCGCGGTTCCCGAGGTCGTGAACTTGATCGTTTCTCATCGTTACTTTTGGGGCTGTCGTTGCCATTTTTAGTGCTTCCAGTTTCTCCCCACCGTCGGGCTCACGGGGCTGATCGTCCCGAACAGACTCCTCCTGCGGTCCTCGTCCTGCGGCAGCGACCCTCCTCCTTCGCCTGCTGCGCGCGTGGGACTCGGCAGCGTCCCGATCCCGCTGCTCGCGCTCTCGTTGCCGTGTCGGTACTGTGTCCAGTGCGCGTCATCCTTGTCGTTGTCGACGGGCAGTTCGTGGGCGATGCTCTCGCGGCGCGAGCCTGGCACTTCTTCCTCCTCCTCCTCGATGATGATGGGCTGCACGGAACTGCTCTCGCTGCTACGCTCGCGGTCGAAGGGGAACCGCGTCGCGTTCGTGTTGCGCGGCGTCCGGCCAGTGCCGCCCCGCCAGTTGTTCTGGGTCGCGGGGAACGGCCAGGCCAGCGTCTCGGCCGTGCACGTCGACGAGTAGTTCGACGAGCTCGAGTTTTCTTGGCTGGGGCTGGAGATCTCGGGTGTGCTGCCGCCTGGTGGGGGGAAGCGCACGCTGCGGAGAGGTGATGCGGTGGCCCCGGCTGTGGCGGTGTTGCCGTTGCCGTGGTTGTTGCTGCTGGTTGCGGGAGTCGTGCCGTTGAGGCTGTTGCTTAGTGGGGACGGTCGGTAAACTTCGTCGGACGATGTCGACTGTGACTGTGAGTTGGAGTTGGAGTGCGTGTGCCCGAAATTGGCATTGTACGCATAGTCGACGATCCCCGAGTGACGCGGGTGGCTGAGATTGTTGTACGGCGTGGCCAGCTCGTAAGGTGGCTTGGGCCGTTCGGTGTTGTTGGCCATTTCATGCCGCACGGGTTGTAGTGGCGGAGTCGGCTCTTCAGACAATGAGGAATACCCGACTTGCTGCACCTCTGGTGGTGTGCTTTGCGAGGACTGTCGGATCTGGTGTGGTGGCCGTTTCGGACTCACTCCGGCGCATGAAGCGCCGTTCAACCATCGCGTGATCCGGCTGTTGCTCGAGTGCGACGACTTTTCTGAAGAACCACTATTGATGATCCGACGGCGCCGGACCAGGAGGAAGATGAGGATGAGGAGAAGGATGAACAAGACGGCGGCGGCGACACTGACGCCGATGATGGTGCCTTTGCTGACACCCGAGTGCTCGCTGTCTGACGAGCCCGTCGACGAGCCATTGACAGGGTATGGGTAGTAGTGCGTCACCTGTCTCGAGTACGATTTGGCAAAGACGCCAGCCAGGGCACCGTCTGACCAAGCTGCGGTTTTTGTCGAGCCTCCTTGAGCGTCACCGCCTATGGCTTTGGTGACGACCGCGGGCACCTCGTAATCCGACCAGGTCTCGGGGTCGTAGGCGTCCTGAAACTCGAGTTTGTTGAGATTGAAGATCTGGATGATGCCCCCCTCCACGCAGTTCGCCTGGTTTTGATGGACCCCGCCGACGACGAACATCTGATCGGGATACGGAGTGACGCACTGGTGTCCGGAGCGGCCGTGAGCCTTGGTCCCGCTGTACGCCTTGATCCACTGAAATGACGGGATCGACAGGATCCAGACGTCGTCCGAGGGTTCGTCGGCGGCGTTGAGTCCGTCGTATCCCCCGTAGATGTAGACGTTGAACGACGACGAGTCCTTGGCCGTGGCGACGACGGCGCAGAATTGGGTGAGCTGGCCCGGGGCTTGACCGGTGGTGTTCTGCAGGTACCACGTGCTGGAGGCGATGTCGTAGACGGGCAGCGTGGTCATGAACCCGGGACTCTGTGCCTCGCTCTCGGCAGTCTGTGAGTCGTTCAATCCCGACGCCCAGATCTCCTCGGGCGCGGAGACGCCGCCGATGGCGACCAGCACGCCCTTGTCCGAGACGGGTAGCCACACCAGTTCGGCGTTGGCACGCGGCTGGATCTCGGCCGGGAGTGTCGTGTTTGTCCACTTCTCGCTCCTCATGACCGACATGTCCACCTCGATCAGCGTGTCCGCCGTCACGTTGGCCGACGAGTCTTCGTAGTAGATCGGGCCCCATGTCGGCGACCGCATGCCGCTGAAGTAGTAGCCCAGGTTCTCACTGGGCACGGACACGCCCGCACCGTTGGTGATGTACCTCGTCACGCCGTCCGGCAGGTTTCCTTGGTAGAAGCCGGGACTCCAGCTTGCTCGGTCCGGACCGTATTGGTAGGCTTCGTATCCCAGGACGGTTTCGGCGCTCTGTGGCGAAGCGGAATCGGTGAGACGAGGGAGACCACTGTCATCAAGGGGGCACACCATGTCAGCCATCATAACACACAAAGCAATGAAACAAGGGGGAGGGGAGGCGTACCCGTAGAGATACAATTCGCCATCATTGGTGAACATGGTCCCGTCAACATAGTTTGGGGCAATGTTGTTTCCTGCACCGCCGGCTTTGGCCATGCGATCGAACAAGCCCGACACGTTCGTTTTGGTAGTGTCAAACGGCGTCGAGAAGTTCAGAACAAACATATCCCCTTCGACGTTGCCATCGCTGCTCACGACGGGGGCGGTGCCATCTGCAAAGGCTGTTTGCCACCAGAGCAAACCACCGTCCAGGTACAGCGCATCACGAATGACTCCAGCTCTCAGACGAGCCCAGTTGCATATCGTGTAGTTCTCCTGGACCGATATCCCGTGCGCAACTCCAAGCAATAAACCCCCGAGCACCGCAGACTTGGGACAGTGTTTCATAACGAGTTATGTTGCGGGATTGCCCGTGTCATTTCTGGTCATCAGTTCGTTGACACTGAATGCGAGCCTCTCAAACAAAACATTGAATAATCTTTACCTTGTGTGTGGAATTTCCAAAGCGTTGATTTTCGCTCGAGGGAAAATCTATGTGCACGCTCCTAGTGAGACATACCTCGTATTGATACTTTGAGATCATCGTCAGAAGCAGAATTTGCCACCAGAGGGACAATCACTACATCAGTCGATGAAGCAGCATTTTTCCACCTGGCACCGGTATTCGCGATGCTCGATCCCTACTGCATTTCAGGGTCTTTATCGCCATCATGGACTGGTTGCGGAGTGGTCGTCTGTGACCTTGTCTGCTAGGATCGATGCGTCATAGTCACCTAGGCGAATGGTCCCAATGTCTGGCTGGGTTCTCGGCTGGACTGCGCCTTTGATATCAGGACCCTGGCGGCGGGTAGGAGAGACAAGAGGGCGAGGATCAGGGACAATCGTGCCTGGAACCGGGCATGGCTACCCGCTACCGTTGGGCTTCCCTGGAAAGGATGAGAAAGCACGCGCTGTGAGTTGTCAATGGTACCCTTGGGTAGAGACAAACGTTCGAACTAGATCAACCCGTGCCGTGCGCTTATGCTGTCTGGCAAACGACAAACCGGTTTTGCAGACACATCAGAGCCGAAGAGGGAATAGCGGGAAGGAAGTGGGGCCGGTGGGACCAGCGGGAAACCTGGGCAAAGGCTTGGGACGAGGCTCCACCGCCGGCGGAAACTTTCTCCAGCTTTTTCAACATCCTCTTTCTCACTCTGTCACTCTGTCACTCTCAATTCTCCCATTCTTCCTTGGATCGCCCATCCCCATTGACTCTGCCCACTTTTCGAGGGACTAGACAACATGGGGCAAAGTCCCCGAACGCGAGCTTCCTTCACAAAAGGGCTGATCCGACCGTTGATTGGCACGTCACTGTCCGCTTCTGGCAGGGCAATGGCAGATGTAAAGCCAGGAACGTCACCAAACGTGCATTACCCGGCCCATCATCCAGCTCCCCAGCCCCCAATGGCAGGATTGTCAAGGAAAAGCCCGATGCCATGTGGCGTGTTCAAGTCCACCATCCCAGGGTTGTTGTTATCAATTGTCCCCGAGGACTTGCTCCAATGATGACGGCAAGTCTTTTCTCGAAGCGATTCGCACTCTTGCCCTTGTGCATGTTACCTTTTGACCGCTGAGTTGTGGCAGCTCTTGGAAACTTTCATTATTCTTCTACCTGTCGTTCGCTTCGAACCCGCGCTCTCATTTCCAAAAAAAATCCATTCGCTTTTTCAGCTCCGTGCTGTGTGGTTGGCTGCGTCATGAATGTGCTGTGAGGAGGAGGAAATAGTTGTCGTTCTCGTTGTCGTCGTCTTCTAAAAGCTTTGAAAAAAGAAACACCGTCAAAGATGCATCCATCACTCGGCCGCCTGGCCAGTCTGTCATTCGCCATCAGCACTGTTTTCGCTCAGTTGACGAGCGCCGCCGTCGACACTCCGCCGGCTTCCACTCTTACGCCGTTAGAGCCTTGGGAATACACATGTCCGCCGCCGTCGACGGTTTTCGTTAGTGTGACTCAAACTGAATATGTGCCGCTCACTACCACCACCACGGCGTCCTACCACGACACAACCACCCTCCCAATCACCATATTCCAGACCATCATCTCAACCACGATATTGACCACGGTTGGTGCTCTTTTGACGGTGGAGTGGTTGGAGGCGCTGACTGTTTGCAGACCGAGGTCGTGACAGAAACCACCGTCTCGATTACCCCGACCACGGCGACATTGATTGAAACATCGACAACGCTCTCGATCAGTCCGACTACTGACACGCTGACGGAAACGTCTGTCACGGTGTCGGTCAGCCCAACCACAGACACACTGACGGAAACATCCACCACTGTCGCCATCAGCCCTACGACTGCCACTGAGACACTTACCGAGACGTCCATCACAGTGTCGATTAGCCCTACGACTGCGACTGACACCCTCACCGAAACGTCCGTCACCGTCTCCATCAGCCCTACCACCGCCACTGCCACGCTGACGGAAACGTCGATCACCGTCTCAACAACCCCAACCACCGAGACAGCCACCGAAATCATCTCGCTGTACGAGGTCACTTCCCAGGCGACGAGCATCACAGTGTGTCCGACTCGAGTCGCCAATCCAACCTATACCGCTCTCGGACCGTACCCCACCGACTGGACGTAAGTTTGCCCCTTTGTGGTCACTCACCAGGTCACTGTCGTCCAGTCCCAGCCTGGAGCTTGCTGGTCTCTCCTTGTCCTGTGTCTTTCTGTCCTTGATGGGCTCGTTGCTGATACATAACGTGAATTTAGATGGGGATGTCCTCCCGGCTGGCTCTGCAAACCTCTGCAGCAGAACTGCAACTTCGAGGCCGGAATCCCGGACCGAAACTTCTACTGCAGCCCGAACGAGTGCGTCCCGGCCAACGCGTTGCCGTCGCCGCTGCCGACATGGGACCTGGACATCTACGGGAACGTCACTCCGGCCACGGACCCGGCACTCCACATCAACGCCATCCAGGACTACTTCAACATGAACCCGACCGACTTTGGGCTGACGTACGAGATCTTTGTCGTCAACGAGGTCTTGACCCTCACCACGACGATCCTGCTTCCGCCGAGCCCCACCGTCGCCGCGCGGCAGGCACAGACGAGCGTCCCGGGCGCTTGCTACCCCTGGTGCAACAACTGTCTGCTCGAGGCCCAGGCGAACGGGAAGACGTCGGCGCTCTGCGTCCCCGGCTCCGCGTTCGACGTGTCGCTGGTGCAGTGCGAGCAGTGCATCGACTACCACAAGTCGGACGACAGCGCCAGTTTCGTGCAGATCGCGCCCCAGTTCCAGCAGTTCCTCGACTACTGCGACCAGTTCTCCACCGTGGTCGTCTCGACCTCGGTCGTGGCCACCACGACCAACCCCGCCGGGTCGAGCTTCAGCACGCTGACCGGGACGCTGTCGACGACCGTGGTTCCCACGAGTTCATCGCCGCCGCCGCCGCCGTCATCGTCGTCGGAGACCACACAACCCACCTCGGTCGCGACGGTGGTGCCCTCCACCGCGAACTCGACTCCGCCAACTTCGACGGCCGCCCCCACCACGTCGGCTCCCGCGACGTCGGCATCCCAGTCCTACACCACGACAGCCACGGTCCTGACCACGTCTTATTCGCACGTGACGGTGTCCGGCCCCGCGTGGTCGCAGGTGACCATCATCTTGCCCGTGAGCGACAACAGCACCACGACGCTTTTCGGGACCGACCTGACGAGCGGTGGAGCCACTCTCGTCCTGCCCACCTCGCCAACGACGTCCACTTACACCACGACGCTGACGGTCGCGCCCGGCGAGTCGGTCTCGGCCGGCTCCGTGGTCGCCGCCTCAACCTCCTCGGGCGCGTCAGGCCCGTCGGGGACGACGACCGGATCCCCCTCGGCCTTCTCCGGCGCCGCGGCCGCATCGAGACTCTCGCCGCCGGATCTGCAGCTCCGGTCGCCGGCGCTGGGACTGGTCGTCTGCCTGGCATTCACGCTCGTGCTGCTGTGAGACAAGACGCCCAGGATTGGGGACGTTGGGCTCGGTCGTTCGTTGCTCGAAAAAACCTCCAACGCCACAAAGAAGCCAAAGGGAAACCAGCTACCTCTAAGTTGTTTTTCGGGGTGGTTCCTGTTCCTTTCTTCTGTCCCGAATCCAGATGCATCCATGCTCAGCAGACACGGATCAAACTCCCCACCTTACTATGGAACTCCCCGCCCCTGCACTTTTTCTCTTCACGATGGTCGCGAGCAACACTTTCACGGCAAAAGAGGGAGGGTGGAGCAAGGAGTCGCACTGCAATTTTTTGTACATGAAAACGTTTTTTACGAATGGAATGGAACGGAATGGACCTCGTTTTAGTAGTAACCCGTTAATAATGATGATGATGTTGATGACGTTGAATCATGACGTTGAGGAAGAGAAGAGGTGGGAACGAAGTGAGATACCTAGGTATGTAGGTAGTAAAGGAGGTGGTAGTAAATAGATACCAATTAACTCAAGTACCAAGTACCAAGTACCAAGCTGCAAAGGAGGGTAATAGTAGTCTTCTATATGTGTAATACGTGCCGAACACGTATGTCGATCAAGTGGGTTCATGGAAAGGTTTCTATACTAGACATTAAGGACCATTTCCATCCCTCTACGCGAATGTGGTCTTGATGATCTCAATCGCCCTCTCGGTGGCTTCGAGCATGTGCCAATGTCCCACGCTCTCGACGACCGTCTGCTTCGCATTCGAGCCGAGATTCTTGGTGGTCGTCTCGCCAGCCGCGACGGTGGACACCTTGTCTTCCTTGCCCGACACCACCGCAACTGGCATCTTGATGCGATCCCAAGGAGCAGGCTGGCTCTTGGCCAATGCCTCACAAGCGAGAGCGTACCCTTCGGGATCTTGCCTCGTCAACATCTCGCGGGCCAGGGCCACTTCGCCCTTCCTGGACTTGTACGACTCGGGAGCAAAAGCGTTGCCGACGACGGTATCAGCGATGCCCACAATGCCATTCTCCCTAACAGCTTTGGCACGACCTCCGAGTGCTTGCTGGCCAGCTTCGGGAGGTGGATTGACGGGGCCGAACAACACCAGGCCTTTGACCTGCTCAGGGACTTTGGCGGCAAGATGTAGAGCAATCAAGCCGCCTAACGAATGTCCAACGACATTGACGTCCTTCAATTTCAACTCATCCATCACAGCTGAGACGGAAGAGTCAGTCAGTGTTTTGGCGCCGTACACAACAAAGTTTCATACGTACCAAGACAATCTCCCACGTAAGAGTCGATGCTAGTAGTCGTTGGCGTAGAACTGCGGCCATGGCCAGACCAGTCAAAGCGTACAATGTTGTAGTCTTGAAGCTCGGGGACAAGAGGTTGAAAAGCGTTCGTTGTGCCACCTAAGCCATGGATGAACAAGATCGAAGGACCGCTGGGGTTTCCCTCGGTCTCATAGAACAACTTGCTGTCGTTTGACGAGACGTAGCCGTGGGCGGACAGTTTGGATGCCATTGTGGTGGTGGTTCCTGGTCGATGAGAGTGAAGCAAGAAGTGTTTGTCAGTGCATCTTCCGGCTGACTTCATGGATCAAACGGCTTTTGAATGCTTGAACGAGCCTATGGTCCACGGATGGATACTGTCTGCATGCGGATAGATGCCGCACTTGGCCGCATTAAGTCATACTCACTCGCTCCACTGTGATGATCCATCCCTCGCTTCTCCGCGATTCTCCGCCGAGTTGGAACAGGTGTAGACCTCGATGACGAGAACCATGGAGAAGACAACGAATCCTTTCGGCTGACAATGTAATTATGCTTCCACATGTGTAGGTTGTCCGTATTGCCTTGCTGGCATACTGTTAGCAGCTGATCGACTATACGTACGAGGTAAATAGGTACCGAGTACCTCGTACATTCGAGGGAAATCAACCCCGCATGTCCCCGCTTGCTCCCAGTAACAACGAGGCTGAAGCCCCTAAACTCAACAGCGGGCATGACTAGATCAGTCACATTAGCCTAACCTTTGGGAGCAGCTCGGAGCTATTTCGACTCAGTAGCAGGAACCAGAATCGGGGTTGTGAGGCTACATCTCCCAATTCCCTACTTTGTTGATAAGTCCATGTCACCACAGGTCCGTGTGGCTAGCACACCGCTGTCTTCGTTCCGAGCATGGGAGGGCCCTTGTAAGACTAGCAAGCCAACGGCTCGAGAAGAAGCAGCGTGCGCGAGAAACACGACGGAGATATGGACGCGCCCGCTTCAATTGTAGAAGGAAGAAGAAATAGTTGGATGGAGTCACGCTGGCATGCGATAAGTGCACCCGATCTCGAGAGACGTGGATACATCGCCACTCAGACCCGTACTCACGCAGAAGCCGTCATTGCTGACCTGGTGTCACCAATAGAGGTTCTTCGGTAGCACATGCAGCCTCTCGAGATCAGTGACCGTGGCTGACACGGAGACGTGATGCAGCCCTGACCGTCCCAGCTAGAGCTTCCGGCACGATGCACAACTTCGAGCGGATCTGCCACCGATGTTGACGCAATGCAGTACCAATGTGGACGTACTTGGTTGAGTCGATTGCAGCATATCCTCGGGGATGTGGCCGGCAGCTCGACGCACAGTCATAGCTGATAGTCCCAACACGGTGGATTTTGCATTCGGGGCAACGGTAGGTCTTCAATCACTTCAGTCAACCAGCGGCTCCTACGCCAACACCCATATGGACGCACAGAGTTAATCTGCGTGACTATTCCCCTCAACGAGCATGTCATATGGCAACAGGCGAGGAGTGCTGGTGTTGTGATGGTCCAAGAAGAGACACAAGAAGATGGTGGAGGCACGCCAGTCGTAGCGTCAGGAATTCGCTAAAGGAGCAAGTGCGGCACCCGACAGCTACGGCGGACCAGACAAAGCAGCAAGCAGTTTCCGCACTGCGTCTTCAATCAAATCTTCCATCATCCTTGCATGAACACCCGAGCTCATTGCCTCACACCGACACCATCCATTGTGCAGTACAACCCTTCAGGATGCTCGCCCAACTATCTGCCCGCCTCCGTCTGCTTCGGCCTGTCCTTGCCGGTCTTCCTCTTTTCAGATCTTCCGCGTCCAACATCACATCGAGAACATATTTCACTGCCCTCTCGCGAAGCTTAGAATCCCCTCTGCGAGGCTCACAAGTCCAGCTACCCTTAAGCACACAAATCCAGGTGCGGGGGATGAAGACGCGCTCGTCGGTGAAGAGGTTATGTGATGGCTGCAAGGTAACGCTGTCCCCTGTTCAGCTCGAGAACTGGTCATGCCCATTCGCACCCATTGGACCTCTGTCTCCGGCACCCGAGATGGCGGCCCTGTGAGCTCCGCTGACATTTCCCGCTACGTTTGACAGGCCGTCCGCCGCAAGAACCGCGTCTTCATTATCTGCGACAAGAATCCCAAGCACAAACAACGACAGGGCAAATGAATATGGTCAGACACGCGTACAGTCCTGTTGAGGAGTCGTCGAAGCGACACCATCGGGGACATGAGTCCCGACAGGCCAGCGAGCCTTTTTTATCCTTTTCGAAGTCGATCAGACCGAGCAGGCTCCCTTCGCTCAGGATGATCTGTGGCTGCTGCAGCGGGAAGAAAAAGAGGAGCTAAAGGTCCATGGACATCACAATCTACTACAATCCCCCCTCAAACGCAAGCCACGCTGGAATTACTCTGTCCAGGCGCACTTTGACGCAACAAGAGCAGGCTCTGTTCAGGTTCGAGGAAAATGCATGACCTGGAATGGCCGTCATCGTGTGGCTTCAGTGCACTGCCATGTCTATAAGAGAAGCATAAATCTCAAGAGGGCCAGCACTCGGAAGAATGTGTTCGAGCGGCAAAATAACAATTCTATGATGGTGCAAGGGCACCAATTCAATAGGCGGAATCGCCTTGTATTAGGAAGAGCGCCGAAATTGACGGTGTTGTGGAAAAGGAATGGGCCTGTCGTATATGCTGTACCGAGTATAGGAGAACAAATTCTACTTAGGCAGGACTGATCATCGGCTTATCCGAGCAGCCGGGAAACAAACCGTTGAGTTCTTCGACTGTCAAATCATGTTTACCCTACGCGTCGTTTGGAGCCGTCAGCTCTTTGTACTTAAGGTACGGTATATAGGAGAAACGTCCGTAACATCGTGTATCATTGCCGCACGTTGCACGTCGCACGTCGCACTACAGCACCGATGAACGCTTATTCTCGAAAACAGCATCTCTTCTAGCCTTTCTGCCCTCTTGCCTCGGTTATCCGCACCTCGCCCTCGCCCTCGCCCTCGTGCTGTCTGTCGTGCACCGGCCAGTCTACAGAAGCACAATGCCGATGCCGCCCCTCTTGCTCTCGTCGGGCATATTCTTCGCGTTGATGCCGCCGTTGATGGGCTTGGTGCGCCAGTTGTACAGGTAGTGGTGCAGCTGGCCGTCGCCGGCGCCGAACTTCAACTGTTCCAGGAACAGGGGGTTGTCGTGCAGCGTGAGGGCGTTGAAGACGTCGAATTTCGCCTGACCACGCGTTAGTATTGAATGTACTACTGGGGAAAAGAGGGTGGTTTTGTGAAAGCAAAGCAGAGAGCGTGAGGGAACAAGAAAACGTACCTTCTTTCCCTCAATCAGCAGGTCCTGGCCCAGCTGCAACAGTCTCTCCTTCAACCCTTTCTCCTTGGGATTGAACGCCTGGTCGGTCGCGTAGTAGTAGAGATAGGCAGCTCGGATTTTGTCGTGCTTCTTGCTCATCTCACCAATCACGCTGCTTTCCAGGCAGTAGAAGCTCCCAAAGTCGGTGATCTTGCCGTCCTTGCCTTCAACCACAAACGACCACACGACCTGATTCTCCGGCTTCTCTCGATTGAGGAACCAATGGACTATCTCGGCCCTCGTGAACAACTGGGCGAGCTCGAACCGTTCGAGGTACCGCGACAGCAAGTCGTGGACGGCGTCGACGTCTTTCTCCTCCATCTTCCGCCACCCTGGCGTGTTGGTGGTGGGGGGTAATTGGTTTCGAGCAATCATCTTCGCTTGTGTCATGTTGGGCGGCAGAGGCGAGAAACCGACTTCGTACAGCTTCAACCAGTCGAGGCTTCTGTGGAAGTACCTGCAGCTCCCTACTGGTGTAGGTAAGACGACGCCGCCGGTGTAGATTGCCTGGTAAACGCCCTCCAAGTGACAGCGGCGCGTGACTTCTTTGATGAGCACTGGCGCCAGTCTTCTCGATCTCAGCTTCTTGTGGACACACATGAAGTTGATTTCCACCACGTCGAGGACATTTTGCCGTATGCGCAACTTGATCGGGATGCCAAAGATGGTCGCGACTAGAAGTCGGCTGGGACCCTTTGCTCGGACGCCAACGTGCCAACTCTTCTTCCAGCCAGGCGACTTCAGAGCCCAATCTAGAAAGACGGCGGAATAGTTGAAGCGAAACATGGCATGGTCGTCCTCGACGTAGTGTAACGAAAGAAGCTTGTAGACCTCTTTGATTTCCTCGTCGTTGGTCAAGTCGAGTTCCACCCACTCGTAACCTTCGGGCAGAGGTGCGGCCGTCTTGGGCACCAGTTCCGGGATAACCTCTTTGATCGGGCCATCTGGTTTATCCTCCTCTGCCTTTTCGTCGAAGCGCGGCACCGGCTGGGTTGCCCAGAATTTGTAAGACGCCATGTCCTTTTGATTTTTCCCCGTCAACGCAAGTCCACTCAGAAGTTGTGAGACGTCCATCTTTTTGAGCAGTTCGTTTGCTTTCTCTGGTGAAAGTCCCGCAAGCTCGCCTTTCAGGGCAGGGTTCATGTCAAGGAGAGTCTTTAGCGAGTCGCCGGTCAAGCTGGACGCAGGTTTGGAGGGGTCTGTAGGTTCTTCGGGGGACTTTTTGCCGGTGATGGCAGAGACGAGTTTGGTTTTCTTGGACTTCTTCTTTTTCTTCTTCGCCTTTCCAGAGGACGTTTCCGTCGCATCGTGAGTGCCTTCTGTGGCTTCGTCCTGGTGCTGTTCTTCCGCGTCGGACTCTGATTCCAGTTGCTCCTCGAGCGGAGCGCCCACCGGGTGAGATTCGGCCATCGAAGCGGTGGTCAAGAGAGGGATCGTGGGAGACGGGATCGAAGTGTAGCACAGGTTAGGGGGTTGGATGACAGGAGATAAAACAGAGACAATCTCAAAACTCTGAGATGTCACGACAAGTCACCAGAACTACAGAAGTGCAAGCAAAGGCACACGAACATCCTTCGAACCAACTCCGCAGGTCGCCAACTTTTGAGTTGCCCGATGCAGCTTGGCGCTCAGCCTTGTAAGGTCGGCCGCAGCACCGAGTAACACCATGGAGGGGCAGCACATTACGCGAGGCCAGCTGGCACCTACAAGAGCAGAGGGGTTCTTCGAGATGGGACTTAGTAGCACCCTAACCAGCAATGGACAGACTCGTACTCGTAGACTCTTGTTTCAGTTTTGGGCATTGGTGCCGTGTTCGAGAGCCAGTAATGGCCGCATGCCTCGGGCATCAAACATTAGGTACATACCTGCTCGTATGGAGGCGTCAGGTACCGGGAACTTTGCCAACAAGAGTCCAGGCTGTTGATAGGCGAGCCACGCTGTTCTCCTCCAAGTGCTTTGGTTCACCGCCCAGCCGCCCCTCAAATCATCCCGCCTGCCCCGCCCACAGCTTGCGTGCCTAGCCTTTCCCCAAGGCCTCTTCCCCAGATTCTTTCTTAGCCTTATCAAACGTTCTCGTCTCGCCGTCTCTTGCTCGTTTCACGAGTTCGCAAAAAATCTCCAAGCCAAACATCATAGCAGAGTCGTTGATTTCGCCATCAACCGCACCTCAGTCGTTGTCTATGGATTCAGACATGGCAGACGCCGCACCACAATATGCCCAGCCTCGACCATGCATTTCCGGCTCCGAGCACATCCTCGAGCCGCCCTCTTCCTTGACGACGCCTCACCGTTCGATCTTTGGGTCGGGGTTCCGGACACGACGTCAGATTCTGACGGACCAGAAAGCCGCGGCCGACAGAGAATTCGACGACTGGTGTCGGCAGGAGGAAGCCGCGGGGCCCCGACCGTCCCAACCGGACCCTTACGACCCGTTCTTCATCCCAGACTCGATCCTGCTGTACGGGCCCGTCTCTCCACAGAGGAAGAGCAGACTCCTCCAGCTCCCGCACGAGCTTCTCACCGACATCTTCAAGAGGGTCAAGATCCCTCACTTCCAGGTCTCGCTCGCCCTGACGTGCAAGACCATGGCGCGCGTGGCCGCCCAGCGGGGCATCTTCTCCCCCTGGCGCGGCTACCGCGACAAGGACGGCCTCTTCCGTCTCCTCGAGCGGAGGAACAACTTCATCCCCCCGCACCTGAAGCTGTGTCGCGCCTGTTTCCGCTTCCTGCCCTGGAGCGGCGGCGACTACTGGGACAGGCAGATGTCGTCGGGCGTCTTTGACCGGTCCAACCTGAACTGGTACGACATCCTCATGTGGTTTTATAATCGCGTCGCCTTTCAGTATCGATGTCCCTGGTGTTGCGTGTTCCAGTACACGAGCTACGCCAGTCAGGGGCTCTATGAACGACGCAGGGCGAATGGGCCACTCGGCCTCCTCGACACCCGCGAACGCGTTTGTCCCGACTTGAACAGGCGGATGGATAAACCGTGACCTTCGAACTCGCCTCCGCATCTAACAACGCTGTATGTGCGAAACACCGATATACAGTGCGACACAAAACGCTAGAGCAAAAAAGAATTTGCTCGAGCTCGACACTCGTGTATAGAGCTCGAATACAAGGTCGACCGCGGACCCACTGAAACGCACCAAGACACCCAAGACTCAGACGACGGTAGCGGCGACAGCAACAACCAGAAATACTCTCACCAATCCTTCGCCCCGTTTGTTGCCGGAATGGTTTGGCTCCTTCTTCTTCCGCACCGACCACGCAACCACGTCAAAAGTACACGCCGCAACACCACTTCCCAGCTTCCAAAATCTATCAGAGACTCTGGGGGCCGAACGAAGCATGACGCAGGACGAGAGAATGTGCTCCCCAGAGACATATCATGCCAGAGACTGGCTTTGCTTTCTTGTAAAACCCATCAAATTGAACTCTGAGAAGCAATGGTAGTGGGAAGACACTGTCACTGTCCCTCTGTGTGCCCTGTCACCCCGTCACAGCTAAAAAAAAAAAAAAGCGAGGGCGAGGCCACAGGCACATCTGGCGAACGAATCTCGGAGCATAGTAATCTTTCAGAAATGATACGTACCTACCTCATCAGGCTAGCTAGGAAAGGGCCCGATGCGAGTGGATTTTATGAACGTGTTGGAGAGGCATACAAGTACATACAGACATAGTCGTACTCGACTGGAGGTTGCACAGGCCGTAATGAGAAATGTCTATAGCAAAGGTTTGACAAAAAGCAGAATTAAAACCGGTAGCTCGTTCTCATTGTGGGGTTCTCAGCGTTCTGAATGTTTCAATTCGTATTTTCGTCTAGATCGTGGATTCACGTAAGACGTACTGTGCAGAGCCAATTCTCCTATTCCGCATCCATTGACAGACACGGGATAGATACATGTATGTATATGCTCAGCTCAAATGACACGGATGCAGGACGTAGCCGGGCATATAAAAGCTCCCTATTCCCCTTCCCCATCTTCACCTACTCTCTTCCTCGAGCCCTTCTTACTCGCCTTTGATCGTGGCCTTGTGACATCTTGTGATGTTCCCTTGGTCTTTGACTTGGATCTCGACTTCGAGGCCGCAGGGCGCTTCGTCGAGGCTTCGTCACCCGCAAAGTCTCCGTCATCGTCGATATCTCCATCCATAACCAGGTTGGGCGAGGAGTCAGCAGTATTGTCGTTCGTGCCAGGCTGATGTTCGACTTCCTCGATACCTTGGATCTCGCCGAGTCCGTCAAGAACCTCAATCTCGTCCTCATTTTCGCTCTGTTCCTCGTCCTCATCCCCTTCGTCAGCCCGTCGTTTCCGCCGTTTCTCGGCCTCTCCCCTGAGCCTTTTATACGCATTTCTCATCCGGCCGGATTCCTTGCCCGTGCGATTTCTGGGCGCCATCGCTTCCGCTTGCGCTCGAGCCTGCCCAATACCCTCGCCGCCGACAGCAAGTGCCTTGCCATGTGTTCCTGGGTTTCCATTGATGCCCCGTCCGCCGACACCAACCGTTCCCGAGAAAAACCGGGTGATGTTGCTCTGCGTGCCCTCCACTTCTCGCCGATTCATATCCCGAATGACCGGGACTAGAACTTCGTCAGTCCTCTCCTGCGACCACCCGATCGTCGCCATCAGGAAGCCTCGTAATTTGTCTAAATCCGGCACCCCCCATTGAAACGGTTCCGGGTTTGAGTCGACCTCCGGATTGAGGTATGCGTCATCAACCCTTAAGTCTGGGAATCCTGTTGGCAGAAACAGTCGTTTCTGTACCGTCTTGCGGAATTTTCGGCGAAAAGGGGTAGTCAGTTGGTTTTCCAGATCCTGGGGTCTGCCAAGTTGGATCTTCTCACACCACGCCTTGAATTCTTCTAGATTCTCGAAATCGGTGAGAATCTCTAGCGCAGTCACAGGCCCAACTCCAGGGACTCCCTCGGTGTAATCACTGCCCAATAGATGCGCGAACCTGATCAATCTCCGCCTGTCCAGCAAGAATTCCTTTTCAAGATCTGAGGAGAGGTAGCACTCGACGTATTTCGCCGCGTTGAACATGTTCTTGTATATCCTGGTTCCTCCAAAGAGAAAGATATCTGAGTCGTCTGTGACAATTCCATCCACCAGGCCCAAGCGGACAAGTTCGGCACACTGCGCTTCAGCCTCCATTGGGGCGGTGATGTACGGCAGGCCAAACAATCTCAGCAGTGCTTGACATTCTTGGATCATTGTCTGGGTGACTTCGTCGGCATCTCGACGGTCGCGTTTCTGTTGGGACCGCAAGGCTTTGAGTTCGGCATCGAAATCGCGCATAGCTTGCTCAGTCGAGGGACCTTTGGCATGATTGAGGGCGGATGTGAACCGGGTGTGTTCTTCAGCCTCTTCGGCCAGTTGGCGCATCAATTCTTCCTCCGAGGCAGAGAGATAATCGAATTCCTCTTCTTCGACTTGTGCCACGTCTGGAATTTCCGTGATGCCCGATTCTGCAACAGGGTGTTGTTCGCTCAGTCCTGAAAGCCGCACTGGGAAATCATTTGTCGACATTTGCCCTTGATTTGATGCAACTGCGGGCTCCATTTCGACATCCTCAAATTCCTCACCTTCGTCTTCATCTTGGGCGGCAGTTGCGGTGTCGCGTTGACGCGGGGAAGGCTCCTCTTCGACAGTACCGAGCGATCCTGGACTCGCTGGTTGTACAGGCTGCTCATTGTCCGACTCACTCCATTCGACTGCCTCAAAATCACTTTCATCGACCGCGACATGTTCAGTACCAGGTACCTGAGGCAAATACTGAGGAACAGTAGACGGTTGAGGCGGTGATGCTTGTATCTCTTCAGCTATCTCGCCCATCGTTGGTGGTGGCTCCTCCTCGGGTTGGTTTTCGGCTGCAATTTGTCGTCCAAGCTCGTATCGCTTCTCGCGCTCTTTGTCTCTTCTCCGTCTTTCGAGATCTTCAACCTCTTGAACCACAGCAATTTCAGGTTCGCTGGGAGGGACAAGCTCGTGGACAGGTTCCTGAGATGGTTGGGTCAACAGAGGAGCTTGCTCCTGAACCGTTTCCTCTTCAAGATCAATTGGCAGTTGACTTCTGCCTTCGTCATCTTCAGCCTCCAGGTCGATCACTTCATTGGTGTCGTGGCGTCGTATGGTTTCCCATGGATCCGCATTTCCTTCTTTGTGCACATCATATGGATCTTCTGTAGCTGTAGTCTTCGATTTCATATCCTTGACGTTTGGAGTGGCATTGAACCATTCCGGCAATGGCTGAGGAGGCCTCTCCTTACGAAATGCATCTTCTCCGAGATCTCGATCGAATCCGCCTGATAGATCTTCCTCGATTTTCTTGGATTTCTTCTTCCCCAGCAGTGATTGTCCGAGGTTGAGGGACTCAAAGGGCAATGGGCCGTCGAATTTCGGCACGGCAGTGCTTGTGACCTTTGACGACGTCGGACTCCGGTCTCTCACATTCGTTTTGGGCTTGAGTTTAGATCGCCTTGACTCTGCGAGGGCAGCTTGTAGGTCGAATCCATCCTCCTCTGCAGACTCCTCGGCGGGTACTTCTGGTGCCGCTTCAGCCATCCATCCTCCGCCACCTCGCTCGTCATCAGTTGGCTCCTCCAAGGACATGGCTATGGCGCGTTGTAGATCCTCGTCATGCTCCTCTGGCTCAGGATATAGGGGCAAGACATCCTCAAACAAATCGTCCTCGTCTTCGGGTCCTGTTTTGTCCTCTGGGACAAATAGCGACTCCTCGGCCGTTTCCATGGGGGTGTCCCGAACGGTAGAATGGGAAGGTCGCGTAATCTTCGGAGCAGCTTGAGTAGCGTTTGAGGCGACCTTCCTTGCTTCATATACTGCTTTCCTCTTTCTTGCAATCTCTTCTGCCACCTCATCATAGGACATGTCATAATCAACGCCAGCTTTCCTCTTCCGAGCCCATGACTTTGGGAGCCGGTTCAGGCCTTCAATCGCGACATCTTCGAACTCATCCTGATCCGAGTCTGCAGAGAAAGCAATTTCAGACTTTCCCTCATCTTCCAGATCGATTGCATTCTCCTTCTCGGTACCCTGTCTGTTCGACACTACGCCCAGCGCCCATCCCCCCTCCACCCCTTCATTCTTCACCAGAATATATTCTTTCCCCTTCTCACCAGCAATCCTGCCACCGCCCTCTCTCAAAAAGTCTCCTTCAACCATACCGTTCAAGTGCATGAGCCGTTGCGTCAACTCGTTTCTCTCTTTGACTCTCTCGATCTGAAACTTCGAGAAAGCCATGCGGTCGGGAAACATGCCATCGAGCTGCTCTTTGGAGTAGCCCATCCTCAGCCTCGATCTCAACCTCGCGGCATTCAGGATGTTGTACCTGTCTCCTGCTGGGAGGGAGAGGAAGAAAGGGCTCTCAAAATCAATCTTGCTGAAATCGTAGAGGTTGATATCCTCGCCCGAATGAAATTGTCGCGCGTACTCTTCCAACTCGGCCTGAGACATGATCCGCGGGTCGTTCGGCGCACCCATCTCTTCAAGGCTCACATCCAAGTCGGGCAAATGGTACTGGTCTTTCTTCCTGAATTTTTCGCCTCGACCAGCCGAGCGTTCTTGCTTCGTCATGCCCAGCTCTTCAACGTACACCAAGTCTTGGTCCGCCGGTAACTCCTCTTCGGGTGTTTTCTCTCTGTCCGCTCTCCGCCTCTTTTCTTCTTCCTCGGCCGCCCGAGCAACCTGCACGGCGAGCAACTTTCCCGCCGTCCTCGCCGCATCCTCTCGTCTACCCTCCCGTCTTCTCTTTCTCTTCCGGATGGTCTCTCGCTTCAGGACCGGTGCCCCGCCATCAAACACAAACACGGGCTTGATGCCAAAGTAGAGCAGTTTGCATATGCGGCGGAAGAAGCCGACGACGTGGCTGTTGCGTAGGGCATTGCCCTCTTTGTCCCGCACCGCTTTGAGGAATTGGTAGATCCAGATGGAGGCATCGACGGCCAGGCGTTTGCGATTCAGCGAGGCGAGTTGGGTTGGACGGGCGGTGGGGGCAACCACGGTCCACAGCCCAGTAACACCCATGATTTAATGGTCGAGGTCAATGAGGAAAGGGTGATAAAACCGTGCGCCCGCGACTCCGCTCTTGACGCTCTGCCGTCCGGAGTCTGGAGAAGGACTCTATTGCCACCATTGCTGCAGCGTCGCGGCAGCAGGTGTGATGGAAAGTGGGAAATGCTGCTGAAAAACGATGATGTATTCTGCGGTGCGGTGCCTGAGTCACGCGATAATGACGCGAACTCACATGCCTAGCCCCTCACCGCGTTCTACAGGTCAAGGCAAAATGAACTAGCACTGGATTACAAGATAGCACTGATAATGAGGGGACTGTGTAGTGAATCCTTGATCACAATCATGTTGTACTAAATTCTGCCGCCCGTCAAGGCCCATTCTACCAAATTCCCACCCTTTGCAACGAAAGGGGCGCCTCCCAGCGGCATGTACCGAGTACTTGACGCCGTGCTAGACCATAAGGGGGCATCACAATCAGCCCCATGGAATAATGATCAAGTAAAATCCCCAACACAAAAGAAAAAAGAGTAATCGAGACCAGGCGACTTAGTTGCCTTCTTCCTTGGCATTCTCAGTCGAGCCTGACGGACCAACAAGAGTGGGAGCAATCCTTCTCCTCTTCGACTTGGTTTCCTCCTTTTCGCTTTCGCTTGTTGCGCCGTCCCTCTTACCCAAAACAGAACCACTAATAGAGCTTGTTGCAGAATGCTGACCACCATGAACACTTGCAGGAGTCTGAGGCGGCGTTGTCATCGGTGGAATAGCTATCGGAGGACCGGAATTGGAGGCGGTCACCAGGGGCACATGTCCCAAGGTAGGGGTGGCATTATTTGGGAGACCCGAAGTTTGGACCGACGTCATTGTAGCTATTGATGACTGCGAATTGGATCTCGTCGGACTCCCAGGACGGAGTACAAATGGGGCTGGTGAAGGATGTGATGGTGGTACAGGAACAGGAGATGCTTTTGTCAGCGAAGGTGAAGCCGCAGCGGTAGGTGTTGGAACAGGTGTTGAATTTGAAGAAGATGTTGGTAAAGGTATCGAGGTTGTAACAACCGGATGGCTATATGTTGGATGGGGCCCGGTGTAGACCTGGCCCAATTCACCCGGTGCGAACGCCAAAGTAGAGCAAAAGCCATCCGTAGAGGACATCAGTAGTGTAAGACCGTCATTTGACCTGCGTCACCTTGTCAATAGTATTCTTACGTCGAGAGCTTTCCAAGACGTACCAGGTCAAATCTGAGAAAGTGGCGTAGTGTAGATTGCTCACGACACAAATAGGGGTGGTTTGTTGGGTGTCGTAAACAAACACTGCGTCTTGCGTTGCCACGGCGTAGATCATTCGATACGGCAGGGAGAAGGCCGGAGTGGGTGCAGGGCTGGCAGGCTCACCATCGATCGATGGTTTCGGTGAAGGGGCAGACATCGAATCAGGACCAGGAGTAGAAGCCGACAAAGGTGGAGGCTCCATGATCGTTGATGAGCTCTGTGGGACTATAGGATCCGGCAGGAGAGGTATCTCTTCGCTCGCCGACGAGGTGTCGATTGTGATGTGATTTGTGGGTTTCGGGGTGGAGCGCAAGGTATACAGGATAGGAGAGCATTTGACCGCCACGGACGGCTTCTTGTGCCCAGGAAGGTGGGCTACTGGAGGCTTGTTGAAGCCAGCTCTTGTGTAGATGTAGACGGTATTTGTCACATCATCCGTGGTCTTCATTGGATCAGACGCCGTTGGAAAGCTGGTCCTATAGTGTCCAGCAGGTGTAAACAACAGGCTGCCGTCTGGTGAGAACGTAAGGCGACGGAAGAAAGAGGTCATGGTTTCGTTGTGGTAGATATTCGTGTTCTTTACGGCTAGACCCATGGCTGCACTGAGACTCGGAGACGAAATCTCTGGTCTCACGGCTGGGAGCGGTAGCGAAGGTGCCGGTGAAGCAGATCGTCGGAACGAAGGCGACGAGCCGAAAGATGACCGCCGGCTTGATGTTAGGAGAGGAGGGTCCATAGGTAGAGGGGTTGTCAGAGGGGTTCCAGGGTTGGAGGGCGCAGGAGACGCAATGGCAAGGTTGTTGGCACTGGAGTTCGAGGCACGGTGCGTCAACTCTGCTGGTGCCGGGCTGTTGGACGATATCCGTCGCCCGGGGAGATCCATCTTGTTGAACTTGCCGTGGGTGGACAGTGTGGGCGTGCCATCTTTGAGCTTGAGAGCATAGATGTGGACCGATCGGTCTGATGACTGAGTCGCAACGAACTCGTTGAGGGGATCCCAAGCCACGCCTTGCACGAAATGACTGTGTTCTGCGATTTGCCGGATCATGGTTCCTTGGGCAAAGTCAGCAGTGTCATGCTGTGAGAGACATCAACTTTCACACATACCGGTATGCGCATTGAAAATCCTCGCCGTGTTGTCGACCCCACCGGTAATGAAATATTGGCCGTCTGGCGACCATGCCAGATCGTAGATTTCCGCTCCGGTGGAAGTCCTGCACATATGTTTGATCCTCCATGTTTCCTTGTCATCGGCATGTTCATCGGTCAAGGTGGCCATGGAAGATTCGGAGGGCACCCATAGCAGGACGTTGCCGTCATCGCCGGCTGAAGCCAGCATTTCACCTGCTTTCCGTCAGCAAACAGTGTACAAGCCAGTATCAAAGTACAAACCCTTGGGACAGAACCGGACGACATTGACGGGTTGAGTGTGCCTGGTGAGGGTTGACAGGTATGTTACTTTTCTCTCCTCGCCTTGAGCTTCAATGCTCCATAACTATTTCTTCCGTATCAGCAGATTGTACCGAAGAGAGGAGCGAACAGGAGGGATTTTGTACCCGGACATTGTTATCACTGTTCTGGTCAGCAAAACTGTAGGATACGTCGTAACGGGAGAACTCACTTTCCAGCCGTAGCTAGCCTCCCTTTACCATGAGGATCGAAATGGACCGAATAGATCGGCTGGCTCTCATGGTGCCACTGAATGAGAAGCGGTCCGGCTTTCATGACGGCATTGGAGAGCGGCCTCGAAGGCCACTTGATGGAAGTTCAAAATGGCAGGTTGAAGTTGTGGTGAACTGAGCCGTGGAATATGTAGCCGGTTCTTGTTGGCGCTCGTGTACAGGTAAGATGCGGTGGGTAAACGGCAGGCGGCAGAGGAGCTTTCGTTTGCGTTCTTTGAGGCGGAGATCAACAACCGGACCCCAGCAGAAAGTGCTTGCTGAGTCAAATCGTGTAATGAAGTGGATGAGAGAATACTTTTCTCCTTCTCTAAGTATCGGGACAGAGGTTGAAACAAGGGCTATTGGTCGTCTGAGTAGCAACGGGCGCAGTTCAACTACTCCTAGTCGAGAGACAAAGAGATGGGCCGCATGCCTCGTCGTGGAGGGTTGCCAATGTGCTCCGCAGCCAGATTGGAATTGGGCGGCTTCAAAGGTGGAGAAGAGGTCCAGCCCTGATCTTCCAACACTACGAGTACCTCGAATTGTTGCTTCACAGCTGCTATAGGCTCGCATTCAGCTACCTCTTGTTGCCTTGCTGCGGGCTACTCCCTCCCACACGAAAAAAATCCTGGACCTTGAAAGTTTGACGCGCCCGTGTCTCTCTCATCACCCACGTCTGGATGCCTGGCGCGTCTGACCACATCAACCTGGCCATTCACCCATTCAACCCTGGGGCCAAACTCGAAGTGAGCGCCATCCTTTTCAACGTGAAACATTTCAATTCTGGTGGGATTGGTGAAATTCTATTGCATCCCCCCAATAGCATTAGGTCATCACTCGACATAGACTTCTTTGCTCCTAGAGCTCCAAATACCAGCTGCCTGACCTTCTCGGGGGCCATGCCCTCCGAGTTCCAGTAGTACATTCCCAGCAAGACCACCAAATCTCTGCTCCTTTCCTTCGACTCGACTGATATCGACCGAATTCCAAATTGTTGTACGAAAACCGATGCGCTTTTCCGAAGACGTAGCTTCCTGAAGCTGCCTGTGTCTCTTTGTGTCGGATTAACCCAGTTGCGCCAACCGACGCCGATTGAACTAGAATCAGTCGAGACGGTACGAGGCCATGACGGCAAGACCTCCCAGACCTTGCGGCCAACCAAGATCCGGGTCATAGACTTGGTACGTTGCCCACTGTCTGTGTAAGAACGTGACAAGACCGACGCTGCCGGAAATACAGGTCATGAGAAACGCAGGAATGACTGAAAATGTTTTCTTTATTTCGATGTCGTGACCCCTTAAAAGCTCTGAGCCGACACTTGTGCTGGCTGAAATGGTTATTAGCTTCCGCTGTAAGGGGTGAACAAAAGCCTGGAACACGCACCGGACTGTTGAGCATATTCTGGCGGGCATTTCTGCCCTTCTTGATATGACTCTTAAGCGCACTCGAATCCAGCGGCTTCAGCAATTCGAAGCTGCAAAGCAAATTGCTGGACACCGACATCACAGCACCCCAGTTGTCGAACTCACCGCAGTACTGGAGAAAGAGTCAGCAATAGTTTCTGCATAGGAACGCTGCACTTACATTGGGCGCAGAGAAGACCGTGACGAGCAAGCGGTCGTTGAAAAATTCATATCCATCTTCGACAACCATGTGGGCTCGGCAGACCAGGTCGAAGTCGTGGCGTGCCAGGAAGTCGACGATGACCTTTTTGCCAAAGCAATAACTGACACCCCGTTCATTCGACTCCCAATCCTGATCCATGTCCGCTGGGTCACTCCACAACAGATCATTCAGCAGCCCATAATCAGGAACGTCTGTCGGTCGTGCAATCTGTCGGATATCATCCATATGAGACAGAGACGGGGACAGGCCGCCATGGACACAGAAGATCTTGTCGGCCACAATCGCAGCAATGGGCAGACAGTTGAAGGTGTCAATGAACGTTTTCCAGATCTTGATGTTGCACCTTCGCTTGCATTCGTCGTAAAAACCATAAACTCGAGTGACGTTAGCACACTCGTGGTTACCTCGAAGGATGAAAAAGTTCTCTGGATATTTCAACTTGTAGCAAAACAAGAGTAGAATTGTCTCAAGGGACTGTTTTCCCCGGTCGACATAGTCGCCCAGGAAAAGATAGTTTGCGTTTGGGGGGAATCCGCACATTTCGAAAAGTCGGATCAGGTCATTGTACTGGCCGTGAATATCCCCCACAATTTTGACCGGTGCCGTGAGCTCCAGCAGTGCTGGCTGAGAGAGGAGCACCTCCCGTACGGCGGTGCAGATTGCCGTAATCTCGGCGTTCTTAAGGCATACAGCTTTCGTTACCTTGGTGGTGTAACCAGCATCCAGGAGACGAGAGATCATGTCGTCCAAATCCATGTCATTCACTTCGCTCATGCCCATACCACCTCCTGGAGAAGCACCTGGCAACTCTGCCAGCTTGGCCCGCAGTGAGGCCTTGGTCTCTGGAGCTCGCGGGTTGATCTGGTTCTCCCGCTTGACCAAGATCGAATCCCCCGCCTTTTGCGTAGATGAGTGGACATGAGCCTGATGAGGAGCTTCCTCAGACACTGCGCCTACCTCTCCAGTCCTCTGAGCACGATCCACCGACTTGTGACCCTTGCCTACAGATTTGGACTGGGTTGGTGACGGTGGTCTTGCAGGAGTGTTGGCACCTGGCGATGGAGCATCATCGTCGTCGTTGGGCGACGTAGGAGACTCTACCAGAGGGTTTGTTGTGATCTTCTCTCTCGGTGCTCGAGAAGAGCCCGAACGGCCACTGGCAATAGAACTGGCGTCAGCCTTGTCGTTGTTTGGGACTTCCGACCCCGCAAGGGTGGAGCCCGACGCCCTGGGGCTGTCGTTGGTCTTGTCATCTCCCGAGCTCTTTATTTTGCTTCGAATGGACGATCGGATGGATCGCGAGGAACTCTCCCTCGTGTCGGATTTGGATATGGAGGGATACTGTTGTAATGTATCCGGCAGATTAGAGGAGGAGCCGCTCTTCAGTGGCGTTCTAGTTCCATCGCTGCTCTTTGACTGTTGTTGGCCCATTGAATTCTCGGCCTGGCAAAGATATAGCTGATCGCGGGAGAAGAGGTCGGGGTTTGAGAAACGAGCGGGTCAAGGAGGTTTGAGGAGTGAGATAAGCAGCCGCTTTGAGGAATGCGTTTTGGCGACTTTACTCAAGGGCACTGTGAAAGGAGCACACTGGAAGTATGCTCAAACAAAATCCACCTTCAAGTTCTGGGGCGCGATGTCGCTCAGTCGGCCGGCTTCCTGCGTTGGAACTAAGAGGGACAGGTGACAAACAGCGACTGTTCATGGAGATGTGCTTTGTAGACTGGGTTTCCTTGGTCTCGCCTGTATGAAAGAGGTCGTCACAGGTCAGCAAAGTCATCCAGCAACGAGTCAGAGGTCGAGCAAGCTAAACAAGAGGGATTTCTTTTGTAAGGATGGAAATGTCGCATGAGGCGTGGATGGTGAAACACGTTGCGTCACCGTGCGGAAGGGCTGGGATGGGAACTGACCTGCTGAAAAGATGGCGGTTGGAGACGACCGAAGACAACAGAATCAAAGCACGTAGCACGTAGATCGTAGAGCCTAAGAGATGGTGGAGGTGGGAAGCTGAGGACAACGATCTGAGGGTTGATAAATAAATTGGGTGTTAGAATTCGTGGAGGGAGCAACATGAAGGCCCGAAAGTGCAGGCAGGGCACCGCAGGCCATTCGTACACGGTCTAGTTTCGCGGCGCCAGGCAGTTGCCTGCTCTGGTTGGTCACCTGTTCGGCCATATCGGCTTCGTGGCCCAGAACATTCGAACTCTTTAAGCCCACCCGCCTTAGTGATCACTACCTAAACCCCTAACTCCTAGTCACCACGCCCCAATCTGGCTCGTAGGGGAGCCCAGATGAGGTCACTTTGCGTACGATTATTTTGGGGTCTTTATATCAGTGATTACTGTGTTGCTTCGGGCCCGAGGGCTCCTAACAAAGTTACATACATATACAACACCTTGTCAGCTCAATGCTGGTAATGCCCAGAGCAGCTTGGCGCAGATCAACACGAGAGTTTGATCCCGTTTGTCCATAGACTGATGCGTTCTCTGCAGTTGATTCGCTTTAATTACAGCATCCAGTGCATTGAGTTCCTTGTTCCTCCCTCCCTTGAAGTGCTGTGGGAGAGGCGGTCAGTTCTGCGGCCCGTCACAAGAGGGCGAAGCGTAATTTAGCTTCTTCACATGCCTTCCCCATTTTGTGCCTTGACGACAGGTAGAGGGTACCTAGTCGCCAATTGATGGGAACGCAGCAAGGCATTTCCTGATAGCTCGATTCAAGAAGCTTGCCAATACTCGTAGGCAGCCAGTAGAGCTTTCGCAGGGGTTCACCATGTCTCCAAGGACAGGGTACTCCGATCAAAGTCTTGCGTGGATGCCGTGGCTCTTCCACCGCTTCATGGTCGCGTCCGAATTGACAAGGACTGGCTGCCGGGCCATTCTCTCTTCTCTTCGACTTCCATCTTTGCAATCTGCTTGCCTGGAATGACAATGAGGCCCACGAATCGCGATGTCATGTCCACTCTGCTGGGCTGTCCCGTAGTCTTTAACTTGTCAATCGCGGCCTTTTCAGCCGCTCTAGATGGTATTCTGTACTCGAATGAATTGGAAAGGATGATGTTGCTGTCACTGTCGGTGCATCGAAATGTTCCCGAAAATAGACGCCCATCAAGAACAGTGACATTGAAGGTCTTTCCAAGCAAGGATTCGAGGAACTGTGTAGCCTCGGCTTCTTCCATATTGAAGGCAGAGAAGATGTTGATAGGAAGAGGGCCGAAAGCCTCACTTTCGTAGCGTGTTGTTGGATGTATCTTCCTTACGGCTGAATTGAGAGGAGAGGCGGAGGTTGGGGAATGGGAAAGTTCCGTAGCAATGTTGTAAGAGCTCAGCCTTGCCGTCGGTCTTGGCAACGAGGCTGAGAGGCTAAGCCCAAATATCGATGTTCCTTACTAACCCAGGGCAAGTTTCAAGGAAGCCAACGAACACTTCATTGACAACTCATATCAGGAGACTGCATTATGTAGCAGTGTACACGCCAGTAAACTCTCTAAACACAAGGTGAGGCAGGAGAAGATCATGTATCCGCCGTTTCAGGCCTCATTTCCTTTCGATGCGACATGCTCGTTATTCTGTTCGTCTTTTTTCACTTCCAACTTACACTACCTTTACTGCGTATTCGGCCCTCTCTGATATCTCTCGGCTCAATCTTTGCTGTCCAGTACTTATCCCACCTCTTTCCTTCTTCTTTTAGGCTCGGATTGTGATCAATAACCCCCAAAGATATTCATTCGCGAATTCGTCACAGGCTTGTCCATTACTGCTGTGAGCATGTCAAAACGAGTCAAACGTGCACCACTAAGACGGGTCAATCGAAGACCTGAAGTTCGAGTTACCAACGGCGCTTCCTCAACGCGGGACAAAAGAAGAAACACCTTTCACCCAGCTCCACGGCCAACCATGACCATAAAGTCGAACACTCGATCAAGTTCCGAATCAAGCACGTCTACAAGCGAGTCTAAAACCACGCTATCAACGGAATCATCCAGCGATGAATCTTGCTCTCGGGGATCCTGGAACACTGCGAACAACTCAGACGGGCTTGAGGACGATCGACGTGTGAATGATGACGATTTCCCTAGTTCAGCACGGAGACGAATCAACCCTATCCTCAAACTGAGGTTTGATAATCGGGGAAAGGAGAGCCAACAAAGACCAAGACTTCTGTTTCGGGCTTTCGACACCGAACACGGACTGCATGCTCGCTTCTTTCAAGACTGGCCCTCTTCAAAACCTCTACCGTCACCTCCTCCATATGGTAGCGACAAATTTGGAAAGCTAGCTTACCGACATCTTGTCCAAGATAGAGCATTTCCATCGCCCTTCTTGTCAGTTACTGAAAGTCCTAGACGGGCATTGGAGGTCCACCTCGCTAATACTTCAGGACATCGGTCTTTGGCGATTTTGGACTATAATGTACTCGAAGAAGAGTTAAAGAAGCTATACGGTTCAGATGCTGGACCTTGGCTCGTCCCTGAAGTTACAAAAAGATACGAATTCACGGACCTGGCGAAGATTGATGATGATCGGTCTGGTACACTCATCGAGGGAGATGGTTATACAGGTAGAGGCGAAGTTTGTGATCAAATCCTGAATCTCAAGGTAACTCAAACTAACGTACTCTAGTTCCTCATCTGGGCCTCTGTACCCTGTGATGCTATCGCTGTACTGTCTTACGAGGAAGCCCTCCAGGTATATCATGTCCTCGGTACACTCAAAAGGTCGAAATCAGCCATTGATGACTTCTCTGGTTCACTGATTGGCAAAGTACGAATCACTCTCAACATTACTTTCTGTGTTTAGACTGACCATTACAGTGTCTAAGGGGCATCCCACCTGTGTACAAAGCAGTGGTGGGACGTAAACTTGTTCATGCGTTTGAGATTTCTGGTTATAAAAAGGGTCGTCATTCAATCTGTCTTGAGAGATTTATGGAGGGAGTTGAGGCAGGCTCGTCAGATAGCGCCTCAACCGAGGGAGAAGACAAGGCCGGATTCGACACTGAGAGTGTTCAACCTCAAGAACAAACCGCTCAACTGGATAATTTCATTAGGGAGCTTGAGATGTATGCGACGATTCCAACACCAACTCCACCTCGTATTTTGAATCAGGAACAACAACCCACAAACCCAGAGCCGGCACCTACAAATCTACCTCGACAGAGTCCGACGGTATATCAGCGCTCAGCAAATGTGATCGACTTGACTTCGGAGGGCTCCCACAGCTGCCATGAATCAAAAACCACACATCCTGAGTCAGCAAAGACGAAGAAACTCCAGACGAGCCGCGTAATGACGGAAACAAGAACAATCATAACCTCGACAGTTGACAGAAAACAATCCGATTTTCGTCGCAACAGCATCACCGAAGACGACGATGAAGTCCAGATTATTGCAGAAAGTAACAGCCGACGCCAGTATGCCCGCACCAGAACTGAAACTACAGTTATCACAATTCGCAGTCGGAGTGTGAGTGAGGAGTGAAATTATCATCTTCAATTCTTAGACATCTCTGACATTGGAGCTGTCAGCTATGCTGTGTCGTGCTGGACGAGAGTATTCATGTTGTTGCTAATCAAAACCATCGACGCGACCCTGCTGCAACAAAGCGCCCCATATCAACATCGTGCCACATTGTGCTCTTTGAACCAGCTCTTGCATCAACCTAACAGACAATCTCTCACTTCTTCAGGAAGTGCAGCGGAGGGACGCGAAACGCAAGGACAAGTCTTGAGGCAGTGGAGGATGGAAATGCTGGAACGGGTTTCTCGGATTGATTGTGTGTAGCGCGCGCAAGTCTGGCGGCATGCTCGGGATGAGGATCAAAGACTTGTTCAGGCAAACCATGTGTGTAACCGACACGTAAGCTAGAGTCAATTAGCCATTGTTGTTGACATCAAATGAATTCACTGTGTTGGAATGTTTGCTGGGGTGAGAATCTTCAGCTCTTGCCTGCGCCTGTGCCTGCGCCCGCGCCCTGACTTTCAGCTGTTCGCTTGAAGCGCGGTTGATCGCATGCCGAGCCCTGAGCTTCCTAACCATTCTCGGCTTGGCTCCTTTGGCAACAGGAAACTTAGCAAAGACGATGCTTTGCAAGTTCAAAGTGCAGGCACTGCAATAGACCAAGTCAACCTCAAATCCCCTCGTACACGACTTCTACCTCTCGTCTTGTTCGCCAGCAAGCAAGCATCAGCCTCAAACCTCCGTTTACACAGTGTTTACGGGGCTGCACCGTTGTCAACCGCCCAAAATCCCAAACTGCGCCCTCTGGGAAACCGGCCCCCTTCCGACCGCTCGCCCACTGACGCGTAGAAAACCTGCAATCCACATCACGGCCGACATATCCCTGCGCTTCATGGTGAAAACACTCTCATAATCCTCACCATCAATCGAGGAGGGCGGATGTGAAGATGAATGCGCGACTGGCGTTTTAATCAAGGAGATGTCGCGCCCACAGGGCACTCACTCTCACTCCAAGTTCGCTGATTTCTTCCCAACCGCTCCCAGCGTGCAGCAACGGAAAACTTCCAAGCTGCTTGATCTCGACCGATCCCGACTGCGCCGTCCTGACGATCGCGCAGAAGATGCCAACGCGAAAGAGAATTCTGCTCGACTCTCGCTGAACTCATCGTCTACCACGTTTCACCCGCGTCTGCCCGCTAAACAGGACAACTTGGCAAAGACTGCCGCCGTCACGGTGGTTCCAGAAGAGGGTGACCAGTACGCAGGCGACCTTCTCAATGGTGTCGGCTCAGCCAGTTCGTCTAGTACCGCTTCATCGGTCTTCAGTGCTCCTGTCGCAAGCGTCGCCATGGCTGGCGCAAGCCATGTCAACTTCACCACCCTTACCCCTCTTACGAACTCCGACTCTCCTCCAAATGGTAAACTCATGAGTCCGACTGCTGACTCCGGCTCTCAGCCCATGGTGGGCCACGGCAATAATGTGTCCACCCTTCATCAAGGCTCGATGACACCCCTCCACACACCGCCGACCCATCGAAGATGCGCGCGCGATGCTAATGCCGAAGTCAAGGGGACCAAATGCACCTACGATCCGGAGCTTGACAAGAATCTGAGCTCCAAAGATAAACGCAAGCTGAAAGCGCAGTTCGAGGAATTTGGAGCGAAACCTCAAGATAACTTCCAACCTCCCGATCCGCGGTTAGCCATTCCTAACTACACAAAAGCCGTTGTGGGAAAAGGCAAAGCAAAATTTCGTCCCGCACCCTACAATCTGAAGTCATGGGTGCCTGACGTTGCGACTGCGGTTGCGCCGCCGCCGCCGACCACCGTTGTCGTAACTGGCTTCGACCCTATGACACCATTATCACAAATCAGCGCATTGTTTTCCAGTTTCGGCGAGATCGAAGACTTGGACAACAAGACTGACCCGGTCACTGGGCGGTTCCTCGGCATCTGCAGCATCGCCTACCAAGACTGCGCTTCTTTCCAAGGCGGGGGACCGATTTCTGCAGTCCTTGCCGCCAAAACAGCATACCTTGAGGGCAAGCGCGGACAAAGGATAGGCCTGAAGACCGTGCAGGTGGCTATCGACCGAGATGGCTCGGTCACGGAAAAGTTGGTGGAAAGGGCTATCGCGCTGCATCGGAAAGAGAGTGGATTCACAAACAAGTCCCGCATACCACCCTCTCCCTCTCCCTCAACACCTACTGCAGTGCAGTCGCCTGGGTTTGCAAAGTCCACTGGGCCGCCGCCAACAGCTCCAAAGGGACCTTCAGGAAAACCGCCCTCACGACCGCAGTCCACATTCCAAGCTCCTTTCGGGCTCCCCGTTAAGCCCGAGAGACCAACCAAACCCGTGCCGGCCACTACCTCCCTCGTTGAGACCACGCCGATCGCCGAAACATTGAAAGGACCGTATATCTTCATTGCGCACTGTTACGTACCAGTTATGAGCACTACGATCCCGCATCTGAAGAAGAGGTTGAGGATGTATGATTGGCGAGAAGTCCGTTGCGACGAGACCGGCTATTTTATCACATTTGAGCATTCGCGCAACGGGCAGGTGGAGGCCAAGAAGGTCTTTCACGGTTGTCATATGCAGCCGTTGTTTACGTATGTGATGAACCTGGAATTACATCTCAACGGGCATCACAAGGCGGTCACTGCAGCAGACGCTATACCTACGACGACAGGGCCGGTTGATTTTGTTTATTCCAGACAAGCTTATCGGCTAAGAAAGGAGCACGATCTCGACATGGAGGAAGAAAAGAGACAGCGTGCGAGAGACCTGGATCCTTCCAGAGCTGTTGTACAGCTAGTCATACAGGAGCTTCGGGATAAGTTGTTGGAAGATGTCAAATCACGCATCGCTGCTCCTGTCCTCTACGAGTATCTTGATCCGAGTCGACATGCAGAACGACGACGGATTCTAGGCGTGAGTGACCCCGAAGGAATCAGGAGGCAGGGTTATGCCGATGAAGGTTCTCAAACCCCAGATTCGCGCCTGGGCACTGGGCGACGCCCACTTGGGAGTAAGAATCTCAATATTCTCTCTCTGCCGAAGATAGGCAAGAGGCCTGGCGCAGACAGAGGTATGGTTGGTTTCCGCGACGAGAGAAGGAAGGCTCCGACAACGAGACATAATGTCAGACCATTGTTCCACCAACTGGCTCAATTTCATGACGATGACGATTCCGACGACGAACAACGAACTTCGCTTACTCGTGACACGGAAGATCCAGAGAGCCGTCCACCGAGCCGAATGAGTATGACCTCCATGTCCGATGACGACGACGAGCTTCTGCGCAAGGTTGCGAAACGCCGTCTCCACGCCCGTGAAGAATCCGAGATGGGAGATAGCGTGGTCAAAGATGAGTTCGACGCCGGCAAGCAGACTGCAGAAGATCTCATCATCGCCAAACTGGAAAGAAACATCTACGAAATGTCCCCCTCGTCGAGGAAACGGAAGAGGCTAGTGAAAGAGCTGGAGGCCCGTAAACGCCAGAAGGCAGACGACGAATTGTTTGGCGTCGGTCAAAATGACTTGGATCGCGAAGGGTCTGAGGATTTCAAAGTGGAAACCCCGATTGAAGCAACACCTGAGGTCGATTCGGACGCTGCCAAGGTCAAAAAGCCGAAGCCCAAGAAGAAAACCAAGAAACAGATACTGGAAGAGCAAGAAGCGCTCCGACGAGCGCAAGCAGAGGCCGAAGCAGCTGAAGTGGTGGATAATGTTTTGGAATATGCCGAGGAAGAAGAGGCTCTTGCGGAGGCTGCTGAATGGAGGCCAGAAGTGGAATGGGGTGTTTCAGCCGTGGAGCCTTTGCCTACGGTCGATGACGACGACGATATCATTCCTGACCTCCGCGGATGGCAAGCAAGTGTATTTGACGCAGAAGATCTTGAATACTTGTCATCCGCTATGAAGTTGAAGAAGGCCATGGATATCGGCGATCCAATGGCTTGGGCCTGGAAACAAGAGCGCATTCGCAATCTCAAGCCTGGAACTCAGCCCGGTGCCCTTAGGACGGAGCCACCGATTGACGGATACTACGTGCCCAACCCATCCGGCTCAGCGAGGACGGAACCGGTACGAAGAATCCTCGAGTCTGAGAAGTCCAAATATTTGCCTCACCGCATCAAGGTGCAGAAGGCCCGGGAGAAGAGAGAGGCCGAGGCTAAGAAGGATACTGGCAAGCAAGTCGTGGAACTGCCCAAAGCTTCTTCTCGCGGCAAGCGTGCCGATGATCGACGCACTGTCAAGGACTTGGACAGACAGCGGGAGATGTTACAGGGCATAGCCGAGGACGCCGATGTCCTGCGGTTCAATCAACTTCAGAAACGCAAGAAGCCTGTCAAATTTGCCAGATCCGCCATCCACAACTGGGGATTGTATTCGCTGGAACGGATACAGGCGAGCGAGATGATCATCGAGTATGTGGGCGAGAAGATCCGGCAAGAAATCGCCGACTTGAGAGAGATCAAGTACACGGAGAGTGGCATTGGCAGCAGTTACCTCTTCCGAATCGACGAAGGGACTGTCGTGGATGCCACCAAGAAGGGTGGTATTGCGAGATTTATCAACCACAGCTGTTCACCCAACTGTACTGCCAAGATCATCAGGGTTGGCGGCACCAAACGGATCGTCATTTATGCTCTAAGGGATATTGAGAAAGGTAAATTGATACTGTCTGTGGCATAGACGGGGCGAAGGCTGACATTGCGCGTACAGACGAAGAACTAACGTACGACTATAAATTCGAGCGTGAGATCGGCAGCGACGACCGCATCCCATGTCTCTGTGGCTCGGCGGTCTGCAAAGGTTTCCTTAACTAATACTCCGGCATATCCGATAACAAAGGGGTCTTGAATTGCGTGGTGGAATCTGGCGGACACATCCTTCTTTCGATGTTATAAGAGCATTTGAAAATGTGGAAGAGCATTTTGGGCCGGCGTTCTCTTCCATACGGCATGATGAAAGGATGGATATCTGACTAAAAAGTCACGGCACAGCATGGGGAAACGGCAAGGCTGGGCTGGGGGGTTTCTTTTTGCATTGACACAACCAGCAAGGTTGGTGTGACACTGTGGAACCGGGTGTGAAGGGATTCTCGAGGATCATGGTAATCCTATTTCAACAAAGGCAGGGGAATGATGAGTGGCAGAGAAGTGGCCGACAACGAATGAGCTCCGTTTACTCAACTCAAAGTGATGGGGCGTTGCAGAGGGGACGACACTGCAAAAATGAATCGAGTTTGAGAGATTTTCTCTCCCTCTTTTTGTGTATTCTGTATCATCTCGACCGAGTGCTCGACAGGCGCAGCGATTGCACGCCGCGGACAGCGCAGAGGGTCTGGTCACCCCTGATATGCGGCGACGGCGGAGGACGTGTGTCTAGATACTCCGTACATCAAGATGGTGGCCAATGTGCTCTGTGTACATGGCCGGCGTTTCCAGAGCGTCTCCTTGAATAGTTTTGAGAAAACATTGGTGGGGTGTTTCATTGGACCTCTTCTCTCCTGGTAGAAATATGGCAGGTCGGTAAAAGATAATATGGTATCCTTTTTGGGAAGTGTCCCGGCATGAGATTCGCTGATGGTCGCTTCGTTCTCATGCATTTTCCATGGGATGACTCGACAGTCGGCTTTCAACTCTCGCCCAGGGGGTCATGCGATGTTGTGTGAAGCGGTCTGATAGCTGATGGCTCGTGCGGCTTCCGTACTAGACGTAGTCATCCCATGCTCTCGTCCCGCGTCTTTTCCTGCATCAGTTTTGTGACTTTGGCCTTAGCCTGAGCCTGAGCCTGCAGAGGGTGGATCGGTACATCCTTGTGTGTCGAGTTGTATTGTCGATTCGGTCTACGCAATATGTCCCTGTAGGACCTAGACGGTAGAGGATCCTGAAGCAGGCAATGTCGCAGTGATCGCGGTCTCCGTCGTTTGTTCAAAACGCACTTCGTCTCTCTCCCCCCCCCCCCCCCCCCTCCGGGCTTTCACACCAAATGCGCGGGCAAGAGAAAATTGCCCACGCCTTCCTTGATGGGATATTCAAAGCCGCAGTTCCCACAGACCAGTTTCCCCTCGGACACTGCCGTCTCGAGGAGCAGGGTGTGTAGTTTCTTCAGTACATCCTCGTCAATTTCTACCTCCTTTTGGGCGGTGTCGGTTTCCTTGTCTTGCTCGACATCCATCTCGTGGTCGTCATCTTCTTGTTTTGTTGCTGCGGTTTCGTCGTCGTCGTCGCCAAGGTCCGTAGGGTTTTTCTCGGGGACCATCGCTTGCAGGCCCAGCTCGGTCGCCGTGACGGTCAGCGCGTCCCAGTTCAGGCGAGGCAGGATGTTCTTGATGAAGAGCGGGTTGAGCTCGATCTCTGTGCGTTCCAGCACGGCGTCCTTGAAGTGCAGCGGAAACGAAGCGGACGAGGACTTGCACGCCTTGACGGCACAGGTCAGGAAGTTTGTGGTGAGGAGCTTCATTTTTTCCCCGGCTTGACGAACGCAACGTGAGGGTGCAGAGGGGGGGGAGAGTCTAGAAAGTTGGTAGAGCGAGAAAGTTCTCTCTACGCCAAGCCAGAGGATCGTTGGGATATACAATAGAATTGCAGAAATTTCGGCCTCAGCGAGGAGCTTACAACCAATGTCTTATTCCAATATTACAAGATATAGTCAATTGGTCTTCTCATCTAAAAACTATCTGGCTCCCTGATGGAGAATAGAAAAAAAAGGAAATGTCCGGCACGCAGGTGACTTTGCATCCACTACGGGAATCCGAAAACTCCCATTTTCGAACGCAAAGCCTTAAAAAGTGCCTCTTTGAAAAAAATTTCGGTCTAGTACGCCAATATGACCTACCACTCCATTGATGAATGAAGGAATTGGCGGTTGATTATGCGTTCTCATGAAGTGTGAGGAAAGAAAAAAGAGGAACGAAGGCACGTAGTAGCGAAGATTGTACTTGTAGTTTTTGATATCGGGATGCGGAGAATCTTTATTGCCGGAGCTTGACCATTTCAAGGCTGGCGTGGTATTAGGCCTTGGCATTGACACCGTTCGGTTTTTTCGATCAGAGCTTCTGAGCAACCTTTTCTCTCTTCAACAAATGCCGTTGCCATCTCAAGGGGCTTCCTGAACCATGTTCACGGTACTTTACAGTCCTTTCCCCTCTCTCTTACATGTTGAAGATTCCCCTTTCCTTGTTCCTGTCCCCGGCCCTCGTGAACATCTGGTCAAAAGGGCGTGTTGGTGTTCGCCCCGGCCACATAACAAGACGCAAGACAAATTTATCCGCTTTCTCATCATGTCATGCACATGCGTTGCTCGCACTGACCCCCCTATCTATCTGGCAGACGCACAAATCGCTATTTAAAAAAAAAAAAAGAAGGATAGAGCGCTGGCCTTTCTCGGGCTGACAATGCCAAAACCACACTCGGAAGCATCTTGACCTCATTCTCCCCCATGATCAAGACGTGGATCCCGGGGAGACACTCCAAACTCCCCAATTCAATCGCAAAAGTGGAAGACCAAAATCTGGGCTTTTAGCAGGGCCCTGTCTACTCCACCCTGTTTCTTCCAGCACTCGTGAGGAAGCAGGACTATTTTCATGACAGACATTTTCCGCACCTACAGTTTTTTGTGTATTGTTCTTGATTGATTCGATCTATCTCTTATAGGTGTTTTTGGAAGCGAGGAGCGCGGGTTTTTCTCGTCCGGGACGCGATACGAATGACCTGGCATCTGCGAGATTCTCATGGTTCAGTTCAAACAGCGCAAGGCAATAACGTCGTTCGACGTTTTACAAGTCAATGCTCTCGAGGCTGTTGAAGGATATCATTGTTTCTCACATGCCCTCTATCCCAGTCCTGACGGGAGTAACGCACATGCACATGCACTTGGTGCAATCCCTAGCCTTTTTCTCTCCCTCCAGATATTGGCGTCTTTTCACCGCCTCTCCAATACACATGTCAATTCAATTCGTTCCAATCAATCCATGTGTCTTCTATTTGACAACTCCTCATTTCACCCTTACTTGTCCCTCTCTCTCGTGTGTCTACAAACACTCTCAGGCCTCTTGTTCTGGTCATCCTCTCCCAGAGTCTTGTCATTTGACCGTGATCCAATCATGCTACCTTTCATTCTATTCTCATATCTGCCTACCTATCTACCTCTTTACTTTTCTCCTACCATCACCCTCAACTCACCTCACTTTACCTCGCTCCAGCTCACTCAACTGAACTCGTCTCAACTCAACTCACTTTACCTATTCCACCTCATCCTTGTCCTTTATAATCCTCTCGCCCCCCTCCCCAAAAGCCTGCCTATGCTTGACCCATTCGGCTCTGTTGCCCTCTTTCATTACTTTCCACGTCCGTACCCACATCTACATCCGAGTCTGAATCCTGGCCCTGGTCCTGATCCTGATCCTGGCCTTGGTCTTGGTCCTATTGGTTGTGGTTGTGGTACTGGGAGTGGTTCAGGTTCATTGCCTCGTTCCGTGTCCCGCCCTGCCCTGCCCTACCCTGGTCTACCGGGTCTACCTGGTCTACCTGGTCTACCTACCTGTCCTCTCTGCCTTGCTGTGCTTGCAGCTGCAGCTACTTCAGCTACTACAGCTACTGCTGCAGCACCTGTTCAAGACGCCGGGTTCTCTTCTATTTCTGTTTTATCCGCGCTTTGGAAAGTTCAATTCTCTTGCCATCCCATGGTCTTCACTACTCTGCTCTACTCTGCTCTGCTCTACTCCTCTGCAGTCCTTGTCTACTTTGTTCTATTTCATCACTCGGTTCTCGATTCCATTTCCTTGGTTCCTTACTTTCCACTTTAACCTACCTACCGGTCTGCCTGCCCGGCAGCCTGCTTGCCTGCCTCACTGCCGTTCAGTCATTGGTCTACTATAGTACTATATCGCTATATGACTATAGTAAATCCTGACCCTGGACCCTGACGATGCCGACACTACAAGACTGGTCCCGGTATAACCAATACCTCCGAGAACATCATCTCTATCGGGACGAGAATGGCGGGGATCTGTATTGTTGCATCAACGAGCCGCTGCCTGGTCCACCTAGTCGGTCTAGTATATCGACTCTATCGACTCTGTCGAATCCATCTAACCTCTCTACTCTATGGAATGCATCGGAAGGGCCGCCAACGCCCTTGGAAGGCCCTCTGCAGACATACGAAACCATGACGAGCTCAAAACCTCGACATCCCTTCAGAATGGTAATCTACAAGGCCGTCCCGGTCGAGGACGCCTGGCTGTGGAAACTCTCTTGTCGACGGGTCAACATGGGCGCCGTGTCGGCGTGCACGCAGGCGATAGTGCCACGTTACCTTTTTCGATTCTGGCACGATGAAAGCGGCGGGGGGAATGTCAGAGGCCAATTCAAGAGCGAGCGTGAAAAACAGGACATGTGCGCGGACCTCGAGGTCATGAATGAGAGAGACATCCGCGACAGCCTCGCCGACCACATGCGCAACAGAAAAGCGTCGCCGTTCCAGAGTCCCTGGGTGTCCCTGTCAATGTCGCCCCTCTGGGTCCTTGCCCAGGCCCTCGCGCTCAGGAAGAGAGGGTGCCAGAATCTAAAACTCGCGATCATCGACACCTGGCATTTGAAGCACGGGACGTACCTGTTCCATGCGGAGGCGTTGCTCAGAGCATACAATGTCGCACCGAATCTCCCGTTCCGCAATATGGGCGAGTCGATGGTGTTGGCGTGGAGAGAAATCCGTGCCCCGATGACGGTGATGCGCCTCGATGAGATCCTGCACAGCGTGCTTGAGGGTGAGTATCTTAAGCCCGGGTACTTGAGATTACAGCCGTTTCATCACAAGCCATCGAAATCCGAAGTACCCAAAAATCACAGCGTCACGAAGCAGGCAGTTAACAACAACAAGATCGCCAAAAAGAGACAGCTAAACAAATCTAGCCTCCGTAAACCGAGCGAGATTAGGAAAAAGATACATTCGACTCCGTCCACGTACGAAGTGTTTCAGGAGATCGTACTCGAACAGCAAGCCCCATGGAGATTTCCGCGAGGTCGATTCGCTGGTAGGATATCCCAAGGGAAGCAGCCCGGTCGCAAGACTGGGCATTTCCGGGTGCCAATGGCGGTACACCAGCTCGACGATTACGTGGAATTTGTAAAGAGGGAAGTCAAGGCGGTAGAGTTCCAGTTTCCCTTGTTGATTGCTCTGCTCTCGAATCGCATGGCGGAGCTGGAACGCGACTCCATCCTCGACGCAATCCGTGACTGGGGTGGTAAGTTGGGCATTGTTCTGTCTTGAAAGTCAAAAGGATAGTCTCCCACTAACGGTGAACCAGGCGATGATCCAATGGTTAATGCCCACAAACGGTGCATTGTTCGGGACAGTTCTTCGCCCTCTCTTCCTGAGCTGGACGCCTTTGAAAAACTGGCTCGAGACGCCAGTGACACGCTGGGGATCCGGGTCGTCGAGAACCCAGGCCTGCGGAGGTTCTGGGTTCTGCAGTCTCCACACACAGATGTTCCTCACCCTCGCGGAAACAGTGAGTGGATTAGGGACGTAGTCGAAGGGAGGGAAAGGATGCAGATGAGGCTGAAAAAGGAACAAGACCAAGCCCAGGAAAAAGCCATGACAGCACCGATGCTAGGTTGTACAGAGAACCAGAGTGGCAAATAAGACGCAAGACCCCGGTGTCTATGTTGCTGTTGCGGATTTCAGGGAGCACATCAGTGACTTCCACACAGACTCGCGCTGCAGCTAGGATTGCCTCCTAGTACCAGAACTTGTCTTGCTCAACCTGAAAGACCAACCTGTCCAATGCGGTGCAGGCCACGTCAAGCTGGCACCGCTTATCTTGCAATCTCATTGATTATTCTTGCAGGGGATCATCATGGGCATGCCGAAACACAACGACGGTCATCACGGGGCTGAAGTGCATATGCCAGCAAGACATGGCACTACGAAGAGCAAAGACGTGGGCGTACATGATTCCTGTCATGAAATCTCGAAGATCCTACAGCCCTGGAGTTGACATCCAGGGAATTACTTCAAGGCTAGGTATCGCCGAGCCTTTTGACATGTTTGTGGAGGGAACCTCGGAACTGCGGGTTGTCAGGAGTGCTGGTCTCGATTGGACCCGTAAATGCCCTTAGCTGCAGGTGTTGTAAAATGTGATATATGATACAGCTAGGCTTTGATGTGGACCAATCGGTGGTGGTGGTGGTGCTGTTCAATTTTGGTGGGATTGACATGTCTTCGGGGCGCTTTCGAGGCTTTGGCAGCTGAGAGAAGCTAGGGAAATGGGATATCTGGGCTTACTGGTTATGTACCTAGCGGTGACCATCATATCGGTTATTCGGTGCTGAGGAACCAATGAATCTCTTTGTCTACGTCCATCTTGGCGTCCAGCACGGGTGTCCATCAAGGGTGTCCATCAAGGGTGTCCACCTCGTCTTCCCCCCCGGTCTTCCCCTTTGTCCTCCATCTCGCCCTCACTCGTACCCACCTCAGCCTCACCACACCCTCGACAGACGCTAGATGATCTCACAAGCGACTTCTCGTATGATTGGTACCTAGTTGTCGTAGTTGTATGTGTTGAGGTATGTGTATTGAGTCTTGCGTACCCTCGCCTCCTCTTCTTACCTCTCGTTACTTTTTCACTTTTCTCCCTTCTAACCATCTCTCTATTTTTCTCTTCACGACGTACTTACTCTGTGTCTCCGTCTAGAATCACTCTTGAGTCATGACTCATGACCCGTGCCTCGTGCATCTTACCTCGTATCGCGACACCGCCGCTGTCCTCGTAAGAACCTGACCGACTAACCGACCGACTGACGTACCGCGCAAGCGATGTACTCCGTAAGCGATGTAAGCGATGCAAGGGTCGTCTGGCTGGCTTGCTGGCTTGCTGGCTGTCGTGCTGCCTACCTTGCACCTCGTAGAGGATCAAGTGGTCCGGGCCGGGGTTGGAACCAGGGGAGAGCTGTGGGTCAGCGATGATGCAAGGAACCCTGCTAGGGCTTGGGTACTGGCACTGTCGAAAATAAGGCTCGACTCCTGACATGCTCGTGTGTACGAGCACGTACGAGGTAGATACGAGGTAGAGATGAGGTCTGCATGCAGTAAATGGCACCGTGGCGCTGAAGTGCAGAAGGGTGGTCTGCAAGAGTACGAGTCCGAGTACGAGTCGGGGGAGGGGTAGTGCAGGGTAAGGTATGATAGGGTAGGGGTGGAAGCAGAGGCGCATTAGTCGGCACCAAAGTCCACAAGTCCAGAAGTCTTGCAATGTACTACAATGTACAACCAAGTGCGCAACATGCAAGGAGGAAGTAGAAGTATGTACAAGGTACAGTACAGTGTTCCCAGTAGTCATTGGGCTCAAATACTCACCCGCTATGACCTCCTTGTACGGGTTCGTAGTACCATTTGGCTTGGACCCGCGACTCGCGACTCCAGTTTAGGAATCGATCCCGCACGGAGACTAAACAGTGCAGCGAAGCGCAGCACAGCACAACGTAGCGTTCCCGGCACGTGTCGGAATATTTGTTACGTTACTTCTTTCCACTCTACAGTACTTACTTACTACCCACACCTGTGCGTGGGTAGTTGTACAAGTGTGTAGGAGGTAGGCAACCACACCAAACCCAACCCAGCCCAACTCCCCCCTATCTTTCTTGTGTCGGCACGGCACCACGGTCCTTCGCTCGTGCGCATGCAGGACGTACATTAGCGGGGAACAGGATATTACCCAGTATTCTCTCGTGCAAAGTAGTTCCACTCTGGCACTCTTTACTCGCTTTTCTGCTTGTCAGCTTGGCCGGCCCACGCCCACACTCCCAGCCTAACGAGCCTAACGAGCCTATCACATGGAAACGAAATACCGAGAAACCCCTTGGCCTTCTTGAGCCAAGACTTTCCGTATACCGAGTACTTCAGATGAATGACCGTGGACAACTTGTCCCAACTCCTCAAATTCTGTCTACCTGCAATTATTGGAGGCACACGGATTCAACCAAAAGACTTGGGAGGAGGAATCGTCAAAAAATTAGCCTTTTGATCAACGTCAAACGTCCCAACTCTCGCCCGTCACCTTCACAACAAGGTTTGACGGCTTCGGCACGCCCCATGCAGCTCGCTCAAAATCGCCGGGTTTTCAATTTCCGCTGCCTCCAGCTAAAAGGTCCCAGAGACTCGGTAGCGAATGACAATCCCCGGACCCCCGAGGACGGAAGACACCATCCCCGGCCATTGGCACTGCTAAGCGTTCGCAGGATTCTCTTTCGCGCATGGCGTAATGCAGTCACCCTGCTCAACCTTTCCTTCCGAGATCAGAAGAAATCCCCAGCAAGTTCAACCCCAATGTCGGACGAGATTACCGTTTGGTGGCACCCCAGCTGGAATTCTCTGCATCCCCGGGTTGATTCCGCAAGGGATCGACACTTCGCGCAGACATCCCATGGCCTATCCCACCACTCCATGCCACAGGCTACTCAGACCCAGCTCGCAAGCAAGAGACAGCGCCTTGTTTCTCGCCCCAAGTTCCACCAACAGGAACTCGGCCGTTGCTTTCGGTCGACATTTTACCCTGGTCCAGGATCCCCCGAGCCGGTGGCATTTCACCTTGCACACTTGCAGCATGCAGCGCCGCCCACGGCTGCAACTAAGGCAGGAATGCAAAACGAGGCGATTTAAACCTTTGCACTTGCAGTCGTCCTACCTTGGGACCTGCTTCCCATTGGATGTCATTGGCTCGTCGTCGAATCGCGGCCCTGAAATGCGAACTGTGTGGGTATGAAGTGTCAGGATTTCTGTGATTGTCATTTCTGCTTTCGGGATTCTGTGTCTTAGTATTGCAAGTACCAGGGGGGCCCAGGTCCGGACGCTCTGCGTTGGGTAGCACAACGCCCACAGGGCTTCAAGGCTGCATGAGCACCTTTTCCCACGCCCTTGTGCTTCGATTGTATCCTGGAAACCTCCCGTCGAGCCAGGACGCTGCCAGTCTCGGTCTCTGTTAATCCTGATCAACCAATTCTATCCTCTTATAAGGAATAAATATCGTTCTCCCTCCGTAGCCTTGGGTTCTGTTTCTCCAAACACAAACATTTTTTGACTTGACTTTTTCGGACTCGTGTCATTGCGCAGCACTTGTGAGCATTGCCATCTTCAACAATGGGATTGTCGTTCATCATGACAACCACGTCTGTACCAAGCAACGGTGAGTGTACCTTTCTCAGAGTTTTGCCACCATCAGTGCCCTGGTTTATACTGGGAGCTTGGCCTTGTTCTCGTCCAATGACGCTGACTCTGATAACCAGTCGCTCCAACAGACAAATCCTCGGGCATCAGCTATCAGATGCAGCAATATCTCGCCCTGGAGTGCTGGGAACACCCATTTCGACCAGGAGCGGGAACTCACCGTAAGCTGGGGCATCTTATCAGCAGTCTCGACAGGCATCTTGCCCAGTTTGCCAGTGATCCTGCGGCGATCGCCACGAGCAGCAGAGACTCTGGGCCGTTGTTGGCCGGCTCTCATAAGTCAGTCCACCATGTGTCGTAAGCTCCGGCACACATTTGCCATTACTGACGTGGAAAAGTCGTCCGTACGGTCATGACTGGCTCCCAGAGATGTAATTGCAGCATTCGGTTCGCTGTTTGACCATCTCAATACTCCTACCAGGAAAAGAAGAGTTTTGGACAGGCTTGTCGCGGATCCTCTGCGAAACATGTCGATTGTTTGTGGTAGAGTGCTTGCACCGCAAGAATTCGGCTGCTTGAGAAAAAGTTCGAAATACCTGGCGCCATGCGCCATTGGAAAGTTGCTCGGCATGGAGAAGGGTTAGAGGCCCTGGTGTTCCGTCTCTTGTAACAGATAGATTGCCATGCCATGGAGTGAGTGGCTTGTCGTAGCAATTCTCCCCAATATAAGCTGGCTGGCAATGTCCTACAGCACAGTGCTGAAGCATCCTCACTCAATCGTTAGCAACTGGCTTGGTACAAAGGCGTTCCTGCGCGAGTCGAGGTCTCTTGTTAACACTTCTGCTCAATCTTTTCGTCCGTGCTAAGGTCACAAATGATCAGTTGTCTCCAAGCATCGCCAGACTGTTCACCTTGCTCATGGTCGGCCAGTCATTCCACAGTGTCAGAGCCAATTGTTCCGAGAAGCGTGCCTGGCACTCCTGGACGCAACTTCGTCCGCACAGCTCTGACACGCGAAGTGTTGAGAAATAAACCAGAGGAGCGAGAGTGCCAGAGCAAAGGAACAGATACCTACATCCTTCACAGATTTCCGCGCTATTGACTCAGTTTCGTGTCCTTCACACTTGATTCCAGACTGCCCTACGCTTTGAGGTCATGATTGACTTATCACCAAGCCCTTGTGCTTTGCATTTCTCTATCCAGCAAATTGACAGTAAGGAACGAGGGGAGATGCCAAGTCCCAACGGAGAAGCCCAACACTTTGACCAAAGTACAAGTACTTGCATGGCCGAGGCACAGTTCCTCGAAGCGTGTCAAGCACGGAACAACGTGAGGCTCATCAATTCTGACAAAACCCCTGGGTGTGCATGCCAAAGATGGTAACATGAGATCTAGGCGACAAGTGGTGTGATTAGTTAGCGATGTCGGCAACTGAAACGGCACTCCAGGAGAACCGGGTCGCGCCAAGCGAAAATCAAAACTCCACGAAAAGAGACCCGGGGCAATGGAAGTGGCAAATCGTGGTGAGATTACTGTGCCGGAGATGGCGCTCGATACGGAGGCCTTAGTAGAATTAGTACAATCGCAGCCGACGCGATGGTAGTGAGATCAAGTCAGCCTGAGGTTCGAAGATGCATCGGGTAGTTGAGAGAAGGTTTGGGAGTAGAAAGGAAGTCGGGCAGCGAAGTCTTCTAGAACACGGCGACAGAATTTGGGGACTTAGTAAGATGGGAGGAAGAATCCCGTGTGGGCGGAAGACGACGGAAAGCGTAGGAGCGTGGCGCTCAGAGATGGCGCTGCTTGGCCCGGCGCAGAGCGATGGAAAGGTAGATATCTCGTGATATGTGACAAATCTGGTGTGACGGAAAGGAAATACGGTTTTGCGGGAGAGTTAGGGCGTCAGGTCCGAAAGAGTTTGTTAAGCGGCGGACGAATCGAATTTGTAGGGATTTGTGGCTTGTCAATGGTAATAAGCTCTTTGGTGCTGGTCGAATCGAGGATGATGTCACATCTGGTAAGCGAGGATCGTAGCGGATATTCAGGAGCAGACACGCAGAGCAGGTACCGAGTAGAAGTTGTGAGGTTGAAAGCGCAAGAGTCGAGGAATGTATCAAGATTATAGGGAAGAAAGGCCGGGGACGACGAGTTCCTAATGAGAATGGAAGGAGCAAGATGAACTGGAGCATCGTGGATTGACCATTTCGGGGTGTTGACCTATTTTGGATGAAGTGATGGTGGGGTGGAAGTCAAGTCAAGTCAAGGGTGAAATTGAGGTGAAAGTGAAGTGAAGGCGAAGGTGAAGAAGAGAGCTGCTATACTACAGATAAGTACTGACCGCCGTTTCTAGATGGGAAGCTGCGTGTCTCCTGCATACCTTCCTCCTGTACCATGTCGTCGCTCTTTCTCTGTGACTGGTTTCACGGCTAAATTCTGTGACCAGGGAGGAGAAGGAGCAACCAACAACCAGCAATGAGCAGGCACCAAGATCGAACAAAGGAAAGGAACATCCCTTCTCCATCTCTTCTCTAGCCCATCATCATCATCGTCCACTGCTGATGGTCCTGCTTTCATCACCATCACCATCGTCGTCATCGTCATCATTCCTCCGCGCGTATCCAGCCAGCCAGTAGCGGCATTTGTCACGTCTCCACTTCTTGTTCCGCTGGCAGATCTTCGCTCTTTTGCTCGTTTTCCCTCTCACACCCCGTTGTTTAGCAGTCCTGCGTACTGTAATTAGCATTTCTCTCTAAGCTGTTTTCTTTCAGAACTGCTTTTCCAAGTGTTGTTCCTACAAACGTCTAGAACTTACGAGTACAATACCTACAGTTCCGATGCCAAGCTCCCTCTTTTCGCCCTCCCTCTCCCTCCAGCTCTCTGTGGCGTGACTCTCTTGCGCACTCGTATCCTCTGCCTGCCTCTTCGCCCTGACCCGTCGCCCATTCGCCGTATCGAGCCAGAGTCGCATCTTGCCTCCCTCCGCTCGACCGCAAAACAGAAAAAATGTCTCCACCCTCCGAAGAAGATGGGCTTTGCGCTTTGCAGTCATTCGCCCGTCCCCAGTAACAGGCTAAACGGCAATAAATGCAACTCTTCGCTTCTCCGGGCCATTCAGATCGTTTCCAGAAATGGATGCATCAAGCCCCCCGTCATCGTCCCTAGTCCTAGCCCTCCCATCGCCCTGGTCGGCCTTGATGTGCGGTATTGGAAAGAGCTCTAACTCCTCCGTCCTCCGAAGACATACTCTGTTCGCAGGATGGACAAAGACGCAGGTGATCATTTCTCAACCTTGTCATCTGTCCACCCGCCCACCTGCCCACCCCCCTTCTCAACAGCTGTCTGTCCACTCGCGGCCGCCATCCACTGCTTTAGTCCTGTTTCAACCCGTTCCCAGTCTTCGCAAACCGTCGGTCCACCAGAAATTGATGCAATGCCGTGAGAAAACACAGACACGAGAAAAAACTTCCTCCCCGCCGATTCCGACACTGGCCATAGCGCTTGTAGTTCCCCTTCGCTCCATTCCCCAGAAGACCCTAGCTTTCTTGCCCCAGGGTGTGTTCTTGCACGCGCGATCCCAGAGCAGTACATAAACACTGGTAGATCCCCTCCTCATGACAAACACTTCTCTCCTGTTCCCCATCTCTCTCACCGGTTCTTTCAGTGTGCTAAACCAGTCCCGTTGTAAAGCGCATCCAACCGAGCAGCTACACCGCACTCTTACCTTGGATCTACTCCAGCCAGTCTACACCACTATTCACGATGGCCACCAACACCGAACACAACGCTGTCAACTCGGCAGTCAACGGCGATACCTCTACACATGCCCAGGACTTTGAGAAAGCCACTCGAGGCATGAGCCACGAAGAGAAGACCGCGGCTCAAAATGCGGCTCGCTTTGGATATGGCCCTTTGGCTCACATGCGAACAAACGCGGATGCTACCCTGCCTGGTGAGTTTATACGCCTCGCGACGCCCTTTTCAGAACACTGTGAGCTGATGGGTGTACAGCCTTTGGTGGTGAATTCCAACCCGGTCTCTACAGAGGCGTCGAGAAGCGAAAGTTTGCCAACCCGGCTCCTCTGGGCTTGTGCGCTTTCGCCTTGACCACCTTCGTCCTCAGCTTGATCAACTTGGGCACTCGAAACGTTAAAGTTCCTGCTATTGTCATTTCTCTCGCTTTTGGCTATGGTGGTCTCGTCCAGCTCCTCGCTGGCATGTGGTAGGTTTTGCTGGTTGATATTTTGATCGATCCTCGCTAACAGCAACCCCAAGGGAAATGGCCGTCGGCAACACTTTTGGTGCTACCGCTTTGTCCTCATACGGCGGGTTCTGGATCTCCTTTGCCATCATTCTCACCCCCGGCGGCTTTGAGATCGAATCTACAATCATTGAAAGCCAGAACGCCAAAGCCCTGACTGACTGTCTCGGCTTTTATCTGATGGTGAGTTAAAAGTGGTTTGCGATAGTATTTGCAGTTCGGGCGCAGTTTTCTAACTACGAGACTCTAGGGCTGGTTCATCTTCACCTTCATCCTCCTCATCTGCACTCTCAAGTCCACCGTGGCCTTCTTCCTCTTGTTCTTCACCCTCGACCTGGCCTTCTTGATGCTGGGATGCTCGTACCTGGTCCTCGAGAACGGCGAACCTCACGTTGGTCTGACCCGTGCCGGCGGTGCGTTTGGAATCCTTGCGGCATTCTTGGCCTGGTACAACGCCCTCGCCGGTATTGCCGATACCTCGAACAGCTTCTTCATCGTGCCCGTCCTCCACTTCCCGTGGTCTGAGAAGGGCCGAGCAGCTCGTCGCGAGGACAAGGCCGACAGCTCCGTGTAAGCGACCTACCTACACAAGGTGCTTGTCACCAAAAATCGTTACTACGATCGATTATTCCGCGCACATGATACACACGTTTGGGGGCTGCGGGGACGCGCGCGCAAGACCACTCGAAGAAATTTTTTATTGATGTCACAAGAGTACGAAAGCAAGCAAGCCGCCGGGGAGAGCAGGCATGATGAATCCAACGCTACTGACACTGGCTGGTGGTGGGCGCGGGGGTGGTGGTACTGGACTGTAACTGTACTGGACTGGGTAATCGGGCAAAGCAAAGTCACTACGTCTCTTTGGATATACCCCAATCTGCGTTTGCTTGGTTCTTGGGACAGTTCTGGTGCTGGCGAGACAATCAAAAATTGCTCTGTCGTTTTTGAGCTCAGATAACAAAACAATTAATGCCATGATTTCCTTGTTGAGAGTCACCGTTTTTCGTTTTACATGGTACCTGCAACGCCGAGAGTGACATACCTACGAGTATGGAATTGTGGTGTGGTGTGGTGTGGTGTGAATGTGGCTCGTCTCATTCCTCTCATTGCGGAGCTTTCCAGAAACGCAAAACGGTGGCTGCGAAAAGAGGTGCGACAAACGTCATGATGAACAACTGATGATCGTCTGATCTGATCTTCTGGTCCTCTGTTCTTCTGGGGAGGCTTGGAGAGGTTTCGAATGCAATGGGAAAGTTTGGTATCATTTCGCATTGTCGTCATGCCCAAGCCTTTGGCCGTTCGTTTCGAGAAGCCCTCGATGTGCTTGGTGCCAAGTGATTGGCGCCACCCGGCGCCTGGGACATCGAAGATCGCCGAGAATGGGTGATTGTGATGTGATGCAGAAGATTCTGCGGCGATATGGGAGAACGACGGAGGCTCTTGGGAAGTCCCATCTCATTCCCCAAGTCGATCCAAGGGCTTGGGCTTGGACAGACGGTGGCCATTTATCGACGGCCACAAACTTTGTGTAGGGACTTGTTATATTTCGGTGATTCGGTCCTTACTTCCATCGACGGGCTCGGCAGATGTAAGAACCTCCTAACCTCGCACACAATGTTCTTCGCCTAGCTACGCGACGTTGAGGTCTGACGTCTGAAACAGCTCCCATGGCAGTCACATTACCCTACCTTGTTCTTACCGAGAAAACACCCAAGAACCTACCAAGAGCGTACTTGTCCTTGTAGATATGGGGCTTTTTTCCTCTTTGCCATGCTGCCACGGTGCCATGCATGCCACGGCATGGCATAGATCATTTGCCATTTTCCATTTTCCATTTTCGATCTGTCATTGCCATTGCCATGGCGCGGGGAATGTCTTGGACATGCAGCGTGTAGTAAGTGGTATGTAGTACATATGGGGATTTAGCTCACCAGGCTGATCATTTTTTGGCGCACTTTCCCTCATCGCCTCGTTCCTTTTTCATCGGTATTTCGTTCCATGCTGTCTCTGCGGGTGTCTTTTCCATGTCTTTTCCAAGTATGTCATGTCATGTCATGATCATTGATCAACCATCTTATCTCTTCATCCCTACCTCTTCTTATACTGCCTGCTTACCTACTTGCTTAGGTAGGGATGGCGGGTTTGTCTTTTCTTTTTAATTCCATCCTCTCTCCCATTCAGTCCCATCGATGCCATCATAGTTCCTGGTATTGGCTTGGCACCTCATTAAAGAACTGTCCGATCTATTTGATCCACGATCACTTTTGTCCTTGATTTCCCCATTTGGCAAAAAGGCGGGGGAAAAGTCTTGGGGCCAGCAAGGGGGGGCAGGCTGACAGGGTATCTGGCTCGCTGGGGATGTATTCACATTTCTACTCGGGTCTGGTCCTGGACTCGGTACTCTTTCTTTGACCATCATGCCACCATTAACACGATATGTGAAAGATGAAGGACGAAGGCGAAGTTGCATCCGACCGGAGGCATCAGGTATCTAGTAGTAATGACCAAGAATGGACCCCCGGTCCTCGGACTCGGACTCGGATTCGCATATCCGCTTGGGTACAAAATGCCATCTGCATGTTTACCCTCCACCGTTATCTATATCCATGTTGATGCTCTTCAGGCCTCCCATCGTAAGTATATCGTGCAGAACCGACAGGAGCTAGAAACGACGACATCCGCTTCGACGGTCTAGCGTTAGTCTTCTCTAGAAATCAGGCAGAGCCTTACGCTGGGTTCGTCACGTTTGCGTATCCCTTTCCCTCCCCCTCTCTAACTTTTCCGGTCGTAATACTAAGGAACTCGGCTCCCCGGAGGCAAAAGAAAGCCCTGAGCCCGTTGCTGACCCTCTGGCCCGGCTAAATGGCCGAATCCTCCTTTCCATCGTTGAAGCGGGGTAGGCCATCTCGAGCAGATGCTGACACGAGCAACTGTACGCCCTGCGTGCGGAACGCGTGTCAGAACTCTGCAAAACTGATGCGGTACGACTCCCTCATCCGCCTCGAGAGCACCGTCATTGGTTGCGTTGGCGTTGTTCGACTCGCGGCCGATATGATGGGGTACAAGCTTCATAGGACCGCAAAAGCGCTCACGTAGCTCACACTGCTGTCCCTGACCGTCTCGGCGTCGCTGCTTCGTTCGTACCGCATGAACCTGAACCGTCTGTGGTCTCCCGGTTCACCACCCTTCTCCCGCTCCAGCCGCTCCACCTCCTCAAGGCCAGCCATGAATACTCCAATGGGATGCCGCCCACAGACGGTGTTGCCGGTTTCCTTGAGCACACGGAGGAATTCTGAATGTTCTCCCGAAGCTATGGCGCACATGCAAGCCCGGTCAGCGTGTGCGATGCTCTCAAATATCTGTGGCCCGTCTTTTGGTACCGGATTCCTCGAGCCGAGATTATGACCGAGTCCCAATGTGGGCATCTTGTGTACGTCTTCATTGACCGACTCTTTTGCCGTGGTGGACTCTCCTCGCACGCCATTGGGGAGTGTGAGCGGCGACAAAGCCGGGCTGGGTGCATCGGGGAGGTAGTACGTATAGCCAAACCGACTTCCCCAGTGACAGAAGTCCGACGAGATGACAAAGGCATTGCTTTCATCTGCGATGTATGGAGCCAACATTTTTCCCAGCGCAGCCTCCGTTGCAGCGTTCGTCCCTCCGACCATGATGGGGACGAGAGGGGGGTATGAGGACTCGGGCTTGCCGGGGTATAGCTTTTGGAGAAGACGGTGGATGTATGGCAGCTGCATCTCGGCGCTGTGTTCGGCCTCATCCACGGGCTGAGACATGGTGGTGAATTTGACAGTGCGGCCTTGGACGACCGCGGACAGAGAGGACAGTTGTTGGATAGTCTGATGATCGAGAGGGAGAGGCGTGCTGGAGAGAGGGGTCTCGTAGGCGTCCACGACGGGCAACGCGGCCGTGCTCAAGTGGTGGTGATGGGACGGGTGGAGGATGAAGATGCGTTTGGCCTTGGACAGGTCGAGGCATTTGTACGCCCATGCCGCACAGGGACCAGAGTATGCGTACCCTGCGTGGGGAGATATCACCACTCGGGCTCCCGGCACTGGCAAGCTGTCGACGCCAGGAAGCACGCCTGTCTCGGGCACTTGTGAGAGCCACTGGTCGAGTTGGGCTGCCAGTTGTCGGCCATTGCCAGAGTACCACGACCCGGCATGAGAGGCTTCTCTCACGGCCATCTTGGCAGGGGGAAACTAGAGAACTATGAGGCCAGAAGTAAAATGTCAACACCTTCAAGTTATCTGAGAGTTGTGGTTGGGCGAGTGGTCGATGATCTCTCACCTTGGATGAAGCCCAAGTTGTCCCAAGCGGGGTCACCAGGGCCATCCTCACCTCGTGGCTCAGACGTGTGCGGGGATCCTTGAGCGCCTCTGGTCTGCGTCAAGGTTCCATTCTGTACCTCGTAATCAAACGCAACGCCCTTCGCGCCCTGAATTGTTCAATTGCCTCATCATAATATTCTGCCAATGTGCATTCCCTCAGTGTATCAATTTTGTTGTATCTCTACCTCTACTTGATAGAAAGAGCCATTCCATCTGCAAAACCCAGTCCTCGTCTCTATTATTGGAGCCCTGAAGCTCTCACCAGCCACCCCCATTTCTTCGCGCGCTTGAGACGCGTATAGTGGCTGTTCGCTCGTCTCACGCGTCACTCCTCATAAAACTCTCTACCGGGAACCTCGTTCTTACAACCACCATCTCCCTAGTCGTGTACTCGGTACTGCAACAGAAACTTCAGCAAACATGAGCAAACGAAAGGCCTCCACCTTTGAGGAGGACATGTACAATTTTCGACCATCCACCATGATTCCCTCCACGCCCTCGACGACGTCGTCCCCTCTGTCCTCCACCAGCACGATCTCATCCAACAGCGACGCGAACCCTTACGACTTCCTCAGAGTCAAGGCCGTGCCTTATCTCAACAGCCGGACGCGCAAGAGGTATCGCGACGATCGGCCAGACGAGGAGACCATCCACGAGAACACCCTGAAGAAACTGTACGAGGCCCAACGGCTGCATCTCGACGAGGCGATGCCCATGTCGGACGTGATTCCGTTTGGTGAAGACGGCCTGCCCGTGGACGAAGCCGACGCCGAGATGACGGACGAGGTCCCCGAGGCGGAGATACCGCACGCCGCGCAATCGAACCAGACTACGATCGATGCCTTTTTCGGTGGTGGGCGAGGAGGCGTTGCACAATCTCGGGCAAACACAGTCGAACTGCGGCCGAACCCTTTCGCCTCGATTTTGAGCGCTTCCAGCAGACCGCGACAGCAGATCCAGAGGACCTGCTCTGACTACTGGAACAATCTGACTCTGCAGTCTGTCAGTGACTCCGCCACTACCGCCCGATGACGATTCGACCTTGGTTCCATGACCCAAAAAAAACCGAAGACCGCTTCGCTGCGTGAGCAGTACGCAGCCAGGCTATGGAAAACGAGACACGGCAAAATCTACGGACAAAGATCTACGGAACATAAGGAGAGAGGGCTCTTCGTGGAATGTCTGTGCCGACCAGTAGTCCGAGGATGAAACCACTGATGCGGTCCTGGAAAGATAAGGGTAAAACGGAGTCACCGCCAGGTTTGAAGCAAGCTCGGCATCCATGCCAACACCTCCCGCCTTCCGCTTTGCATACAGATTCCAGCGTAGGAGTTGTTGGTCTATTGTGGGCATCAAAAGTTTGGCCAAAAAAAAAAGGCGTGAGCGTGGATGCATTTCGAAGGTCAACATACCGCAGGACTGGGCTGCTTTGGTACATCAACAGATCGTCTACTGGTTTGGTGGGCTGAATGCTAGCGTGTAACTACTCCTCTTCAAGCTAACAAGTCTCAATTGACTTCATCTACTTGCCTCCGACCAACTACTATTGCGGGAGACAATGCCGCAATTGACAGACATTCGTTCCCGCGGACGACTACCCATGTGACTACACAACCGATTCGTTCTTGATTGATTTGTTTCGATATGACTATCACCATGGACGAAGAGAAACTGAGCGGCCACTGAAGCAGATAGATGGATTACTCATAGGTACATAAGATCCATGTCAAACGATGTGATATGATATTGACTTTGGATGTCCACTTACTATGACGCCACCGAGCGTGCCTTTACCATAAAAGAAAATCAATCCCATTGTCACGTCGTTTCCCTTCCCATTATCCATGCAACAGAGAATTCAAGCCCGATGTCGGGGTAGCGCAGAAGGGACGAGTACCCTTAATGCAGCAAGCCATGTATCATATGTCCTTTGTGCGCCCATACCTGAGTCCGTGTTCTCCAATGTAAGCCCGAATTTTGTCGAGAATTTATGCATCGTATCATCATGAGTGCTGGTGGATGTTTGTGCTGCGGCCAAAATGTGTACGTCCACGTCCATGTTGTGGTTGTAAATCATGCCCCGGTCGTCATTTTCGTGAATTGATGATGGGCCACCCCTGGTCAGATCAACCCATCCATCGACTTTGTTGACCCGCCTTCGTCGATAGCGGGTTTACAGGTGCAAAGCTAGTGCTTTGTCCACTAAATCTCCTCCGTACCAATATGCTAACTTCATCTCCTGTCCTGTGCTCCGCTGTGTAATGCCTCAACAGTCGACAGACCAGTCTCCCGAGTCTCCCGAAATCTGCCCTTGCAGAGGGACGGCCGAGCAGTCAATGTTCAAGATCCCGAGTTGACTCTAGACCTATTTCTTCGCCTGGATGGCCTTGTCACTTTGGATCTTCAAGGAGATATCTCGTCAGATGGTTCTCCATTGACCACTCGAAAAGGTGCGCTTCGAGCCGGCTCATCCTCTGCGCGTCTGCTGGCGCGATACCGTTCCATCCGTTCATCAAACATGCTGTTGAGCCGATGCTGATACGTCCGGTCCATTGTGTCCAGCGCCAGCTTGACCTTGTCATACGTTTCTCTTGCCTTCTCCCTTGCTAATTTCGTCTTCTCGCATCTCCTGATCAAAGGGGTGAGATCCACAGGTTCCCCGCGAAGTTGAGCCTCAAGCAGTGCAGAATTGGCGGCGATATCCTCGTGGTTCGCACGATTGCAGTCGGACGAAGCCACGCGACTTTGATTTCGCAATTCATCACTTTGGCGCAGTCGCTCTTCTCGTAACTGGAGGACGGCACTCCTGGTCTCGGGACTCAGTGCATCAGGGAGCGCCAAAAAGGATCGGGCTGGTCTGTAACTGGCATAATACACCGAACCTCCTCCAAGTCGTCGCATTCTTGAACGCTCTGGCTTTGCACTAACGTTGAGCTCAATCTTGGCGTCTCCTTTCAACGATTCTGGTGCCTTAAACTCGACACCCTCATCCCACGACTTGTCAGTGACCGGTGGAACAACGTTGTTCAACATGCGTCTCGCATCGATGGTTCTACGACACTTCATACAAGCTTTGCTCTTGGAGTATGTCACTGAATTAACCCAGGCGGACAGACAGGTCGCATGAATGGGCGTATTACAACAGGTAATGACGGCCATGAAATGATCCTGCTCAAACTCGAGCTGGCAGGCTGGACATTCCTTCTTGTGGGGTTCCAACGCTTCGATATCCTCTGTGGTGGCGCGAGTGAGGATCAACATGATAGGCGGTTTCTGCGAGTCGGCGGCCGAGCTTGGTGGTCCCTGTCCGGACGATCCAGACGTAGTTGCGACTGACGGTGGGGGAAAGGCAGCAGACTGAGGCCAGTCCAGTTGATAGCCGAAGCTGTTGGCCGTTACATTCGTTGACGATTCCACCGAATGACCAGGTGGTTCTCGCAAGCGCTCGTCCGACTCTCTGTGGTGATGGAAAATAGACTCTTCCAGTGGTCGAACAAGAGCGAATTCTAAATCCGGCGAAAGAGCAGGTTGGTACACAAAACTTGACATGTTAACGGGTCGTTGATGCTGGCCTGTAGGGGCAAGGTTCTGATAGGCGAAAGGAGGGTCGACACCACGTAAGTCTTGGGCAAAGCCGGAGCCTGAAGCAAGGTACTCGAGGGCAGCATCTTCCTCCATAAAAACGCCGGGTTGCATCAAGCGTGGGATCTCTTGGAGAGAAGTTGCGTGCAGGTCCCTCGAGGATGGAACTGACGTAGGCACAGAATTGCGGGGTGGAAGTGGTGAATATTCGGCCATCTGTCTGCGAGCGCTTCTCTGGAATTCGATCCTGCGACGCTTGTACTTATAGTCCTCGGGAGAGGTAACTTCTCTGTCAGAGCGAGCTGGAGGTCCGGATGGGTTGTAGCCGTCCCGATGGGGCGGAGACGACATCTGGGGGTGGAAGGACTCCATGCACGGTTGTCAAGCGTCGAATATGGTGGCCAGGTAGCTGTGTCTAAGCAGGCAGGTGAGGATTTTTCCGACAAGCCTCAGCAACTCGGAGAAGTGTAGAAATTAGTCTCTGTCGCAAAGATGGATAGCGGCTGCTTCAACTTTGGTTGACCACGGATTACGCAGCAAGTATCGGTAGGGGCCGAAGGCTGCTATAGCGATCACTGCAGATCCGGTGAACGGACGGCGTGAAGTACGTCTTTAGTACTAGCTAAACGGCGGAACGTAAGACGTTGAGAGAATGTGATGTTGGAAGCATGTAATGGTTGAAAGAGGTGAAGGTAGTGAAAGTCGTGGGAGAAGTGTGGTGAAAGTAAGGTTGTAACAGAATCTGGATGGTCATGCGAGGGGGAGAGGACAGAATCCCCTCAGGTGTCCAGTCTTTGGTCTGTAGCGAGGGACCCTTGACCTGCCGCACCTGCAAGTTGGACGTCGGGGATCGGGGAGGGCAGAATGAACCGAGTATTTGCTGAAATATCGCCCGGAGACTTGTGAGTGTGGAGAGAGAGAGAGAGCGAGTGGAGGAATCAGGTTGAAAGCCAGGTACGAGTAGGTTTCAGCTTTGGCCGAGGTGTCTTATCTTGGTCTCGTGGTCTGTGCTTTAGGAGCACCCAGTGACAAGCCGATATTCTAGGTAAGGAAATCGATGACGCTGGTCAACGTTGTAGGAGAAGGCGAGTGGCTCGGGGGTGATTGGTCAGTGTGTGTAGCATCGGGAGGCTGGATTTCGGAGGTGGAAGGGGTGAAGGATTGAGAGGAAGCTGATTATGGTGAAGTGGAGGAAGAGGAGCAGGTCCTCAGGAGTCAATCCGTGGCGGCGGTGAGGGTGAGGGTGACAGTGACAGTGACAGTGACAGATACAGTGGGCAGTCCTTGCAGGAGTAGCAGTAGCAAGGAGGCAGCGGTGGCGCCGCAACAGCAGCAGCAGTTTCCTACTTCTCAATTCCTGCTTGTTTCGGACTGTCAGCTTCAATCCTGGCCACCACCACTGGGCACCTGACAGGTACGCCTCCAGTCTCAACCTTGTCACCCACCGTGTGTTGTCCTCAGCCGTCCTTCCGAGCAGGTCCAGCCCCTCAGGTGACGAAACGAGATGAGAGCCAGAGGGTCCTCTGAACGGAACTACGGCAACAACTTGACAAAGAAAAGGGACATATGGGAAAAGGGTCAAGTAGAGAGCAAGATGAAGCTGGCGGTTACGAGGAGAAGCAGAGTCGACTTCATTTATTCGCTTCTGTCCTTGTATTTCTGCAGCATGCAATTCGGCCCAATGTCAGGCGTATTCAAGGGCAAATTTGCGCTGGTTTGCCACGACAGCCTATTGCCTTGCGACCCTCATGCTTGTCGACGTGGGTGGCCCTGCGAACCATCAAGACAAATCTTTTGTGATTGAGCGCCATCCCCTTAGACAAGATGTACCCAACGTTACCAGCCCAGCCTGCCTGATACCATTACTGATCATAGTCCGAAGGTGAGCGGGAAACAAAAGTCGATCATTTTCGGACAAACAGACTTGTGAGACTGGAACTTGAGGTCGCCTCGCTGACAGCCGCATTTCTGCCTTGGTTGGAAAGGCGCCGCGCCGTTCAAGGACTCCGAAGGGTACAACCGTGGAGCAACATGTGAAACTCTATGGTGTAAAGTGGAGGGGGTTGAGGATCGGCTATGGTGACACTTGGGTATCTTGACACGAGTCCAGGAAAGAAAGGAAAGTCATGATCAAGTCGATAAAGGCAAACAGGGTCAACTGAGATACTGCATATTATTACTGGGTAAGTCAACGTTGGCATGACTATGACCATGACCACCTTCTCACCCGTTGTTGCCGTATCTGCCCAAAAATAGCCCGTCATTTGATTTGGAGGTGCGCAACTCCTCCCCTGCCGCTCCTTGCCTCCCAATCTGCTAGAGACATGGTGCATCAACAATCTTTCTGTTCTTCCCTTTGTCTGTGCACCAGTCTAGAATTTTACTGCAACAGCATGGTCCCATTTCGCCAATCTTGACAGTGGCCTCGCTAACACCATGAGGTCGCTGTCACATATCAACGCCTTTTCCGCAACGATTTCCTTGGGTCGATCCATAGAATGGGCTGGCTCGCAGCTGGGTGCTGGACTCTTATAGCAGGATACGCTCTCTACCGAATTCTTGTTAAACAGAATGTACAAGAGGTTGTGAAATTACCCGCACAATCCCACCCTGCATCAGACTTGGTCCCTCTGGCCACAAAGATAGAAGAACCCCAGCCAGCATCGGATATTCTTGACGAGGAAAAGTCGGATCCTGCACGAGCCCCTCGCATTTCGCCTCCTCACTTGGAAATCTCTCAGCCAGGAGACAGCGAACCACCTGGGAAGATGGCGGACGAAATGATACCCAAGACCGAGAGGATGCTGCCTCCTCCATCTCTACCCAAACCCGCTCGACCAACAAGCTCACCTCGTCTGAACCCTCCGAATGTCAATACGATACCTACGCCACCTCGACCTGGCAATGGCTTTATTCGACCTCCTCCCTCCGCGGCGGCCTCGTTACGTGTCCCTCCACTCAAACCTCTTCCGAATGCCTCGCTCGCCCCAACTTCCTCCATCATGCCACCTGGCAAGCAAGTTTCACGCAAAGTGATCTTGGAACCCGGGCACTCTCCCTTGGACTGGGCGGCGCTGACGGCGAATCCGGACAGCCACCTGCGAGGAAAAGATGCGCCCGGTGAAAACCTGATTAGGGTCACGTCAGCACAACTAAAGCGGCAGAATGGAAGAAAAGGAAGAGATGCCTGGACGGTGTACCAAGGCAAAGTGTACAATATCACGCCATATATCCCGTTCCATCCTGGTGGCGCAGGGGAGATCATGAGGGGCGCGGGAAAGGATTCTGTCAAGTTGTTCATGGAGGTCCATCCTTGGGTGAATTGGGACGCCATGCTAAGTGAGTGTCTTGTTGGAATACTTGTCAGCGAAGGCGAGGAAACGAGTGTCAATGCTGGAGGTCTGGACGACATGGATTGATGACACCTATCTCAAGCATTCGAGACTTTGGGGCCGAATCAGCCTGGTCTTGTAAGGACAGAGCGGAGGGTTATAACAAGGGTTTTCATGGCACAGTCCACGACATAGAATGGTCCTGTGGAGGTGTCCCTGCTCACACAAGACCTCTACTTTTACGACTACTCCAGCAGAGTCAACGGAGCCTCACCTGATAGATACAGCATGTTTTATGATACCCCCCGACTGCGATGGAACTTATCGAGGCAATGAGTGATGTTGAGGTTTTTTCTAAGTGTATCCATGTTCTTGATCCATCGACGTGAACATCATTTTCTTCTCTGAAACGGCGCTTTTGTTGCTGGTGCCAGTTTTCATGAATGTGGTTATAGGGAGAGGCCAAGTCCACGAGCTCTGCTAGTGATCACTCGAGCTTTCCAGAAGAGCGACGGGTCTCTCTAAGGCCTTATTGAGGAGGCCTTGTGACAGTCCTCAGTTGAGCACGAGAACCCACGGACAATGGCGGGAAGGTTGTGTAGACAATCCCGCAACACCGGAGACTCATATCCTTGAGGCGATCAACAAGCCTCATTTCTGAGGAGTGCTCTTTTGGAAGTTGGAGACACACACTTCCGCCTCAAAGACAGAGGACAGTTGCATCTTTCGTACTTCCCCTTTCCTGTCCGCCCTTGTTTTTCCGGGTTGGATCACAACTCGTCCTTCTTGACGCCTTTGATACCCATCAGTTCGGTCTCAAAGACCAGCACGCTACCACCCGGAATTGGTCCGACACTCCTCTCGCCATATCCCATCTCGGGTGGGATGGTCAGCTTCCTCTTCTCCCCGATGCACATGTCGAGTAGGCCCTCGTCCCATCTACAAGATAAGTCCAGACACAGTCAGTCAGTCAGTCAGTCAATCACTCAGCCAGTTCACGAGCTTCAACCCCCCTCCCTCTTTTGCCACAAATAAGAGAGCCTGGCACAACTCACCCCTTGATAACCCTCCCCGCGCCCAGCTCAAAGCTCAACGGCGACCCTCGCGAGTACGACGAGTCAAACTCCTTGCCCGTGCTCTGCAACGTGCCCCGGTAGTGCACGTCGATCTTGTCCCCCTTGTGCGTCTTTCTCGTACATTCAATGTCCGGCGTCTGGTACTCGATCTCGAGACCGCTGGAGGAGACGAGGTGGGCCAGGGCAAACGCCGCGGCGAGGAGGGAGGAGAGGAGCCTCATTCTGATGGATGTTTTCTGGCCCGTGGATGTGGGAAATGTGGTGACGGAGGGAGAGGGCTTGTGTGTTTTCTTTGTTAGGGTGTGGTGCGTTTGGTGGTCCTGCAAGGTACAAAGCAAGACAAGGTGTTTGTTCGATTGGGAGTTGGAATAGACAGGTTCTCCTTAGAGGTGACGAATGGTCTGTGGCGGGGCTGCAGGGCTGCAGTGCTGCGGAGAACACAATAGTTTCAACCTCCCATTCCTCAAGACCTCTACGGCCTCCAAGGTTATGCTACGACTGCGAACATACTAATCAGCAGAACAGGACTGTTGCATTGATCCAGGCTCACTCGGCTAGTGATGAACAACAATGCACTCAGATATTCATTGTCGTCCGGGCTTTGTTCAAGATCGACATCTCCTCCAGTGGTCCTTGTACAGAAATACATGCCCATTGTTTAACACGCTCAAGTTTCCTACCAAGTCTGGCTGAAATATATCTCTGAAAAAACATGAACTGGAGGACTCGTGACTCGACAAGGGATCTAACACTCAGGAGTCAATCCGTAACAAACCCTTCTCGAGGCAGAAGAAGACGCCGGGTCGCATCGCAGAGTTGAATGACTACGAGTACACCGTGTACACCTGCACCTCTCTACCTTTGCCTTTCTTTTCTTTTCCATCGTGTTTTCTATGGCGTGGCCCATAAAGTCACTGTTGCTTGCAGAACTCTGCAAGATCTCAGAAAGACGATGACTTGTTGCGCATGAATGGTGCCAGTGGCATCGTTTACCTAATGTGTATCGCTTCACTCCTGATGGGTGCCTGATACACCCCATCGTGGGAGTGATCGGCCTGAGGCCCTGAGCTGGCCCTTGTGAGCTGGGCTTCTCTCTGCACTCACTTGTGACTCTTTCTCCTTTTCTCGTCTCTCTGCTTGTCTTGTCAGGACAGGTCCTGGTCACACACATCGTACACTCAATCATCAAGCTTGACTTACTCGCTGCCCTTCTCTTTTCTATTGTCTCCCTCATCCAACTTTGGGTGGACCATAGCCTCAAAGACCTTGTTGGAGGAACATGATTACTACCAGCCCGGCATCTACTTGTCAATGGTTCATGCCACAGCGGGTGTCAAACTTCGCCAACGCGGTTTCGAAGTGAACTATCGCACTGTGTCGTTCCTCGACATGAAGTTTCCTGGCACCTTCTATGTCATCAAAGCTCACCTGAGTGTACCGGGTACTATTGTGTGCATTAGAGGCCGCCGTGTTCATCTCCACTCACAGTCTGTCCGTTTCCATTGCCGATGTTGCTGTTGTTGACGCCCGTCGGTGCCGCAATGCTGTTAGACCGAGAAGCAGGGTTCTTGCTACTGACGGCTCCCTTCTGCACAACAGCGACAGCGACAGAGCCAGTGGCATGCTTTCTTCTCCGGCCCCGAGACGCGGTCGCTGCTCGAATTGCAACGCTTTGAGCCCGTCTTTCAGCCAGGAGCGTCTGCACTCGAAGATGACGTTTTACCTCCTCTGCCTTCTTGCGGGCAATCTTCTCCGCCTCGGCCTGCGCGATTCTCTCTGCTCGGCCCGTCTCCGAAGCTGTCTTCAGGCGCGCTTCTTCGACTCTCTCAATCTCGGCGCGCCGATCCTTGTCCACGCTGGAAGGCGACTTCGGATGACTCTGGGCGTCCACCTCGTCGAGCGGGCCGAAGAACTTGACGCCGCTCATGTCTATGGACGGCGTGAAACCCTGCGTGAGAACCCTGCCGTGCTTGAGTGCCGTTGCCTTGGCTTTGGCGAATGCCTCGGCCTTTGCATGTGTGAAGGGTTTAGCGGAATGAGGGAAGAGACTTTGGTTTTGGCTTGCAGAGTGCTTGTTCATCTTGACAATGGCCGGGTGGGTGACTTACTTGGCTTGGTAGGACTCGGGAATAAAGAACGAAGAAACAAGGGAAAGACAAAGAAGTGAGCTGTGGTGAGATGTCAATGGTGGTGAGACTTGGGATTGATGGAAGCTCGAGAGGGACAGGGAGACGAGGAAATAAATTTAAGGACGAGAATGAGATGAGGAAAGCTGCTTACACTGGCGAATAATCGTAGGCAGTGCATTTCACAGAGGTAGTCGTTACTGTTGTCACGGGAAATAATCCTTGGAGGCGACAGGATTACGGTGTGACAGGGCAGGGCAGGGCAGGCAAGACAAGGCAGTGGTGAAGACAATGTATCTCCATTTGACAGTTTCTATCTACTACCTGTTCCTTCACTTCACTTTACTTCACTTCCTTCTCATAGAATAGGTGATCACCTAGGTATCTTCACCTAACAGCCTTCGTAATGACCATCCATCTACTGTAGATTGTCCACATGATCCTTCCCATCGCTAACATCCTCCTCCATATCCATCCTCTTGTTCACTGACGACAGTGAATGGGGTTGTTGGTTGGGCTATAGCTCTGTTTTGGCCTACTCCCACCACGCGAACGTTGCAAGCACGAACGCCGATTTGTCCTTGACAAGCAGGCAAACAATTCTGTTCCAAGTGCTTGCTTCCTTGGACCGGTGTGTCTCTCTGCTGACTGTCGTTCAAGATGTGGGTTCTTGTTGGGTAACGGGTGTTTGGTTGTTGAGGTTGAGGTGGAGGTCTAGGTCTGCTTGAGGGTTGTGAGAACCGGAAGAGTGGAAGAGATGACTTTGGTGATTGTGGTGTATGTCGGCGGTGTTGAGCTTCTGGGTTGCTTCCATGGTGTTGTTATGGAAGTCTCTCTGGAGGGTGGCGGGAGACAGCATTGGTGATGACTGTTGTTGCTGTTGCTGTTGCTGTTGCTGTTGCTGCTGTTACGGCTGGTTCTTGCCACTTCCTTCAATTCTCACTGTTCCTAGTTGAACAGCGCGTCGATCTCCTTTTGTCTCTGCTTCTCTGCTCTGCCTTTCTCAAACAGCTCCAGCAGCTCCTTTGAGGCGGAGTTGTCGATCGCTCGCGGAGCGATGAGAGTCTTAGGCGCCGCCATGATTTTGGTGACGGTTATTCGCTTGTAGCCACGAGCAGACGGGACGGTGTAGATGTCCTTGTGGGGACGCATGCCTGGAGAAGGCTTGACAAGGTCGTAGAGTATCTCTTTGTTGCCGAGAGCGTTGAGTTTGGCGGCTCCAATGGCGACAAGTGGGCTTCTTTTCTGAGGCTTGTGAAAGAGGGACGCCTTTTCACGTCGACGCAGCGGCGTGGGCTTGACGACTTTGGTTGGCTTTGGGGATGCCACTTGCTTTGAGGTGGCGGCTTGGTTGGACTTGTGTTGGGCGGTGTCCAGCTCCAACTTCTGGTTCTTGTTGGACGATTGAGAGGTGCTGGGAGTCGAAGTTGTGGCGGCCATGGTGATTAATGGTGATCAGGTGTTGTATCTTGGAGGTGTTCTGGGTATATGTGAGGTTGACTGCTGGTGACCGAGCAGTAGACGTCGAGGCTGTTGTGTTGCTTTTGTTGTAGCTGGTGTTGAGTCTGGATGTTGGTCGAGCTGTCGAGTCCAGTGTACAGAGTGTATGCAGATGGTATAGGAGAGACACAGGTGGAGGGAGCAAGGACGGGGTATTTGTATTTTTTCATAGAACAACCAGAGAGAAATCGCTCTCACCGTCAAGTTTGGTTCTGCAAAGAACAATATCTGGTTCCAATTCATCACAATAGGTCTGGCCAATACCATTGTTCAGTTCCGTTGGGAGGCTGAATGAGCCCTGCCAATAGCCCCAAGGGGCAGCAGAATGGAAATTCTATTCAAGCATTCAGCTGGTTCACTGTCACCTCACCTGTTCACTCTTCACTATTCAAATTAAATGCAGTGGCTGGGAACAATACACTGAGAAATCAACCTCACTTGTATCGGTCCAGTGACCTAGCGATGGGCCAGGCGACGTTGGTCCTCTGGCTCTGAAGGAATAGAGTTCAAAGGTCGTCAATTAGCCAATGACCATACCATGATTGAATGGATCAACGAGGACCTCCTGAGTCTGATGTGTTCTCACAAGGTCCTTTGCAGCACGTGCTCGAGAAGTGGATCGAAAAGCAGTGCTTCGTCGCAGTTCTCGAGAAAGACGCTAAATTTCATTCAGGCGCCTGAACCAAATGCTCTTTTTGTGGTTGAACCAAACTCCAGGACGCGGGCAACAATATTCAGGGTGGGCACACTCATGCTGTTCTCTGATTCGCCAGGAGCGTCGATGTGAGCCTCGTAGCTCCCAATGTATCCATGGTTGATGAGAAACATTTTCCCATCGGTCGCCCACAGAACGCAAAATGTGCCGCTAATGGAGGGCAGAGCTGCATGTGCTCACGCCTCGTGTGAATCGACTGCAGTTGTTCTGGTGGGGCTGCTCTACTGCGCACGGACACAACTACCCAACTTCAGGAGGTTGATCCGGTTTCGAAGAGCATCTTCAAGAGAAATTTCAGCAGAACGTACGGCCCAACAGTTTTCGTAGCTCTTTCTGGTAGGATTTGACGGCGCTGAAGGTTGAGGACTTGAGGACCTGAGGACTGAGGAATTGGCATGAAGTTCCAACAAGGTCTCACTGCAATGACGATCACATGATTTCGCGACTGCCAAGATTATCGCGCTTCTGGCTTCGACGCGTCTTCGTCTGTCTGCACAATTCAGCGCAGAATCCATGTCAATCGGCGACCTGCATGAGAGATGCAGCTCCTCGTAGGGCTCAATGCCTCTCAGAGAGCTGCAGTGACCTCGCCAGCATCAGTCCTCCAAGTCCTGGCTCCCCCCGGGTCCGGCAAAACAAAGACGTTGACGTGTCGTGTCGCGTATCTTATTGCCCACTACGGCCACAACCCTCAAAATGTCATCTGTTGCACGTTCACCATCAAAGCCGCACGAGAAATGCGGGAAAGGCTGAGAGACCTTGTCGGGTGCGAACTCGAGTCAAAGCTGGTTCTCGGGACTATCCACTCCATCTGTCGACGTTACCTAGTCGCATACGGCCATCTGATTGGAATACCCAAGGGCTTTGGGATTGCCGACAGTTCGGACAGCAATAGCATAATCAAGCGCATCCTCAAACGTCTCAAGCTGTCAATAGAACCCAAAAATGCAAGAGGCAGAATTTCTAGTCATAAGGCCAAAGGGAAAACATTGCAAGACCTGCCCAAGAAACCACCCAAGGAACTCAAGGAACAAGAGTTCATAACCATCTTCCACGAGTATGAAGCAGCATTAGCAACATCCAAAATGCTGGACTATGACGACCTGCTCTTACGATGTGTTGATCTTCTGCGAGCGTATCCGGCCTGCGTGTCCAACATCGAAGCGTTGTTGATTGACGAGTTTCAAGACACCAACATTGTACAGTTCGAATTGATGAAATTGCTGGCGTCGGCAAACAGAAAGATAACCATTGTTGGTGATCCAGACCAGAGCATTTATGGATTTCGATCTGCGGAGATTGAGAATTTACGACGAATGAAAGTCTTTTACCCGGAGACAGTGGTCATCAATCTAGAGGAAAATTATCGTTCTGCTTCGGCCGTCCTGAAACTTGCCCAGGATGTCATTGAACAAGACAGCGACCGTCCGCAGAAGAAAATGAAAGCGACTCACTGTCATGGAAGTCAGCCAGTGCTTCGGCGTCTACCCAATCCAAATGAGGAGGCCTTGTGGATTGCTAGCGAGATCAAGAGGACGATGACCATGACTGGTGGTCTACTTTTGCACTCTGATATTGCCATCCTCCTCCGATCAGCGTATCTTTCGTTGCTTATCGAACGAGCGCTGGCAAACGCTGGCATTCCCTACCGGATGGTTGGTGGCCAACGCTTCTTTGACCGCGTGGAAATTCGAATCATCATCGACTACCTCCGCACAATCAGCCATCCTGACAACAATCAGGCTTTCACTGCCATTATAAACACGCCGGCACGCAAGATTGGAGATACCTCAGTTGCTGAGATGATCAAGCTCGCGGAAGAACATAAGCTCTCACTCTGGGCTGTAGTGCAGAAGGTTCTCACAGGAGATTTAACACCCGAGAAGAGGCTTTCGAAGCCTGCAGAGCAGGAGCTGGGCCGCCTGGTGAACCTCATTAGAACCGGCCGACAAAAGCTGAATACCGTCCATCCTGCCGCTACTGTTCCCTCGAAGCTGATTGATTTTGTCGTGGAATCTTTGGATTTTGAGAACTATTTGAAGAAGAAATACAAGGACGACCACGAGGACCGACTTGAGAACGTCAAAGAACTCATCACGCATGCCTCTGAAGTTCTGCTACAGAGTGCCACTGAAGAACCTCTTGCGACTGTTGAAGGTGTGGAACAGCAGGTCTCTAACGGGGGCCAGGAAGTTCTTGCTCAATTTCTGGCAAATATTGTGCTCTCAACTGATGTTGAGAATACCGAGGAAGGAAAGGACAAGCCTCGTGTCACCATTTCAACTATTCACTCAGCAAAAGGTCTGGAGTGGCCCGTCGTATTCATCCCAGCTGTCTATGACGGTTCCATTCCTCATTCTCGAGCCGAGAACACCGATGAGGAACGTCGACTACTGTATGTCGCCATGACACGAGCTCAGGCTCTTCTCACCATGACTTTTCCCGTGATGCAATCCCGGGATCAAGCCGAATCCGTTCTCTCCCAGTTTCTCCCTCTCAAAGTCCAACGTCATCTCTCTCAAGTCGGTCCACTGTTCCACGATCGAGTGATTGAGGACATTGCAAGCATTCTTCGGCGGCCTATGCCATCCCAGGAAGACTTAGCAAAGAATTTGGAGGGCATAAAGGGCGAAGAAAGCCCAGCCGATGACATTTGGCCTTCCGATGGGAGCCGCCGACCCACGCCGATGCTTCCTGGCGCCACAGATGGCACTACAGAGTTTGGGAGGCCATTGGCAGAGGTCCTTGCTGCCCAAAAGCAACAATCTCGGGGTTACTCGAGTTATGCCAGACCAAACGCTATCTCTGGTTCTGCTGGCTCAGGATTGGTAACCACTATGGCCAATGTCGATGCGCTCTCTACATCAAACATGTCTCTTGGCTTCACCACTGCTAGCTATCAGCTAAAAACTAGTGTCTCGAGCCTCCGGAGGGCTTCGTCTGATGTTGTCCCACCTGCGAAGAAGCCAAAACTTTCAAAATCCCTTTCAGGGCAGGGCACTATCGGAAGCTTCTTTTCGAAGCCTGCTTCCCAAGCATCTCAGCAGCCGGGATTTTCGACGGTGGGATCGCACGTTGGGCCCGTGCATCAAAGTAGATCCATGGACGGTGGAGGCACGTTTTCTGATCAAGGCTGTGAGGGCCGCGATCTTGCCAAGCGCGGCATCCCTGAGGAGTTGTCTTCGCACAGACTAAATTTCCGTAACGGCATAGTTCAAGGACGTCCTACACCTCTGAAGGAAGCACGCGCAGAATCTAAGAATCGGTATGCCGGCCTTTACAGCTCATCACCTCCTCAATCCCCCGTACAAAAGCGGGAATCCCATGTTCCAGATGCTGCTGCTGGTGAGAATCAAAATTGGAAGGATGCAGCGGCCCCAAAGACATTAACGAATTACTCCCTCGCCAAGCCGGCCAGTACTTTGCACAAGACCACCATGTCTTCGATCGGCGGTGGTGGTTCACCAAGCTTTTCTTCAGGAGCTGTGAGGAAGACACTTGGGGTTAGACGTACCATGAATGGGTGGGAGAATAGGAAGAATCGGTGATTGAACCTGCGGTCGACGGCTGAATAGGTGCCGCCCTCTTGTTTGTCTGTTATTGGCTCTTACATGACCTTGAACGATATCACGATGTTATGATGGAGTGGACCAATTGGTTGGAGAAGTCGAGGGGACTCATGTCGGTCTACGGCGTCCAGAGATACGGATAGAGGATCAGGCAGAGACAGCAAGGGCAAGACTCGAGTAGAACTGTAACGATAGTTGTTGTACATGTAATGGATATGGGAAGACACTACATCAAAGGACTGATTGAACGCTCATGGATCTTTGCTGCTTCTACGAGTATTTCTGTCGCCCTGTCGGACATTTTGATATCTTGTGGGTAGCCGAAAAGGACAACGTGAATGCATGACCTCACTAAAGGAGACAGTCATTCATTCGGGTAGACACAGTATGTAGATATGTACATATGTAGAAAGAGGCATAGATAGATGAATATTGACTGTGAGAAAAGAGGTAGAGAGGGCAGAAAAAAGGCTTGTTTCCGAGATACAAGATATATACCGAGTATATACCTAGTATATATATCCAAATCACGGGGGAAATAGATAGATGAATATTATGCAATCTTCTCCCTCAACTTCATCCTTTCAACGTTGTCACGGCATCGGTCGGTCTATCATCTCGAATCATTGACCAAAGTTCCATCCTGAAAGCCTCACTGTCTGTCTGTCTCTTACCCACTCACTCACTGCCTTCTCCACAATCTCGCTGATCGCAAAACACCGTCCGCTCTTTACAGAGCAAACACGCCGAGCAGCGCGACCGCGATGGCCGAGAGCATGGCAAGGCCGTTCAGTGTCGTGCGGCCCGCGGCGCCGGTGTATTGCGCCACCCAGGGGCTGGTGCTCGCGGGAGCGACCGGTGTGACCGGCGTGACCGGCGTGGCTGAGTTGCTGGCCGCGGCGACCCACGCGGGCGCGGAAGACTGCACGGGCGCGACTGTCAAGGTGGTCGCGAGGGTCACGCTCGGGCTCACCCACGCGCTTCCTGTGTCCGTGCCCGTCGAGGCCGCAGAGACAGGCGATACGGGTTTGCCGCTGCCGCTGCTGCTGCTGCCGCTGCCGCTACCCCAGCCCCAGGATCCGCTCGGTCCTGGAGCCGGAGCGGTCGAGGTCGGCACGACGGGCGGCGAGGTGTTTCCAGCCGGGGCTGCGCACGGCACGGTCGCGACGATCGGCTTGCTGAATGGCCAGCCGGCAGACGGTGTGAAGGTCACGGTCGTCATGCACGCCGTGGGCACGGGCGTCTCGGTGCAGCCGCAGTGCGTGGTCGTGATGGTGGTGGTCTTGGTGGTATAGCCTGTAGAGCACGGTTCCGTCCATGTTTCTGCGACAAGCACAAAAGAGAGTCAGTTTCCTATCAAGTCTCTAGGGTCTTGGGCGACATCAAAGAAATAAGGGAGCGGTGTTTTGTGTATGAGAGAGAGAGAGAGAGAGAGAGAGAGAGACTCAAGACTTACTGGTAATTGTCACGGTCACGATCGAGTCCGAGTCACTCCAGTCGCCCCACGTTGTCGCTGACGTTGTCGTCGCCGGATCAACAGGCTTGGTGCTCGAGGTGGTCCAGTCTTGCCACTGGAAGGTTGACGAGCTCGATGAACCAGGCGTGCTGAGGCTCACGGGGCTGGAGCTCGGGCCGGACCAGTCTGCCCAGGTCGTAGTAGTGGCGGTGAATGGCTCGGACGTCGTCGCTGGCCCTCCGCCGTAATGGGTGCTACTACTACTGCTGGTGCTGGTGCTGCTGCTGCTGGGGAAGAAAGGTCCTCCTGTAACGGATTGCGACGTGGTGCTTGTCTCAGGAAGGCTGGTGGAGCTGCTGGGGGTTGTAGTGGGCACATACGGCGTGGTCGTCACAGTTGAGCTGGTCGTGTCGATGACAGGCCCACCGGTTGTGGGTACCGATGTACTGCTAGGCTGGGTGGTCGTCACGGTCGAGCTGGTGGTGTCAATGACAGGGCCACCGGTTGTGGGTGCCGATGTGCTGCTTGACTGGGTGGACACGGGGCTCGTTGAGGTGACCAGCGTGGTTGTGGTTGTCGAGGTCGATGATGATGACGGTGTCGATGATGGTGTCGATGCCGTGGTGACCAGTGTGGTTGTAGTCGTAGTCGTAGTTGTAGTTGTAGTTGTCGAGGTCGAGGTTGTGGTAGAAGTTGTGGTAGAAGTTGAAGTTGTCGTGGTGACGGGTCGGGATTGATAAATCTTGACAGAGTTGACATCCCAATATGCCTCCCTGAACTGCGCAGGGTTGCTGCCAACAAAGACAGAGCACTGACTCACGCCCGTTCTGGCTGCACAACCACCGCTGGACCAGGTCGCGTCAGCCCAGTCGCCGCAGAAGGTGGTGTCAAAGATGATCCTGTGATCCTCAAAGTTGGCATCGATATCGCAGCCTGGGCCGTTGAAGATGGAGGCCGGCGATCCCCAACCCGAAGGGTCAGGAGTTCCAGACGCGATGTCCGAAGGGATGGAGTTTCGGGGGAAGAACCAGATCTTGATGGCGTCCGAAGTCCACTCCATCGCATAGACACCGCCTCGGTTGGAGTTGAAGCCCGGTCCGTAGCTGTTGGAGTGGGTGTCGAAAGCACCACAACCTTGCGCATTGGCGCCCGTGTTGACGTCGTACTGACAGTTGACACCGTTCGAAGTACCGGTCATTTCAAAGGGACTTTGAGAAATAACGCAGGTGCCAGCAACGTGGGCCGCGGTTAGGACGGTGTTTTGGTTGTTGGCACCTTCGATAATGTCGACTTCTCCGTCTGAGGTAAAAAAGGTCAGTATCCCTGTCCTTGAAAAACGACGAGTGCCGTTCGTCTATCCTGGAACTCTCACGGGACGAGCGTCCAGACAAAGCAATGGACAAAACTCACTATAAGGCCACGTGCCAGAACCGAGAGTCCAGAATGCCGGCCAGACACCGCAGCCTGAGCCATCTGTCGTGGTAGGCATGTGTTTGATGTCGGCGACAAAGAGACCATGTGTCCACGACTTGACGCTTTCAATCCTGACACTCGGCCGTCCAACCCCGTTGATACCGGAGTACGCCACGTTGCCATTGTATGGGTTCTGGCTGTCAACTCTCATTTGTACCGACCCGCCATTCGAAGAGATCAAGTTGTTGTCCCGGGCCGTACCCTCATCAACATAACTGTCCAGCGTCAATCTTCGACATCGCAAAATGATCCTCGGTGAACGTACGTGACGAAGCCATGGGTCGGATCGGCGTCCTGTGCACCCGTCAGCAATAAGACTCTAAAGCGAATGGCATTCCGCGAACCGCAAAAAAGTTGAACCCATCGAAGAAATTTGAGCCCGAATATTCCGTGTCCAGCGCATAGTAGGTTGAAGTATCAGCAAAAGCAGACGAAGAAAGCAACAACAAAGCAGAAACGAGTGTGGTGCTCGACCTCAGAAAGAGTGATGAGGACGGCATGGTGTTAAACGAGTGGCACGCGAACGTGAGATAAGGAATGGACTGGCGATACAAAGCACACGCAACAAAGGAGAAGGGGGACAAGGACAAGTAGGCACAATAGGTTTTCTATAGATGCTCCGAACCAGGCGACGCCATGGCGAGCATCTAGATTTGGGGGCTATCCAAGGTTCCACCCACAGCGCTTGTAATGCGCAATTGCCACAAGGCGCTTCGGATGTGGCACGTTGGCTGTAAATTGACTCACCAAATTGGTTAGCGAGATCAAGGTCTCAAGGAGATGTAACGCCTCTCAGGCAAGCCACTCGATCCGGCATATTGAACATGCAAGGATCCCCATGAGGGGACTCCAGGCTCCCACGAACAGGTCGGACGACGGCACATTCAGTCTGCCCGGTGCTTAGGAAGCGTGTGCTTCATCTGAAATCAAAGGCTGTGGAGGCCTCAAAAGCCGTTGATCGTTTTTGGATGGGTATTGTGGGAACAGCTCCGCATCCAATTTAGAAACCGATCTCGAGTCCAGTCGTCAGTTTGGGACCAAGCGAGGCTTTCTACCGACGTGATGGAATTTGTGTAGGAATGGGGCGGAGAAAAGGTAAAAAGGAATAGTCCAAGCAAGCGTCGAAAAGGAGGCAAAGGAGGCACAGATAGCCTTGTGATGGTGGAGCTTAGTTCATTGCTTGGCTCCAATTAAGCCAATCAAGATGACATATCAACTCCACTTGGACGTCCATAACGTCCCGAAACGGAAGCAAACAACTCAAAAGTTCCCCTGAACCATGCAATTTCTTAGCCACTATCCTCGTCTGAGGTGTCCATTATTATTTGTTGTTGTTGCTTCTTCTCTATCCATGAACTGTGGCTGAGCTGTGTCGAGATCGTTCGGCCCACGATCGCCAGCCAGCCACGTGCCGCTACTGAACTCGGGGCGGATCGGGCTGCTGGTAGGGTGATCACACGCATCGAATCTGTTTTCTACCACCGCACTTTGCATGTTTTGGCGAGTCAACAAGGTGGCAGCGCGTGTAAATATTGGGCGTTTGAACTTTCGAATGAACGATTGCCCACCTTTGAACGGGGAATTAAATTGCCATGCCCAATTTGATCCTGATAAAGTCGACCTTAACACCAAAAACATAACAGGGCACTTTGTGAACGCGTCCTTGAGCAATACATTGAGATATAAATATCTGCATGTCGACGTCCGCAATGAGCGCCCACGATTCAACCTGCCTGCCGATCACAGATCTGTTGAAGCCGTGCCTAAGTGAGTCAGCAAATCACTTCCCATATGCAGCCTTCGACTTATCTTCTTGCTGTGTGTTGGCATGCGTACATAAACTGGCGATCCGCGATTGAAACGCGAGGGGTTACGGCAAATCAGGACTTCTACTAAATATGATGACCATCATGTGTCCAGCGCTGTCATAACCTATCAAATCTCAGAGTACCGTCAAAGTCTGGCTCGAGGCGTAAGCTTGGGGGTTGACTTACCAGCTTCTCGACTTTCCTGTGTAGGGGACTGGGACTGCAGCTTCGTGGACCATTCGACCGCCTTTGAGACACTTTGTATCTGCTTCTCTCGAACATCGAGTTCGTCTTTCCTGAAATCGCAGTGCAGTTGCCAAAGACAAAATCTAGCTGCCACGGCATAAATATAGCCAGCGCGCAACGCGTCTTGTTGGTGTGAGCGAGTTACACTAGATGCTCTGAGACTTCTCTTTCATTTCCCTGGAAAGAGAGCGTGTCTTGGTTGGATCGACCACTGTGCGTATTGGCAATGTATATGATGTACATCTCCCATGCCAGTTTCGTGTCTCGATTGGGGACGCTGTCAAGATGGCACCTGAAGTTGGATCTAAGCTCTTTGGCAATAGAATATTTGATTGGCGCTCGAGTTGAGGATGCTGGAGGTTGCGAACCCGAATTGAGGAGCCTTTCTAGTAGTAACTGCGAATGCAGTATTTACCGATCAAGTGTCCATTGATGGTGTGGGAGTCGCTAAGGGAACCGTGCGAGGGTGTACGTCTCTTCCCAGGATGAACTCGAGGTGATGGGTGAACAATGGCGCCGCAGATCAAGTTTTGGAAAAGCCGACAGTCATGTATATAAGCGAATATCCTCGGAGGAAGTGTCATATACTTTCTCCTTGTCCAAGAGCCTCTTCACCTCCTGAACTTTACCAGTCGACGTATCAGTACTGGGCCGGCTACTCATCTGCAAAGATGTGGTAATGCTTCCTTGATGATCAAGGACGGAGAAATTGCGCAAACCTCTTCCCCAGCTCCCTTTCGTCCCTCGGGGCGTCGTCTTACGCAAGCATGCTCGAATGATCCGGCATTGGTAGTTCACACATGCTCTCCTTCCCAAGTCCATCCGCAACCAGTCGGCAGATATTATTTCTGTGGGGGAGACCACCTTGAAACTAGTCGCAGTATTTGGAGGAGTTACGACGTGGTGACCCCAACTCATCATGCATCTCCATGGATGTCCCTCACGACGATGATAGCGCACTTCACCGGTCTACACAGGATGCGACGGCCGCAGACCTTCTACCTGTTCCCTGATACCCGGAGGCCCTGGTCAGGAAGTGGTATTGTCAACATCACGGCCGTTCTCAGACAACCAAGATGCCACTGATTCGAGTGGGAATTGTTGGCGCCGGCATCGGTGGCCTGGCCGCTGCCATTGCCATTGCCCGCAGTGGATGTAACGTCACGATCCTCGAGCAGGGTGTCGACATAGGCGAGATTGGCGCTGGCATTCAGCTGCATCCCAACGTATCTCGTCAACTGATCCGCTGGGGTGTCGACAAGATCATCGAGAATGACCTGGTCGAGCCGGAAGAACTCAACACTTGGGACTGTGGGAGCGAACTGCGCTTGATCGGACGCACTGATCCGAAACAGGTCGCGAGACAGGCCGGCTTTCCGTGGTGGGTGGTCCGTCGCGACCATCTCTACACGGGACTCGCCCAGTCGGCCTCGGAACATGGCGTCAAGCTGATTATTCAAGCGAGAGTGGAACACATCGACGACAGCTCGTCCCCCGTGATGGTCGTCACATCCTCTGGACAGACGTACGAGTTTGACCTCTTGGTCGGCGCGGATGGCCTCAGGTCTACGGTCAGACAATATCTCTATCCGGGCGTCATGCCATATCCGCCCAACAAGCTATGTGCCTATCGAGGCGTTCTACCGTTTTCTTTGATCTACAGAGAAATTCCTGAGGCAAAACTATTCGTCGGTAACAGATTGGACACCTGGGTCGGACCAAAAGGGTATAAAAAATCCCTTCTTGGAGCTGTAGAGTTGAGATGCTTACAGAAAAGACAGATATGTGCTGACCTATCCTACTTGCGGAGGAAAAGAGCTGAATGTCGTGACCGCAGCCGAGTCAAAAGACTATGTGACCAAAATGGAAGACATCAACATCGAAGACTTCTACGGGTAGAGAGGTATAGCCCCCATCTCAACATGGCTGACCGTGTCCATGACAGGTTCTATACCAACTTCCATCCGTTCGTCCAGAAGCTCCTGCGTTTGGTCAAATATACCAAACGCTGGCCTTTGCTGCAAACACCTCGAATGCCGTCCTGGTCCAACAAAGCCAAGAACATTGTCATGATAGGCGATGCAGTTCATGCCATGCAGAACCATATGGCCCAAGGTGCGGGAACAGCTATTGAAGACGGAGCATTCCTGGGCCAGGTCATTAGCGAGGTGGCCCGCGGCGCCATCGACGTGTCGGAAGCCGTGACTCTGTTTGAGCAGAGACGGATGCCCAAAGCATGGATCAAGCAACAACTCAGCCTCCAATCCGGGTCAATGTATACCTTGGCGCGACCAGAGGATCGTGAAAAGCGCAACCGAGCGGGCAGATTTGAAGTGGCGCGGTGGGAGGACAACCCAGCCCGACAGGAGCACAGCCATATCGAATACCGCAATTGGCCGGTGGCCCGTTGTCTCGAGACGGCCAAGTCAATTTGGTATTACGATGCCGAAGGGGACGCCGACAATGCAGTGCTGGAATATTTGATGAACAAGGGCACCGTGGACGATTTCACTCAGATGAGTGAGAATCTGAGCCACAAATGGAGTTCGATCGTGTTTGGAAACGGAGTCGACGGCAGCTGGGTGGAGCCCCGGGTCGACTACCAGCACATGAAGAGCTCTCTCTACAGAAGCACCGAAGCCGTGAGGGATGGGATACAGGAGTACGGTCTGCATGAACAGGATTATGATCGTTTCGGAAAGGGGTTGTAACTGCGCCCAGGGCACAGTAGGTGATGTTAGCAAGCGCTAGTGCCGCAAATAATTAGCTTGTAACCTAAAGACCTACCACCTGGTTAGTGTCCTACTAACTACACCTTTTAACGTCATCGATGTGTCGAATAAGGAAATAATGAGCAAAAGCAAAGGCGGGGTTGCGGTCTGCAGCCACAATGATCAGCTGCGCCCCAGGCTGCCCAGTTAATATGAGCTGAGATGCCCCGCTTCTGCCTGCGCCCAACGCTCTCACCACTCTGTACCACTCGCTTTCTGTGCCTCTATCCTCCGACATGTGAAGCTTACAATGGAGCTTCCAAGCTCTCCCTCTCGGTGATTGGCACAGCTCAAAACTGATCAGCCTGACCGCATCTCTCAACCCAAAGTGCCCAGTCAGAAGCTTAGCGGGCTTGCGGGGTCTTGTTCGAGGCTGTGAGGGATGGATGTGTTTCACGCCCAAGTCTGTTACCCTCGTTTTTTTCAACTCGACCAAAGTCTCCAGTCCAGCGGCTCATCAGGCTGTATTTTCCCTGCATGCACCCAGCATCCACGGACTTTTAGTCGTTAGACGCATCCACCTTCATTTTGCGCCCCGTCCCCAAACCGTTGTCCGCCCTGTTCCGCACTCCCATTGGGAAGAAACACGCGCCTACAGCCGGTGAGCCAATCTAGAGAGGGGATGTCATCTGCCACGTTTCAATGCCAGGCATACGAGCTCCATCCCGATAGGTGCGGCCTTGCTTTTCTTCTTGCTTGTTGCTCCCTCACTGCATCATGGTGTTGAACCGACCACGGTCCAGGCAGATGCGCCCATGCTTGGTTCTGCTCAGCCTTATCTACCAAGTCCTGTAAAAAGAAAAGGACAGAAGCCATCGACCACGACTCACAAGGCTTCACTCTTCCGCCTGTTTCATCGCATCTCAATTTCCTCTTTGCACTTGCAAGCGACATTTTCTGCCATCACAGATTCCTGCCAGAGCGAGGTTGACCAGAGATACAATGTTACGGTCATACCAAGCTCAGCAGGCAGCTAAACTCTGGGACAGTTGTCCTGCAGCAGACCGTCTGGTATTCTTCAGCGTTCCTTCAAAGGTATCTTCTGATAGGCCTTTTCTGTTGCGGGAGAGCACATACTAATCTGAGTGCGCCGTGAAGCTCGACTTGACATCTGGCCTAGGCGACAGCGAGCGGAAAGAAACCATCCGAGACAGAAAACACACCGATATCACGGTAACGAGTGTCCCCTCTGCAAACTCCTCTCGGAGAAAGACAAACATTACCAGCCTCCCACACGAGATCATCCTCGACATTGCTAGTTATCTTCATCCTGTTGACCGCGTCTGTCTCGGACTGTCCTGCAAAGCCCTGCTGTACTCAGCCCTCCCTACCCTAAACGTCACGCGCTCAGACTGGCTGCGCTTCCACGATCAACGATACAGCTTCATCCTTCCACATTTGCCTACCCTCTATGTACGACTCGCGCACGGCTGGGTGCCCAAGGACAAATTTCGCTACTGTTACCGATGTTCCAAGATCCTCCCGCGGTCGTATGAATACTTTTGGGCGAGGCTGCGCAGGGCAAAAAGCCCCAGGTTCCGCAATGGGCTTGGAATATCTGAGGATGACTGGAATGCGCTCGGCAAAAGGGGGAAATATGCACATTTGGTTCGACACTGGTGCCATTCACCCGAGGAAGACAGCAGCGGCTTCTTCTGTTGTCACTGCTACTATCGGGAAAAGGACCGCATCCACTGTCCTGTATATTGTCCCTTGTGTCTGGAGAAGGACTTGACATGGGCTCCTCCCAGGAGGCCGTGGGTGAGGAAAACCTTGTACCGGGGATTTCGGGCATTAGGGACGCCGTTTGAAGTGGCTGCTTATTGGATGCTCGTCTGTGTGGTCTTGACGATCAGGTTCTTCTACGATCAGGCAGTGCGATGCTGGGGAGCGCTGCGTCAACATCGCTTCCTCTTGGCGCACACTTAGCGAGCTCTACGCCATTGGGATGTGGTCGATCCGTCCTCCCCAAGGCAGGGTTCCGAACATGCCCACGTGGCGGCATTGGAGTCCCTTTCTATGTGTAGGACCATTTACAGTATGAATGGCATGGATGGTGTTTGAAGAGCATGACGGTCGGCTCAGTATGATGTCGCGGACCGGCGCACGATGGTGGGATCACGACCAACAGGGCGTGGATGAGTTTCCCAGCCCGAACAGGGGCCATACATCCGGACTGACAGGACTGAACGTCTCGAAGAATCACAGGTAGAAAGATTTTCCGTCCGCACTCTTTAGAGGACACTCGTGAGATAAGAACAAGGACAAGGGGATTGATTTCACATGTGTCTGTCCGGATGAGATGTCTCGTATTTGAAGGATATGCTTCGGATGCAGATTCGGATTCGGATTCGAACTCACTTCCACACTATGAACTACGAACTACGAAGTATAGATTACGAAATTATGGCCGAGACTATATTCATGCCAGGAGAAAAATCCTGTGATGATGTGCAATACAGCAAAGAAGCAGTAGCAGAGGCAGAGGCAGTGGCAGTAGTAGACAAAGGGAAAATGTTCTCCATGTAGATTTAACAACTAAGGAAAAGAACAAACGTACATGATAGGGCAGGACAGGACAGATTGGCAGTAATTACAAGTCACAGCCCAGTCGCTGGCATCGCAGATTATCTCGTCCCAAAGGGTATCATCTTTGCCATCGCCAATCACCATCCCGACCGCCTCCACCTTCGCTCGACTTGCTTCGCCTCAGTCAGAGGACAGTGGTGTCAGTCTTCCAACTCTTGTTGGTGGACCCATCCAATCCATTCATCGCAATTCGTGCGGCGCAACGCTATCTGGATCAACAGGGTGATTGTGTCCCGCCGTCACTGCGTCGTAGGTGCGTGCGTGGCTCCCTTCCGCAGGGTCGATCGAGTCCCTGCTCAGTGTATCCGAGGTATGTCCACTGCCCGCCTCGATGTTGCTGGTGGCAGGTGGCCCCTCAGGCCTGCTCTCGATTGGCGCCAGCTTCTCGCCGTGATACCCGCTGTGTGAAGCGGCGGCTGCGGCGTCTGGCGCGACGGCTGAGCTACGGCGCCTTGTTGCGGCGGCAGAGGCACCTGTGGTCGCTCCTGAGATGGACTGGCGGTTGCGGTTGGCCATAATATCGAACGGGTCGGAGGAGAGCTGGAAGAGGGATTGCTTTCGCTCGCGGACCTCGTATTGTTCGGCGGGAGTCATGTGGGCGTCTAGAGGGGCGACATTGGCGATCTCGGCGGCTGATGTTAAGAGAATGGTTAGTAGAATTGATCAAACGGCGCCGATTGTAGAAGCATCAGAGAAAGAATAATACCTGAGACACGTCGGCGACCGTAGTATGGGTCATCTTGGGGTGACAATCCGCCCTTTTTGCTGCTGCTGAACTTCCTGACATCGACACCTGTGGCGCTATACTTGCGTTCCCGGTTCCAGTATTCCTCTTCGGGGCTCAAGCCAGTGAAGCCTACATTGGCAATTTCGGCTTCTGTTTCCACTTGTTAGCTTACACCGCCTGCAAGGTTGGGAATGTGTGGAGTGACAGACTGCTGACCGGTTTTCGACCATAGTAAGGATCGTTAAGAGGCTCGATACCGCCCTTGAGACTGTTGCTGAAACGCCTTACATCTGCTCCATGTGCAGTGAACTTCTTTTCACGGTTCCAATACTCTTCTTCTGGTGTCAATCCAGTCAGGCCGACATCCTTGACCAGTTCGTCTGCACAAGTGACCCTCGTTAGCATCGGACAGGAGGCATCATTCCAGCACAGCCTTACCAGGGACAGGCTTGCGGTTGTAGTAGGGATCTGCTGCTCGAGTCATGATCAGTCAGGAGAAGACCGCAGTCTGCTTGTACAAGGATCGGTTTTGACAAGAAAGTGTGAAGGTGGAAAGACGAGGGTAGGTTAGACCAGGGACCGCACAAGGCCATTCTATACATTTGACCAGGACCGACGGAACCCAAAGGAAGACCTGGGGATTACAAGGTGGGGGGCAGGCATCAGGCCATGACAAACACAAGAAACTCCGTAAGAGCGTGCGTAGTGCTTGACCTCAGGCCCAAAATGTCCTGGGTTTCGTATATCAGCGCATCATCGTTGGTTGACGGTTGACGAGAGTTTGGTGGTGACCTCGATCTTCTGTTGTCCATGCACGCTGATGTTGTTCCCACCACTCTGGAGCGACCCCGCCTGAAGCAAGGGTGGATGCGAGGAGAACATGGGGAAGTCCCTAGCGACGAGCCTGTAAGACGCGAGATAGGCTGGAAACTCGGCATGCGAGGACCACAGCAGTGTGGCCATCATCCACCATCCCGCAACGGGGCTTGTCCATGCATATTGTTGACGTAGCTGGGGAAATACTCCGTGAGAACTTGACTCTTTCTGCCCCATCGTGCTTTACCTGGTCGGGCACTAGTTGGTGAGATCCCCCAACTTCATCGCTCAATCTATTTGTGCTGTCGTGGTGTTGTCCCTTCTCGTGCCTTGTCTGCAATCGAGACAATGGCGGTAGATCTCGCTCTTGCATCCGCATAAATATTCGGCTATTTTCCTGCTTGCGTCTCTATATTACCGCCGCGGCTAAGGTATAGTTGATGCAGGGAGAAACGATAACAGGGCGTGGTGAAAAGGGCCGATTGTGAGAGGTGCCTAGACACGCTAGACTCGCACAGATTTTGCCGGCATCTCGTGCCCGCCCAACCTGCCGGGTGAGGCAGGTGAGCCACGCCGCCCTACCTCACCCAGTCGGGGTGAGCAGCGGTGCGCCAACGATGAGCTTTACATTGATGAGTCAGTACATTGTTCTTGCAGGTTGCTGCACGATGTGATCATCGAAGAGCCTCGACCCTGGAGAAGTGGTTTCGATTGTGGGAAAAGAGATGCTCTTTGCTCAGGTGTTGACCTCGCCCACCACAGGCTGCGTCCGGGGCACCACGATACCTCACAACCTCATATTTCCTCTTGCACCAGTCTCTCACGCTATCTGAAGTGCCCCCCGGGGTGGCGGAATCGATCTGCGACAGGATTTTAAGTATTTGGGATCCTCCGAGATGATTATAATTGCAGGCTTCGCCTTGAGCACCGGAGTTGACAATAGACTGCGAGACGCCTTTGTTCCTCACCCGACGCCGAATACCACACCTCGAGCGGCAGTCCAAAAGGGTCGAATGGGGGGAGAGTGACATCATTGAAGAATCATTGAAGAGGCGGAATGTTTCATACAGTGAAGATTTCTCACGCTTTGTTTCCTCCTGCACCGTGTGGAAGGTGACACTGATGCGGGAACTCCCCGGATGAATAGCGGGAGAGTCTCAAATGGCATACAACGCGTCGTGGTTTTGGCGCCGGCTGGCCACCAGGCACACCGGTTGAAACCAGGACTGACGGAGTTCTTAAGCAAAAGTTGGCGGGCTACCGTGGCCGCACGACCGAGGCTATATCGTCAGTGAAATCGATCATGACGAGGCCTCCCCCAAGTGGTTTGCCCGGCATCAATACCGACTGGACGGTCACAGACTCATTTGCAGTCCTGGCCAAGCAGGGCAGTTCACTCCGTCGAACAGACGAGCACGCTCCGTTACGCAGTACGCTTCTGGGGTTCGTTGCTAGCCGACGTTTTGACAGCCAATATCATCACAACTTTGTTGTGTACGTGGGCCACGGTGACAGGACGCAATGTACACGATCACAACAGACTGGGATTCGGGCCAACTGCCGCAACGACGGAGCCGTCCGTTTCAGGAATGCCTCGAAGACGGCGGCATTGGTGGCGCCTTCGTGGATCTTGGCTATCAGAGATGCCTCGCCGGTGTGTGCCAGCAGGATGTGTACCGGCGGTGCATGATTTCCCATCTCCTCGGCTTGAAAGCTGACTCACATCCATACCATCTCTCACCTCAGCCAATAGCGACGTCAGCATCACTTTGCCGCTCTAGGGCCCAGAGGTCTGTCGAATAATCGTCCAACACGTTATGGTTCGCTGTACAGTACTATCTTCCTCCATTTCTCCAACCCTCAAAGCCTTGACACCGGGTCTGCATGTGAGGAAAAAACGGGCAGGTCATGCGCGAGATCCTTACGAAGGAGATGCGGTCCTCTCTCCCTCATTTTATTGAAGTGGGAGTTCTCGATGGTTGCCTACTTATGTGGAGCGAGATCTCCGTCTCGCTACGGTGTTCAAGCCCTTCTGCACCATAAAGATTCAGGTGTTGCTACATCATGCCTAGGCTACTTCAATATCTAACATCTCCAAACCCCGAAGTTGATCGGACAGCTCTTCAACCGGGTGCAAATACCAACCCTGCTGGGACCTACGAAATTGAGGGTGTCCAGCCCTGGGACGATTTCACTCTTAATACGATCATGAATTGTTACGGGGACGTTCTTTTGCGTGATGTTGAGGCGGAGGACCTTTACCATCCACCACCAATACCCCAGTACCACCTCAAGCTCACAGATGAAGAATGTGTAGGGAGCATTTTTAAGAAGCACAATCATGTTATCATCGACCGGGCTCTCCAACTGGCGCAACCCCATCTGGGCGGCCGCGGCCTGCACCTTCCAATTTCCATGTCCTGGGGATCGCTGTCTTATCTACAGGAAGATCCCAGATTGCGCCCTGACTGGGCTGGTACCATCCATTCGGGAAAGCCGCCGTTCCCAAACCGTGTTCCTGGAGATACCAAGCTGTCGGCGAAATGGAAATCCAACATGAAAGACTCACCCAAGACAGGAGCTCAGGACGAATACATGAAACCACTTCGCCAGCTACTCCTATACTGTATCCGCGTACACGGGTGCGGGAAACCCAGACATAAATGAAGCCCCCTCTGGAGACTGCCGTTTTCCACTGGGGAAACGCTGGTCAAGGGCTGGTCTCAATCAACTTAGCAATTTGGTTCATCCATTTACTGGCGGCGTCGGACATTTCTGTCGAGGAATCGTATCAGCCACTGGGAAGCTGGCAGAAGATGAAAGATGGCAGTGGTCGCCCGTGCTACTACCAGGTGGGCACACAGAGAGTGTCACCAACACTTCCGCCCGGGGGTGTTCTTGCTGAACTTGCGCCGTAGTTTATTCCTTATTGTGGCAGTTAGTGATTTAGTTTCCGCGCAATACCAGATCAGTCCCCCCTCTAGTGCAGCATGGTGTTTGGCAGTCGATATGGTCACTGTAAGGGGGTCTACCCATCCGGAAGGGATAGTTTTTTCACCTCCCCTGCTCAAGACAGTTGAACGCGCCAAGGCTGGACCGAGGCTAACCACCTCGCCCACCACTCTGAGCGAGGATAATCTTTCATCCGTGATGAACCCCGAGTATCCATACAAGTTAGGCTCTTGATCAACGCATTTTATCCCGCTGATCCGCCTTCTCCGCGGCGCCACCTCGGCACTGTATCAAAACTGTGTCTCCCAATCTTATTCAGACCGTAGCCAGACCATTGTCCATGTCCGGACCACTCGAAATGGAAACAGAAAATTCCCCATGCACAGATAAAGACGCTCAACCGCAATCTTGGTCAAGATCCCACAACTTAAAGTCTCTCCTTCTCGAGCCCTTCGAACACAAGGATAGGGCAATCCACTTCTTGAGCCACGCCGGGGGGGGAGGCGCCGGCCATGTGTTCAAGGTCCGCATTGCTGGCAAGCAATATGCCTTAAAGATGGTGAGTTCGATGTCATTGAGATTTACCCCTTAACCCTTCGTATACCTGTTAACTCTCGAGTAAGTTTAAGTTCGATCATCCGGAGTTAAACCCATCCCGGCTACGAGGAACGAAGCGAAGATACCTCCTCGACCCTTTCTTCATCGAATGCCGTGCAAATGGCTCCTTGATCTATCAAGGCCTTAACGGCCAGATAACTCCGTTCTGCTACGGGTGGATCAAACTCCCGGCGAGTACAGAGATTCATTTATGCAAAAAACTTGGAATCCACCCTTTTACGTGGGATAGACCTCCTTCGGCCGTCCACCAAGAAATCCCAGGTATTCTCTTTGAGTGGATCGATGGACAGCCGCTCTCGCAGGTCCCAATAAGTCGACACATTGCAGATCAAATACGCGCGAAGCTCCAGGCGCTACATCGTGCGCAAGTCGCACACGGGGACCTCCGCGCATCTAATATTCTCGTTCAGACTCCGGAGTCGAAGATTTACCTCATCGACTTAAGCGCATCAATCACACATCCGCACATCCGATTCTCTCTGCAGAAGATAAAAGAGACTCAGCAAGACGAAGAGCAGGGTCTGGAAGTTGGGTTTGCACTGCTCTCCCAGATTCCTGTTAATCAAGGTCTTTGCATTGCTTCTTCAGATGCAGCGTCTCTGGATCAAATCATCGCTGAGTCACAGGGTATCAGACACCTCTGGGCCCCGCCGCAACCTACTTGCTGGCAACCCACGACTCTCGAACCGAGTTCTGCTGGCTGACTTCTGATTTCGTGTTGTATGAGTGTGTTCTAGCTTCTTCCTCGGCTCGATCGCGAAGGAAATTACTTTGATCTATCATCCATTTGCGACCCGCTCCGGTAGCCACTGTCCTGCGTCTTGCTGCGGCTCGACTTGCGAGACTTCTCTCTAGAAGACTTCCCATCAGTAGTCTTCCTAGAACCTTCCTCGGTCGCGGAATCCCGGTTATCCTTACTCTCCTGCTTGTCGCCTGCTCTCTTGTTCTTCCGTTCGACTTTATAGGCCTTCTTGACATCTTCCCATTGCTTGGTTGCAGCCTCGAAGAGATAGTTGTCAACCCATATCTTCGATGCCCTTGACATATCCGGCAGAAATCGTCGCGCAACAAGTAGTACTTCGACGCTACCAGGCACTGCAACTTCGATGTAGGTCCATGGAAATTTGGGTCTTCCGTTCCCATCCTCATCCTCAGCTTCACCTTGGTCAGGGTTCAGGACAGATGCAGGGTCAGGGTCGTCTCTATCGTCCCAGAAGACAAGTCCCAGTCTCACAGAGGTCGGATCGATGAATGGCTTAATTGTCGATGCGTCCTTGGTTGACTTTGTTCCTTCGAGGAATCTCGTTTGCGCCGCAATATTGGTGAATTCTACTAGGTCCTAGGGACCGTCTGACTATATACCTTCGAGTAATTTATAGGGCCCTACCGGCGCTAGTCCGAAGGCCTTCGGCCGAAGACTAGCGTGACAGTCATTACATGTCCTTGGCATCCCTACCAGTCACATACCTCTTCCATATGCCTGCGTGTATAGCAGCCC